TACACAGCAATGTTCCACGCACAGCCACAAAGTGAAAGAACAGTATTATCCAGAGGAGTGTTGGCCAGGATGCAGGGGGAAATTCTGTTCTCTTTTTGAATAGTGCCATGGGATCATAATATCTATCTGAACAAGCAGATGGGATTCCAGTTTAACATCTTATCTGAAGGATGGCACCTCCAACAATGCAGCCTAAACTGTGAGTTTAAAGTCCTGGCATGGGGCTTGAACTCACAACCTTCTCACCTAGAGGTGAGAGTGCTACTAGCTGATCCAGGCTGATACCTTGTTTATTAAATTGTCTCCTAAGTTCTTGTTTTTAATCTTTCGCAGTACATTTTTAAAGACAGAATAATAACTGATTTCTGCTATCTAAACTGTGTAGGACTATGGATGCAACACTTGAAACACAGTTTTGGTTAATTTTTCTCGCCACTTTTCTGTGATCAAACTGGAGGTCGGTGATCTTATCACTAGTGATGATTATCACATAAGAAATGCTAGACAAACAAAGACCAAGGTCCATCGAGTTCACCTTCCATCTTCCTAGCGGTCTCATGGACATATGTCCTGAACTACCCATATACTATATCCCATAATGTTATTTCCTAAAGGAAACCTATTTAATCTGTGTTTGAAAGAATCAACACTTCCTGCTTCAATTGTCTCCCTCGGGAGCCTGTTCCACAGGTTCACTATTTGTTCACTGAAATAGTGTTTGCGTAGATTCATTCTGAATTCCCCCCCCCTTCAATCGCAGACCATGCCCTCTGGTTTTACTATTCTGGACAGGTTGAAACAGCCTGTCATGATCTGTATTGTTTTGCCCCATTAGAATCAATTAGAAGCAATTATGTTGTCTCTCAATCTTCTATTTTCCAGCATGAACATGCTGAATTTACTTAGTTGTTCCTGATAGTCCAGTCCTCCATTCCCTCAATCATTTTAGTTGCCCTTCTCGGTATTTTCTCAATTTCTCCAAAATTCTTTTTGTACTGCGGTAACCACAGTGGCAAGATTACCTCACTATTTGGGCTTGCTTTCTTTGTTCTTGTGGAAATAAATCCTAGTTCCGCTAGTCTCCGCACATTTGCCAAATTAATGTTCCACAAACAAGTATGGAATGAGTGAATGACACAAAAATAATTCCTAGCTTCTCTCCATATTCTACCCCTGACATTTACTCAATAAATTCACTCAGAGCTGAGACACATCAATTATGTTGAAAGTTGTAATTTAAAACAATTAACTTAGGACTGGGTGCAAACACCCTATCTCCAGAGCCAAGCTTGAACAATTTAATAAATTCTCTCAATAGATGTGCTTGATAAATTTCAGAATCGCTACACAAATTCTACCCCACTCACTTCCTGAGCTGTGCTGTGTAACCAGATAAATCCTTTCAACAAATGAGCCCAGAGTTGCACTTGATGCATTTCTGAATCCTTTCAATAAATATTCTTGACTGTGATTTGTGCTCAATAATTAATTGGTCCCATGGCTTCATAATAAATTGGAACTGTATTCAATAAATCTATCAGTCCATTAAAATAATTTGCGGTGCTTAACCTGACTGAGTGCCAAATTTGGTTCTCAATGGACTTCAAGTCAATATATTCAGTGGTGCTATCTCTGGTGTTGATCCATTGATGGTTTCGGTTCAGCTCAGCACTTGATATCTTGCTGGTGTTCCTAAACAAGTTAGAAGTCCTGCAAGTTTTATCCCAATATCTCACATCTGCATTTTAGAGCTTTTACTTTTTTTAGAAAAAAATATTTGAGTAAATTTTGTAGTATTTCTTAATAGGAATTCTAATAAGAAAAATCAGAAAGGGAACTCCTTCCGACTGGTAATTCCTTCCTTCCGGTAACTGGATACATCCCACACATGTCACAATGATGTGAGGGAAGCCTGCACCTATATTACATTGAGTTGGAATGACATTCCTAACTGCATCACGTGCTTCCAGATTTTATCATTGAGAAATCCCATTAAGAAATTCTACACAATTGACCTTATAGAATAATACAATATACTCTTTGGATTTGATATAGCTGGCACCGACCTATATTTTAATGTCTCATTTGAAGGATGACACCTCCGACAATGGAGTGATTCCCCAATACTGCACTGGAGTGTGAGCGTAGACTGCAGGCTCAAAAGTCTCCAACGTGGGACTTGAATCCACAACTTTCTGATCCAGATGATCTCTAGCTCAGGACTGGCAACCCATGCCTGCTCCCATGTGTCTCCCATTGTTGCTGCCCTGTGACCAGCCTCTTAGAATAATGTAATTTGGGCTTCAGGAACCCTCCATTAGGTCACAAAGTCCACAGAAGATTAGAGTACAGTACTCCACAATCAACAAGCAACAAGTGGAGGTATTTTATGACAAATCAATAATGTCACTTAGGATGGGGTAGGTGGGAAGGGAGAGAGAAACACCTGGGCTCACAGTAAAGTGAAAAGTGAAACAAGGTCTTTCTCTCTCCCCTCCCAGCCTGGCAGGACATGAAAGGGCAGACCAGTCACTGGGGGACGTGAATTCTCCCACTCAGCTCTTGTTAATCCTGCAAGCCAAAGCCCTAACAGATAGGGTGGTCCTAACTAGACAAGCAGTGGGAAAGCTTGCCAGACAATGTGCTACCAATGGCAGCTATGCGGTTTTAGCTGTTAGATTCCAGCAGTTCCCCAACACAAACTCTGCGGTCCCCAAACCTTGGCTCTTGCCAATCTGTGCCTATCACTTTCTGGAATGAGGTAAGCAGGGGCATCCCTCCAGGGAGAGAGTGAGCATTCCATTCCAACAATCTATCTATGGGATTTACACGTGTAGGTGGGAAGCGTGGAAATCTCAATTTGGTTTGGATACTATTGAGCATGGAGATGGGTTTTCAAATACGTCAGATACCCAATTGACCAAAGAACAAAATAAAACTGTTAAGTGTTCATTCACAAGTAAAAAAACCAAAGACAGTTAAAAAAAAGCCATAAAGACTTGTTGGATGTCTTCTTCCTTACAAGTTTACATTCCCATGTGTACACAGCTGTTGTTTTGGGTTTGCTGGAAAGACCCACTGGGATGATGTAGTGAGTGGATCCATTTCTGACCAGCTGTAACTGAAGCTTTTAATGGTGCTGCTGTGCTATAATTAATTTCTAGAAATACACACCATTGGTAAGAGCTGACTTGTCGGCAGACTTTGGAGGGGCAGAGATTCTGCAAGTGCAGGGAACTGATGGCAGGAGTTCTTCTCCTTAGATCTTGTACCAACCAAAATCCTGATAGGTAGGGTGGTCCTCGCTGGACAAGCAGAAGGAAGCTTGCCAGACAGTGATATCAATAGCAACCTATGCGGTATGCTATATGGTAAGAGCTATGTGGAGGCAGACTCACTGCTGCAATTATGAGGAAAACTGGGGTTTATCTACACAATATATAGTCACCACACTTTACAGTAAATCTTGCGAAGAGCTTTGAGAAGCTACTCCATTTGAATCAGTGTCTTCAGAAAGCGTGGGTGTAGGGGGGTGGAATAGACAGAATTGAAGGGAAAATTAATGTACAGTCAAAGATTCTTGTAAGTGACTGCAAACTCCATGATTTCTTCCTGAGTAAAGCACTAGTAATTCCACATCTAGAACCGTAATCATTAATTTCACACCTCTGAAACATTCAGCATCTTACCAGCACATCTTCATTTGTGAAATATTGATGTGAAAATAGTTTTGCCAAATGCAGGAACTCACTGATGCATTGACTGTCCTTTGAAAGATAGTGAGATGAAACAATGGTAAATAATTATCCAGAGGGAGAAGTGTTGTGCAGTTTAATATGTACAGCAGGGCTGGTTTGCTGTTAGTTAATCCTTCAGAACAAGGTGGTTAAGAAAGAGTCTCTTTTCATTTAGGTAGACGTTAAAGGTCCCGTGACACTCTCTGCAAAGAGAAGGGAATTTCTCCCAGTGTTCTGGCCAAACTTTGGTGCTGCAACTCACATGCTTACATTGTGGAGCCTCAATTAAACACAGTGTTTGGAATCCATAAAATCCTAACCCCAATCAATGCTATAGTGAGGTATGATAGCTCGTTTCACTGAGCATGTATGCAGTTGGCTTCCTGTACACCATAGTTCCCATGCTAAAGGAAAAATGCCCATCGTGCCCTCACCTATTTGCTGTCCATGAGCAAAATAGGAAGCGACATCACCAGCAACCTCATGACCCAGAACTCGGCCATTTGTTTCAGGGCTTAAAACTAAAATGGATCATTAGGATAATACTGATGTTACTTCCTGCTTTGCACTTGAGTAACAAAGAAAGCAGTGAGGTCTGAGGCGACCTGGACATCAGCCGTTTTAATGTGAAAAGTTGCCTGGTGTGTAGGAAGCTGGCTGCACCGATCACAGTCAAATGTTATAATCAAATGTATGCTATTTGTGTCAAATTCCACCACTGTTAAGCGCTCCAAGACACAACCCTGCTGTTCTGGGGAATGATGTGCCAGTCACTACGCTGAATACATTCACGCAAGTTGAGAGACCATATAATAATAAAGATTGATCCAATTACCTGTTCTCTCCTTTGAGTGGTATGAGTGGTTGGTAATGTTACCAGTTATGAAAAATAGGACATTTTCTATCAGATGCAGCTAAAGGGGATGTAATATAATAAATACCTGTGATTATGCCGTTCTTGTTGGAGAAGTATTTAGTGCCAATTTTGTTCATTGGGAAATTTGCTTTACTGTTTTCTTCATTTCCAGGTTCGATTTAACAGTGTTTCTAAATGGGACAAACTGCCTCTGTGCAAAGGAAACTGAAATCTTGTTAAGTAAATCTAGCTCCATCCCAAACACTGACATTTTACTGTCCAAAAATGGAACCCTTCCTGGAGGAGACAACCTCTTTATAAACACAGGATGTATCAGCAAGTAAGTCTGAAAGTAAGACTGCCTGAGACCCAACTGCAGGCATTATTACTGTTACTAACTTATTAGAATGGACAATCCGGTACAGTAATGTTCTCGCTAGGAATAGAATAAAATTCTTGTATTTGATGTAGGATTTTATAATGTTGTCAAATGTCTCAAAGTGAGTTAGAGGATTATTGTTGTTTAACATTTGCCTGAGCAGACAAACGAGACTTTGGTTTAACATTCTTTCCGAGGGATGGTACCTCCGATAATGCAATGTTTCCTCGGCATTGTCCTGAAGCGTCAACTTTGTTTTGTTCAATATTTCTTTCTGGGCTGGATCACATAATACAAAATTATATTTGTATAGCGCCTTTCACGTTGGGAGGACGTTCCAAGGTGCTGAGTGACATTTCCGCCCTCCTTGGTCTAGCGGTAACTTTTAAGTGATCATCAAGCTTAGGTCCATCACCTAAAGATTATTTTATAAGCAAATAAGGCCATTGATGTCAGCAAGGTCCCACAAACAGCTAATAATAATAAGGATTGCTGGCCGGCACAAGAATCCTGCATTGAGAATGGATTCAGCTTCTATAGCCGCTTACTTTGTTGCTGCATGCATTCTTTGTTGTTAATAGATGCTTTGGTGCTGTCTGCTTCCTATATGGAGATGGTAAAGATGTTATGGCTGTGTATGAGGCAGCTGGCCCGTACATTTGGAACTTCAGTCTGAGCCTCATTGCAGATCAAGTGCAGATTGGGAAGCCGTTCATGCTGGAAATATGTGGCTATTTGGCTAGACCTTTGGGAAAAGCTATTGGTAAGTTATAGTTACATCATCATGTCACAGTAAGTATAAATATGTTACTGAAATATGTAGCAAATTACATGAGCTGAAAAAAATATGGAAATCAGTATGGCACAATACTGTACTTCTCCAGCTGTGATTATTCTGTCTACAAAGGTTTTGTCTTGTATGATGGAGGACATGTCTAGATGTTTAAATCTTCTTTCAATTACCGTGGATTGTTTTTGTTTTGTTTGGGAATTCGTGACTCATCTGAACTAGTTCAGCCATAGGAAGGCCCTGCTTACCTCATTTTTAGATTTCTTGACAGTATCAATGTTTCAACCTGGGTAAAGGGTAAAGAACTAATCAATTGAGATTATGCACTTAGGACCTTCTGGTCCCAAGATTTAAACTCAAAGGAATGAGACATCACTGAACGCCCTTGAGGTGGTGTTGGTTTCACGGTGTTTGCCTGTTTGCTAATGGCCCTCATATGAGGAGCTGGATTGAAGAGCTGTTGCTGAGTAAGTGGGGTCTCCTTGAGGCTGAGATAGCTCAAAGGTGACATATTTAGACTGGAATGTTAGAATGAATTGATCCTGTGTGGCTGTCTCAGTAGTTCAGTTTCTGAGCCAGGAGGGTCTGCAGTACTTCAGGGCACTGCTGGTAATTAAAATAAATAATACTTGTATTTGATATAGCACCTGTCACATCTTCTAGATGTCTTAAAGCGCTTCACAGAATATACTGCAAAGTGAATTGAGTGTATATTTGTGGGCGAAACGCGGCAGACAATTGTGCACAGCAGTTTGCTGATGACAGATCAGTCAGCCTGGCTTGTCGGTAGGATTCAGACTGGCAGTCATTTGAGGAGGAGAAATTCTTCATTCAACTACTATTAATCCTGCAAGCCAAATCTCTAACGGATAGGGTGGTCCTCGTTAAACAAATAGCGTGAAATTCACCAGACAATGCTCACAATAGCACGATAATCAATTTTAGCTGGATTAACTCCAGCAGTAACCCAATACACACTGTGGTCCCCAATATCTGGCTCTTGCCAAACTGCACTAATACATTCTCCTAGTAGGCACTCTGAGATCCTACCCATGTGAAGGACACTAAATAAATGCAAGTTGTTGTTCTAATACTTTATGGAATTAACAAAACACAGTGTAGCCCTCATGGGAGAGAGGGTAGACTCCATTCAAGACACAGATAAAATTCCAGTCCATAGGTGAGATTATGAATATGGGGGAGAAAGGACAGTTGAGGGTCGAACAAAACGCCCAGTTTCCTGACTGGCTTGGTGAGGTGGAGTGTGCATCCATAGATGCTGATAGTGCCTGAGGTGCAGAAGTGCTGGATGTCGTTTGTCACCTTGACCAGAGCAGTTTCCGTGCCGTGAGCAGCATGGAAACCCGATTGGAGGGGCTCATGAAGGAAGTTGTCGGAGAGGAATGAGAGAAGTTGGAAATAACAACTCTTTTAAGGACCTTGGAAAGAAAAGGGAGGTTGGAGATGGGTCGGTAATTAGAAGGCGGGAATGGGTCCAGGGAAGGTTTTTTCAAGATGGGGTGATTAAACCTGTTTTTAGGGGGATGGGAACGGTATCAGATGATTGATGATTGAGAGATTGATGGTGTTGGAGAGTAGAGGGGCGAGGAGGTGGAGCTGGAAGGTAAGGAGAGGGGTGGGGATGGGATCAAGGGAACAGGTGGTGTGTTTCATGCTGGATGTGGTGAGAGAGGAGAGGGAGACAGGTTTCAAAACGTGGAGGGAAGGATGGGTAAGGTTTGTAGTGTGGGGGGAGAAAGGGAGGGAGTGGTGGTTTGGAGTGTGGAGGCAGCTGAATGGATCTCCTCAATTTTGGATTTGAGGTGATCCAGCATCTCCTCACAGTCAGAGCTTGACGGCGAGGCGAGGGAGAGTGGATGGAGGAGCTGGTTGGCGGTGGAGACTAACTTAGAAATTGTGTGTAAGATAGGATCATACGTAGTTGTCCAGAAACAGACTGTGTTGGGATCATTACTTATGCAGATACTTTGTTTCAGGTATTGAAACTCTTAGCTCAGACGATATGTCTTACGTGGTACTGGAGATACACTGGAGCAGTGGAAAGTACAACACGCAGAATATCACTGTCAATTCCAAAGGTTTCTTCACTTTATCTCCTATCTGGACGTACTCTTACCCTGGGAAATATTTAATAAGTAAGTTCTGAAATGACATTGTTCCTGGACATTGATAACCAGCGCTGAAACTAAATTTTAATTAACAATGTTAGAAAAGGTTGAATAAGAAATGACTAATCAGCCCATCAAAATCCCTCCTTCCACAGGAAAGCCTCCCTTATCCTCTGAGTTGCAATTGTAATTACTAGTTTGAGGTGTTTCAATCCAGTTGAATTCATGTGAACTTCACCCGACCCATTTCTCTTCTGTGGAAAGCCGAATAAAGACTTCCTGATTCTCAGAGGAAATGAAGCAAAGCTCCAGTATATTCATCCATCCTTACCTTTTCATAGTTCTAATCTGTGCGCTTTGTTGACACAGACAACTCGGCAACAACCCAACAACATAGAAACTATATACTCCCCTTCCCCTTTATTCTCCAAAACTTTCTGAAGCAGAGTTGTATCCAGGCTCCATAACTGAGAGTGGAGCCAACATGTTTTGTTAAAATGCTTTGATCCTTACATGGTTAGTTGTGAGAGTGAAATCTTGTTGACCTTGAACAATAATCTGCATTTTGCCTTTGATTCCTCAGATGTCACAGCGAGCAATCAGATCTCCAGTGAGAAGAGGAACATCAGTGTTGAGGCTCTGATCCCAGCGCCCACTGCTCTTGAAGTGAAGCTTGTGCAGCTGGCTGAGCAGATCCCGTCCTGTGTTCCATTCACTGTCAATGAAAGAAGTCCCCTGGAGAAAGTTTTCCTTGGAATAAGCTACAGCTTCAAGGCCTTTGTTGCCATGGGGACTGATTTGACATTCTCCTGGTATTTCAGTGATGACAATAGCACACAATTGTCACACGGCCCACTGAACTGCAACGGACATCAACAAATGGACTGCCTACTAAATACAGTGGTGAGTCATGGCATATCAATAGACTTTGGAATAGTTCCTTGTTTTCCCTCCTGCCGTCAATCCTCTCCTTTCCAGGGGTGGGCACTTTACTGGGATATTGTTCTGTGGACATTGACTGCCCTCATGTGATGCCCTCAAATGACCATTCACTGTTTGTGAGCCATGGCAGGTTGTTCATTGTCAATCCTATAATCCTTATATATGCCACCGCATGATCAGCTCAGATTCAAGTGATAAAGAGTTGTTCTTGAATTGAAACTCTCTTCTTTCATTTCTGATATCATAGAATAAATCTAGTGTGAATCTATGAGATAAAAGTATCCTCTCTGTTGCAATTGTAATTACTAGTTTGAGATGTTTCAATCCAGTTGAATTCATGGGTGAGTACATAAAACACCCATAATCACCCACACTTCACTTCACTTGGAGAGCAGTGTACAACAGAAAGGAGGCTTTGTGAAGTCCTCCCGACTTGAAAGGCGCTATATAAATGCAATTTGTTATTGCTGTTATATCCTGTGAAGTGCTTTGAGACATGCTCCCGATGTGAAAGGCGCTAGACCAGGTGCAAGATGCTATTATACAAATCACTGATAACTAGCAGTAAATCATCAGACTCTTTCAGAGAGACAACAGAGTTGATTGAGGTAAAAGTTGTAAGTGTCTTGGTTCCATAGAGGAGAGAGGGGAGGTGGCTAAAGGTGCAGTCAAAGAAATGAGTCCTGAGATGGTTCTAAAAGTAGAGCGAGAGGGAAGGTACAAGATGGCGAGAGTTTCAGAGGGTGGGGACAAAGTGGCTGAAAACTCATCAACCTATGGAGGGCAGAATTTGCAGAGGCCATAAAGCAGGCCAGATATGATGGAGCAGAGATCAGGGAGTAGGGTCATAGGAGATCGCAGAGGTAGGGTAGGGCACAATTTTGAAGGACAAATATTTGAACTTTTGGAGTTCATGATCACTTGTGACCTTAAATTAAACTAATGACAACAAGTTGCTCGATTAAGTTTCTAAGACTGGTACCAGAACTAGCACGTGGAGAGCATTGGTACTGAGCCCATTGTTGAATAGAATAATAATACACTATTATTTTTTAATGCAGAACCATACATTTCATGATGAAGGAGTCTGCCAAGTCACAGTTAATGTGTCCAACATATATAACTGGATTCAGAAAACCATCTACGTGGTAAGTATTTTTGAATTTTTGTTTTGGTCAGCTGGGTTTCTCATGCAGAAACCTATCACCATGCTTAAGAGTGAAATATAATGAAATCTAACAAAATAGTTAAGATAATACTCTGAAATATAATGAAAGATGTTTCTTTTATGTGTCAATAATCTGCGTTTGATATGCATCTCCAATAGTTCATCCCATACCTTCTACATTATAATCATCCAGTAATTTAATGGTGATTGCTTTGTAAGAACAAAAGTACATAAGAAATGCTAGATGAAAAAAAGACCAAGGTTCATTCAGTTTGCTTCCACCTTCCTGGTAGTCACATGCATCTTTGTGCACATTTTAATTTAAATTGATTGTTGGCTTTTTAATCTTTTTAAAACAACTTAATATGTAGTTTGTTTTTCAGTATCTTTTGGTACTGCTTTGTTTCTAACAGTATGCAACCCACTTGATTTTTTGAGAAAGAACTACCTTTAACTAATCTTTTCTTGGTAAAAAGTTATTTCAATTTAATGACTTCTGGTTAATAAGCATGTTTTCACTTGTAAAGCCATAAAGAGCAGTAATGCCACAACAACATTTGAATTTAAAAGCACCTTTCACATTGGGAGCACGTCTCAAAATGCCTTAAACCCTGCACACAGCTGACTGGTGCGCACGATGGTGTATGGTGGGAATGTGGGAAAACATGACCCAAAAGACAGTCAAAAAGATAGATTAGCTTTGAAGTGGGGAGGGAAGGGGCGAGGTGGAAGCTGCATGAAGCTTTTTGAGGTGTCTTCCCAATACAATAGGTGCTACAAAAAATGTAAATTGTTGCTCTTGTAAGAATTATGTAGTACTGTACTAAAAAATGTGGGCTGAGCTTTATTATATGCCTCCTACTTAAACAGATGGAAGCAGATAACCCTGCAAGACCAGTGGAGGCGTCGAAAATCTTTGTGTGTGTGTTTATGCTTTATTAGTGACCTTTATTTATACTTTATTTATTAGTAATACTTTATTTATTGGACTTACAGTCCAGGGCTTTAAGTAATTATGTGATTTGTTACACAACTGTTTAAAAACAAAACAAAGAGAAAAAGAGATTTTTCAAGTAGGATGAATTTGATGAGCTCCCCTTTGTTTTAACAAATGTTTTAACATTTTAGTCAATCAATGATCCTCAACTTTGTCAAGTTCAGTGTAAATTTGATTGAGGTTATTTGTGTTTGTGGGGTGGTGCGCGCGCGGGGGTGAACAATCCCTGAATCTCCGCACCCCTATCACCCCTATCCTTGCCAGGCTCCACTGGCTTCCTTTTGCAAATAGATCAACAACAAGATCCTCACTTAATGCCCTGGTACCTCCTACCTCTCCGGTTTGCTCAAACCCCACTCAGCATGTCCCAAATACCTTTATTCCGCCATCTGCAGCTATGACTTCATCCATTGTGCCCCATCTTCACCTTGCTCCATCCTTGCCCATCTTCAGATCCCAGCTGAAGACCTTCCTCTTCAACTGTGTCTAGAGTCACCTCACCTCTCTCTCCGGCTCAGCATGAAACTCTGTTCCGAGACGGTAGTCTGCGTGAAGGACAGTATATAAATTCAGGTTGCTGTTGAGTGAGTGTGGAGATATTGCACATCCGTTGCTGTTTTACATGGTTTGAATGGGCAATCTCTATGCTGTGATAAATGAATATATACATCCAAACTGTTTTGTCTTAATTATCATTTTTAGTGCCTTGTTGTGGTGCTTTATTGAGGTACATGTTAAATTATTTCTATAGGCTGCAGTGAGGGAATCACTTTCCAGCCTGGCCTTTCACACAAAAACTGGTTACAGTGTTGCTGTTGGTGCAAATCTGACATTGGAAATGGACCTTTTCACCACAGTTCGCCAGCTCTTGATATTTGACATCACATTTGAACACGGACTGACCCACAGTCACAGATTGAACGACCAGTCACCGGCATTCGAAAGTCACTCCCACATCATGCTTATGGAGAACTACGGTCTGCAAAACTGCACAATGTGTGTTCAGATCATCCATAGGTACAGGACGGTGGGTACTTTCAACATTTCAATTGGCGTTTATTATGATCTGGGTATGTTAAATGCATCCTTAGCAAAACTCATTCAGGTTTACAGTCCCATAAATGTGATCGCCCCTGCTCCCTTTTGGCATGAAATCATACCTTCAAGAATGAACCTGACCTTTTTGGTTACAAGTGAAGCTGATAAAACAGGATCACAATGTGTGTGGACTATTCGAAAGGGAAACAAGACTTTATCTGTGATGAACACAACTGAGTGGTTTCTGCAGCATTCTTTTGCAACAGCAGGATGCTACATGTTGACAGTGATGGCTTTCAATCCGATCAGCAATGCCTCGTACAGCAAAATGATTGAGGTCCAGGATGTTATTGAAGGGCTCTCTGTGTCAGCTTCCCATTCCAGAAACCTACCAACTGGCTCCACAGTCACCCTTCGTGCCAATGTGCTCAGTGGAAACAACATCACATATGTCTGGATATGTGATCCCAATTCTACGATTGTGCAAGCCAGCTCATCTCTGGTCTCATACAGATACTCACAGCCGGGAGTCTATTCAGTCAGTGTGACAGCAATAAACAATGTAAGCGAAGTAGCAGGAAGTGCCATGGAATTTGAAGTTCAAGATCTTGTGGGAGACATAAAAACAAATATCTCCAACATCATTACAATCAACCAGACGACTGTCATCTCTATGATTGTGACAACTGGCACGGGTTTGATCATTGAGGTACTGATGAATGACTCTGTGGTGTTTCATACTAAGCATTATGTCCCCAACACGCCACTGAGTCTACCTTTTACCTTCAGTCAAAGTGGAAAACTGCAGCTGTCAGTTCGGGCTATGAATCTGGTCTCCTCGCATAATGTTTCAGCAGTTTCCTTGGTTGTCAAAGAGATTCACATGGTATCCATATCAATGAAACAGCAACCCGTCGTTGGACAGGACATCATTCTTGTTGCAAAAGTCAACGGTGAGCTTTGAAAGATTAAACATGACTGAAATAATAATAATAATCCTTGTATTTCGCGCCTTATCACGTCGGAAAGACGTCATTGGTTCAGCTAAAATAACATAGATACAAAACAAACAGGAATAATCATCAAATAATCTATCAAGTACTAATGCTCCAAAATCAACCTAGTCTAATAATAATTCTTGGATTTGGTAATAGTGCCTACCTTTCACATCAGGAGGATATCTCAAAGAACTTTGCAGGGTTTTACTGTGAAGTGGAGTGACTGTGTATTAAGTATTTTTAGACCACTTGGTCCTAAAATTTAAGATTATCCAGATTAATTGTGGAAAATTAATTTGCAAGAAGTTTTCCATAGTTTTTGTTAAAAAAAAGCGGCTTCTAAATTAAGTCTCAATTTGACAAATTTCCTAACTCTGCAAAATCTTACATTTTAAGGCAAACTAGCCTTACAGACTAGGTAGAATTTTGGGCTACTATTTTCTAAAATGACAGTTAGTCATTCGTTAGTTTTAAATTTGTATCCTCAATCCCTCAGCCTCACTCCCTCTTTATATATCTTTAAATCCCACTTTAAGACTTATCTTTTTGACTGTGCCTCTGGTCACCTCCCCCTTCTCCCTTGCTCAGCATCCAACTTGTAGAGCACTCCGAAACTCTATCTTACATGAGGGGCACTATATAAATGCAAGTTGTTGTTGTTGTTGGTGGTGACAGAAAATTTCCTTTGTTTTTTTCAGAATATCTGTGGAGAAACAGAGCATATATTTACAACTGGACGCTGTACGACAATCACACAGTGATGACTGGCAGTCCTTTTATCACATACAGATGTATAAAAGCTGGGCCTCAGTGGGTTGCTCTTTTTGTTTCCAACCTGGCATCCACTACCTCCAGTGAGCTTGTGTTAAATGTTTCTGATATAGATAATGGTCCAAGGCTCAGTCATTCAGCTAATGTGGCAGCTGGATCGGCAGTGCCCTTCACATTTAAGGTAATTGTCATCCAGCTACATTTTACAGCATATTCTGTAAGCACTTTCAGATGTCTAGAAGACGTGAAAAGCGCTATATAAAATACAAGGATTATTATTATGATTATTTTACCATAAATGAAAAGGAGCCACATATTTTTGTTGTTGGTCTCATTCTTCTACATCTTGTCTTCACGGCGCTGTCCTTGATTGGTTCAGACAGCATATTCTGTGAAGCGCTTTGAGAAGTCTAGAAGACGTGAAAAGCGCTACATCAAATGCAAGGATTATTATTATTATTATTATCGTACCTCTCATGCCGCCTGCACTTCATCTCCACAAACGGCTTTTCTAGTCCCTGCACCGTCTCGTGCGGTGTTGCTCAGGGCTCTGTCGTTGGTCCCCTACTCTTCAACATCTATATGCTCCCTCTTGGTGACATCATCCGCAGACATGGGGTCAACTTCCACATGTGTGCGGATGACACCCAACTCTACCTCTCTGCCTCCACCCTTGACTCCAGGACCACTGCTGTCCTGTCAGACATCAAGTCCTGGATGAGAGCTAACTTTCTTCAATTGAACATCAACAAGACCGAGACTCTCCTGATAGGGTCCCGTCAGCGCCTCCTCACCTCAGTGCTGACAGTATCACCCTCCATGGTTGCACACTCCACATTGCTAAGCCAGTCCGGAACCTTGGGGTCTTGTTTGACCCTCAACTATCCTTTCTACTGCACATCTGTGCCATGACCCACTCTGCCTTCCCCCACCTCCGCAACGTCGCCCCGCTCTGGCACTGTCTCAAACCGCAGGCCGCTGAAACCCTCATACATGCTTTAATTACATTGAGGCTCGACTATGCAAACTCACTGCTTGTCGGCCTCCCCAACTCCTCCCTCCACAGGCTGCAGATCATCCAGAACTCTACAGCCCGTGTCCTCTCCTGCACTAGGCTCCGTGACTCTATCAGCCCCATCCTTGCCCAACTCCACTGGCTTCCCATCACACAGAGGATACAGTTCAAGAACCTGGTCCTCACTTTCAAAGCCTTCCACAGTCTTGCTCCCCCCCTTACCTCTCCGACCTCCTAACCCCCTACCATCCTGCTCACTCCCTCCGCTCAGCGGGCTCCGGCGTGCTTCACGTCCCCCGCCTTGCTCGCTCCACTATTGGTGGGCGAGCCTTCGCCATGCTGCACCCACCCTCTGGAACTCCATCCTGCAGTCCCTCCATCTCGCCCCCTCCCTTGCCACTTTCAAGACCCATCTCAAGACCCTCCTCTTCGACCGTGCTTTCGGTCTCCCTGCTTCCGCCCCTGTTCTCTACCCTCCCCCACCCCGACCCTCAGCTCGGGTCCGTAACTCTGTTCAGCGCCTTGGGACGTCCTCCTGATGTGAAAGGCGCTATACAAATGTAATTTTGTTGTTGTCTTACAGAACCTGTTCTCAGATATGGGTGATGTGGTAATCCAATTTGGTGATGGAAACACAAAAACCATTTCCACCTCCAGCTGCACAGGGTACAGTAATCATTCTTTTCACAGTATTAAAAATATTGAAAGAAAACCTTGAGTGAATAATCTGAATACCAAGTTATGGATCAACTTCTGCAATGTTGCTAATCGTTGTGTAAACGTTTTGCAGTTTCAGCATCAACTACACTTACCCAGTTCCAGGGATCTTCAATATTGATGTTCTCTTCATGAACAGTACTGACACACTATCCTCTGCCATTGTAATTCAGGATCTCATCGGAAATCTGAGTCTGACCGGTCCAAGTAATGTCAGCCTTTCTACGAAGTAAGCTAAGTAGATTATTATTATCCAACATTTCCAAGTCCTGACATTTTTTAACATTTTGAAATGTCTTTGGAGTAAACATGAATGGACAGGTTATTCTTGTTGCTCATATGCTTTTGTCAGTACAGTAAATCCCCGGCTTACCAGACTTTGAGTATCTGGAATTCAAACCTAGGCCTGAAACCTAATTTGTTTTTAAAAAAAATCCACAGACCAAAAATTTACCCAGCCCACATGTAGGCTCACAACTATTCTCCTAGCGTGTGCTAATAGTTTATTCACTGTCTTCTGTTTGTGAGATTCAAACAATTATAATACTGGTACCAACATTTTTATTACACGTTGCTAGATATTCTGGCTCACCCAACACACCTCCCCCCTCCATTAGTCTGGCTAGCCAGGGTTTTAATGTATTCATTAATTGATTGCAGTGTTTAAAAACATAGTGACTGTTCAGAATTCAAAACGACCATTAAACTCTTTCTTTCTCACACTTTTGTTACTTCTTACCTGGAGTTTTCAAATGCACTCTTTTTGCTGGTTTCCCAGCTCCACCAACCATAAGATCCAACTTATTCATAATTCTGCCACCCACGTCCTTACTCACACCAAACTCCACATGGCCATTACATCAGTCCTTGCCAGGCTCCTATCTCCCTGACTCCTGGCAGATCAATTTCAAATCCTCACCTATAAATCCCTTCACTTTCCTATCCTGGCACCTCCTACCTCTCTGATTGTCTGCCCCACTCCTCTGCTTGCTCACTCCACTTAGCTAACTCAGATTTGCTGCACCCCCCCCCACCCCCCATGTTTATGGTTCAGTAAATGAGAGAATAGTCCTCGCATTTGAAAATTCTCCTCATGCTTCACACAAGTTACTGTGAAGTGTATTATGCAAGCAAACAGCTATTTCACAAACAGTAACAAGGTGAAAAGACACATTTAATCTGTTCAGTGATTTTTGATGAGGAAGGACTATTTTTTATGTTATCATTACCTGGTGCCAGATTTTTGCTGCTCTTCAACACAGTACTATGTGATTTTTAGTCACCAGAACAAATCTTGGTTAACATCCCATATGAAGGGCAGCACTTCCAGTAATGTTACACTCCTCAGTGCCACACTGAATTATTAGGTTAGATTATGAACTGAAACTCAATGTGGGGCTTGAATTAACAACAAACTGATCAAGAGATAAGATTGAAACCAACTGAGCTGAATCGACATCATATCTGAGAGAATATATCTGGTCAATTTGTGCTATAGGCTTGGTTTGTCATGGCAGGATCTGTTCACGTGAGTTCCTATGGCATGTATTTGTTGACTTGATCAGTGGCTTGGTAAGAGAATGACAGTCAGGTGGGTATTCCTAGTGGGCCGAAGGGGCATTCTTTATCCTTCCTCTCTTGTCATCTGGTGATCTTGTGATTTAAATTCATGCTCTTTTAACCTTCTGCAGTTTATTTCAACCATCTGTTGCAACATGGAATGCTAAGCTTGCCAAAGGTTCCAACTATATCTTCTTGTGGCAGTACTCAAATGGCACGACAAACTACACCATCATAGGTCCGAGCAAGGTATGATACTATTAAAGTGGCAGCTCATAACTAGTGGTTTAGTGACACAGTGAACTGCAGCAGCAGAGCCAGGCACGTTTGAATTCCCATGAATGCATTTTAAATCTAAGCTATATCACGGTGGGAGATGTCAAGCAGTGCCCAGGAGACTCCAGAGAGAAAAAGAGAACATTGGATTAATGAAGACTAAGCCACAATTGGTAGATAATCTGAAGATATCAAAGGGAAGGAGAGTGAGAGGGGGGGCAGACAGAACAAAATGTACACTCTTGGCAAGTGTTAGAGCTTATTACTGTTATTATTACTGTTATTATTGTTATTATTATTGGGGATTTCCAGCACCATCTCCTCTTGTAAGAGTCTGGTGGTAATTCCTGCCTGGTTCCCACCATCTGGAATCTGGGTCCTTTTATCTTTCTGCCTTTGCAGAGTCACACATCAGGGATTAAGAACAACCCCAACCCGATATATCGATTGGTAATGGGGCTCAAGTCGTACAGTCAACCCAGAGGCCCCAAATTTCTCATAACTTTAATCTTGAGACCCTTTCATTGTTTGCAATGCAATAATAGGGTTGTGGGGTGTGTTATGCCATTTGTGATGTGATAAGTTTCAAAGCTGATAATTATCCCAAGGTCGGAAATGCAGATATGTTGTGTTCTTGTCCATAAGAATAGGTTTGGAGTTGAATACTTATGGTCTCAATTCCTAGAGAATAGTTTCTCCCTTTAGTCCAGTTTTGCTTATTGAAATAATAATCCTTGCCTTTGATACAGCACTTTATCACATATTACATGTCTCAAAGCGCTTCACAGAGTTTTCTGTAATTTGTAGGCGAACGTGGCAGGCAATTTGTACAAAGCGGTGTATACATACAGCTGTGAAACAAATGACTTTTTTTTTATCTGGGTGATTGTTGTCCAGGATACTCAGTGAAATGGCTTTCTCTTTTTCAATGTTACCATAGGACTTTTAACATTCACTAGAACAGGCAGGTGGGATCTTGGTTTAAAATTGTGATGTCCTCCCTTAGAGGCAAAAGTACTACTGACTGAGCCAAGCCGACATTAAATGCCATGGTCAGCACTCCGAGATGTTGTCCTGGGTGAAGGGTAAATAATATAATAAATAATCCTTGCATTTGATATAGCACTTTTCACGTCTTCTAGACGTCTCAAAGCACTTCACAGAATACACTGTAAAGTGAATTGCGCACAGCAGTGTCCCACAGACAGTTGTGGATTGAGTGACACATTATTATTGTTTTTTTTTCTTGAGGGAATATTATCAGGCATGTGGAGTAAGGAAACTTGCCCAAGTTTTGGCCCTGCCGGGAATCGAACCTGGGTCTCTCGTCTGTACTCTAACCACTGATCTAAAGGGTGCTCTAAAAATGCATGTTCTTTTTCATTTTAATGTAGTGAGTGAATCTTTTGTTGATGCCTAAGACCTGAAATTCCAACTTGACTTAGCCTGTAAGACCATTCTGTTTTAACATTTAATTACGTAGGATTGTGGAAAAATCTTAAATTAGCTCTCAATTTGGAACCAAGTTTTAGGCTTCCAAATTAATGCTAAATGTAAGCAATCAGTTTTAGTACCATTTAAAATCACACAATTCAGTGTGATTTTGAATTTCAGACAAAATATTGTACACCTAAGACTAAGTAGAATTTTGGGCCTCTAGAATTGATTTTTAATTTAAAGATTTTATTTTTAAAGCTATGTGTAAGCCATTACCAAGTGAAAAGATGAAATCTGCATGCTCTATATTCCAATTATCTTTCCAAACCTTGTGAGTTTCGAAACATCAAAAATCATATTTCCCCTACCAGCCAGTAGAGATTTTTCACTAATTTTGTATAATGTATAAAGGATGATTGCTTGACATTGAAAGAACTCCCACTGTCAAAGAATCAAAAGAAATATTGAATGTTGGAAATCTGAGATAAGGTAGAAAAATCGGCAATCCACAAGATGACGACTTTGATGTCAACTCGATTCAGTTGGTGGCGCTCTGGCTTTTGGGTCAGTAGGTTGTTGGTTCAAACCCAATATCAGGGCTTTGAACTCACACTTCAGTCAGTACTGGAGGAGCACTAAGTTGTCAGAGATTTAATCCTTTAGATGAAACAGTGACTAGTCTCATGACACGTCAGTGTGGTTTAGCACAATAATGTTCTTTGTGGTATACAATTATTGTGTTCAGACCTTTTAAAACAATGATTTCAAAGTTTGATTTATAATATGAATGGTACTTTCACTTTTGTTTTCAGTTGACCATGGAAATAAACACAACTGGTATTATAAAGGTTGAGGTCACAGCTAAGAATGGAGTGAGCTACGCCAACGCTGTGATGACCACAGTGGCCCAGTATCCTATTATTGGTGTTATTCTCAATGTCGCTCGAATACCTCTGAGGAAGACCAGCACTATTATGCTTCAAGTAGAGCCCAAACAAGATTATATCATTGAAATAAACTATGGGGATGGAACAAGCAATCTTTTTCATTCGGAACAGCTCAGTTCCCACAGAGGCTGTTTCGATACTCCGCTTCATTGCACCAATCTTGCTTTTCCTCACACATATTCTGCCATTGGACAATATTTGGTCAATGCCACAGTTTCCAATGATGTAAGCAGTGTATCATCAGGAATCGTGGCTGTGGTTGAGGAGCCTATCACTGGTCTCCAGCTGATACTGAATTCACCAAATGTGATCAAGCGTGAAGAGTACATTAATGCAACAGCACATGTCCAAACAGGCACTGAGGTTACTTTTGAATGGACCATTTCAATGCCACACTCAAGCCCTTTCACACTGACTCAGGAGTAAGTATACACTGTTATCTATAATACTACATATGTGAAAGTCCATGTAAGTATCTATTAATGTCTATGTTTTCTTTTTTAGGATGTGTATGATGTGTATATTGTCAAAGGTATCCTGACATTTGATGATCAGACAGGCCCCACAGTTTTAATTAATTGTTACATGGACCTTAAATCTCAAATGTCACTTCAAATAATGGAACAGTAAGGTTTACAGTTTTAAAATACTTAAATAAGTTGATTTACATAAGTTTTAGGAAAACCTCATACCTGTGAACCAGTGCATAACAACAATCCTTAAATTTGGTTTAGTGCCTTTCATGTTGGGCGGATGTCCCAAAGCGTTTCACAGGAGTTACTGTAAAGTGCTGATCTATGTGATTAGGGCAGCTTTCACAGCCAAGGAAATTGTTGGATGAAACTACAAGGCAGAGGCTTTCTGCCTGTATCCTTTTTCCTCGCCTCCTCTATCTATTTTTAAATTCCCACCTTAAAACCTACCTCATCCACTGTGTCTATGGTCACCTCCCCCTTTACCCTACCTTTGTGAAGTGCTCCGAGATGTTATCCTATGTGAAGGACGCTATATAAATGCAAACTCTTGTTGCTGAGGCCGCAGAGAGGAACATTTCTGTTGAAGCTTTCACTAACTGTCATTTTCTTTCTTTCAGCAACACCCACATTAGCACAATCAGCTTCCAAACTCATACAGGAGGAAGTTACTACATCAGTGTCAAAATCTCCAGTCCACTGTACAGCACCCCCTTCAATCACCTTCTTCCATATCCTGTGAAAGTAAGAACTCCAATTGAGGGTCTACAAGTGTTATTCCCTGTCAATACCAACAGTGCTAAACTTCTGCTGTTGCCAAATGGTACCTACACCACTCAAGTGTTGGACTTTCGTGTTTCCACATTCAATGAAGAGGTGAAGTTTACGTTTGACTTTGGGGATGGTTCCCCGTTACTTACTGTCGATGGAGTACAGGGTGTCTTTGTTGGCAGCAATGCTTCTGGACAACATAGGTTTAACAAAGGTCAGTATGGAGAGGGTGTTTTCTCCCACCCGAGATCCTTTCTTTACCTGCTACTATTCTCCGATAATTTTCTCTGCAACCTTATTTCTCTCCCAAAGGCTTTTCCTCCTCCTTCTGGGGAGCTGTAGTCCCACAGCTGCCAGGCGCTTTTGGCAGAGGACTTTGCCTAAATTACCAACTGTTCGTGCATGAGTCTTGAAAGTGAGGGTGTGTGAATATATGTACATATTTGTGAATATGAGGGCGAGCACATTTGAATATGTGTGAGTTTGTGTGTGTGTATGTGCCCGTGTGTACCGTTTTTTTTCCAAAAGATAGTAGTTTAAAATTTGGCAGTAAGTAAACCCAAAATGAAGTAATGTAAAAGGTGAGCAGATGTTTATAGCAGAACCCACTGGCCAGTTACTAGAAACCAAACATTTTCTTCAGAAATGGTGTAATAATAATAATAATAATCCTTGCATTTGATATAGCACCTTTTCACGTCGGGAGGACGTCCCAAAGCGCTTCACAGAACACACTGTAAAGTGAATTGTCTGTATATTTTGTGGGGGAAAATACCTTGATACAAAACATTTGAAATTCTCATTATAGAGATGTATTTTGTGGGTGAATCGCAGCAGTCAATTGTGCACAGTAAAGTCCCCCAAACAGTCGTAGATTGAGTGACTAAATTATAATTTTTTGGTTATCAAAACATATTTGGTCAATTATTATTTTTTGGTCACTAACTTGGCATCCAACCCTGCCTTTGTGAAGCGCTCCAAGATGTTATCCTTTGTGGAACGCTTCAAGATGTTATCCTGTAGTCTGAAAGAGAAACACCACGCAACAACAATAACAACAAAATTACATTTGTATAGCGCCTTTCACGTTGGGAGGACGTCCCAAGGTGCTGGACAGACAGAGTTACAGACCTGAGCTGGGGGTTGAGGTGGGAGAGGGTGGAGGGCAGGGGGGATAGCAGGGAGATCGAAAGCACGGTCAAAGAGGAGGGTCTTGAGGTGGGTCTTGTAGGTGGTGAGGGAGGGGACGAGACGGAGGTACTGCGGGATGGAGTTCCAGAGGGTGAGTGCAGAGTGGCGGAAAGCCCACCCACCAATAGTGGGGCGAGCAAGGCGGGGGACATGAAGCACGCCGGAAACCGCTGAGTGGAGGGAGTGAACAGGATGGTAGGGGTTTAGGAGGTTGGAGAGGAAGGGGGGAGCAAATACTGTGTATGATAGAAATACAATGCACAATGTCTGCCTGAACATAGATTCCTGTAATGTCTGCATAATGAGCTTGATTGAGTTGTAACTATAGCAGAATATTTCATGTTTTGCCCATTGCAAGCTCCTGGATTGCTTACATGCATGTTCTGAATGTTTCTTTTCTCAGAGGGTGTGTTCCACATTACAATCTTTGCATTCAATCAGTTCTACAATAAAACTGATGAACTAGGTGCTTATTTTGTACAAATGGTTCCAGAAGGACTGCTGTTGACTATGAATTCCAGTGTCATTCACAAAAATGAGGTAATTCTCTTCAGTGCTAAGCTGGATCGAGGAACAGATGTGACCTACAGCTGGAACCTGGGCGATCAGACATCCTATGTACATGAAGGCAAGAATGGCATTTATTCTAAAGCTGTATTGCTGGTTCTACTGGTTTCACTTTCATACTGAACAGTTTATTTTTATAGTGGGGTATTGGAAGTTCTTTTGAAGCTCATCGTGCAGGAAGTGTCTTTTACAAAAGGGTGACTAGCTTTGAAAGAGTACTTTCAGCACAGTGAGAAGGTACATAGTTTACTGGAGAAGACCAGAGAAACACAAGGGTCTGTCTCATGTGTGCTGATCACTATATTCAAAGATCTGTTTTGCAGATATTTTAGGTGGGATTCATGTTATAAAGATTCAATACTAATTTTAGCAATTGGCATACATTAGATTCCATACAGAGCACTTTTTTTAAAAAAAAATTAAGAAATCTAAATGAAGATACAGGGAACAGAAACCCAACAAGGCTGGAGAGATTAAAATAAAAAGATTAAAAGAGAGAATCAAGAGGTAGCAGTTAGGTAATGCCAAGATTAGGATTTAAAAAGCCTGTAAATCACAGAAAAAAAGTTTTTATTTTCACATGGTCAAGAAGATGTGAAAAGAGCTATATCAAATTCAAGGATTATTATTATTATCTTTATAATTTTAAAACAAGATGAATAAATAATAATCCTTGCAATTGATATAGTGCCTTATCACGTTGTTGAGATGTCTCAAAGCACTTCACAGAATATAATGTAAAGTGTCATGACTGTATATTTTGCAGGTGAATTGCTCCTACAGTCGTGGATTAAGTGACGAATTTTTTTTCCAAAAGATAGAAATATATATTGTTCTAAAAAGTTTGGTTTACCTCAATAGTCTATTAATTTCTGCACATTCTTAAGTTTCTGCTTTTCTAAGGAAAACAAGGATTAACAGCATTTACTATAATATTATTTACAATTGACAAAGTCTCTTGTTTTCTGTGTTTCAGGTCCTGTAATAAAACACAAATTTTTGTCTGCTGGAACCTTTAACGTCACAGTAAATGTATGGAACAAAGTTGGAAGTATCTCAACCTACGTCACTGTATCCATCCTCTACAGATTGCAGCGTATGAAATACCATCTCCAATCATTAATACTGCTTGTATTTGATACAATGCCTTATCACAACAAAACTTCTCAAAACACTTCATTGTAGTTACTTTTAAGTGTAGTGACTGTGTAGTTATAGGCAAACATGGCAGCCAATTTGTGCACATAAATATCCCACAAACAACCACAAAGTGAATGACTAATTTAAATTGGTCTGGACTCTGGGGAAAAAAAATCCCTCCTCTTTTCGAATAATTTCATGGAGTCTTCAACATCTACCTGAACAGGCAAATGGGGCTTTGGCTTAATGTCTAATCGTAAGGAGTGCACCACTCCGTGTACAATGGCTATGATAGTTGGCTTCAAAAACTGCAGTTGACAGCAGTTATTTTATAGCACTTGGAGATGTTTTGACATTGATAAGGTGCTACAAACATACACATTTGAGTTCTTGTAAAACAATGTAATTAAATATTGTTGTGTGAATGCGCTTTGCTACCGGGATCCCAAAATAATTTTTGGTATTGATTTCTGATTAAGATTTCATAATTTTATTGTAAATAATTTCATAATATAGCACATTTAGTAAGCATTATTTGTATTTGCACACTTTGATTGCAGATGCCAATAACAATAACAATCAGGTGAACATTCTGTCTTTATATTGTTTTGCAGCCGTTTCCATCTATACAAAGCAAATTATATATGCCACCAATTCTGATATTTATTTTACGGCGGTCACTGCAGAAAGCAGCCCACTGCAGTTTCTCTGGTATTTTGGAAACAAAGCACCTATAAAAACTACAGCACGAAGTATATCTACAAGATATTCACGCCCAGGAAGGTACAAACCCTTTCAATCATTGTTTCCAATTAGGATCTTGACCTGAAATGTTGCACTTTCTAAGGTAATGGGTGTAACTTCTATTCGCTTTTCTATATAGATATACATAGAGAAATGAATTATACAGGCAAGAGGAAGTGACAATAGGCGGTGACATTCCATCATCTACCATATCCACGTGGAGTCCTGTAGCTCAGTGGTTAGAGCACTCGCCTTGCAAGCGAGCCACCTGGGTTCAATTCCAGGCAGAGGGCGAAACATTGGGCAAGTTTCCTTACTCCACACGCCTAATAATAATCCCTCCAAAACAAAGCAATAATAAATTGGTCATTTTCAATCCACGACTGTTTGTGGGACACTACTGTGCGCAATTGGCTGCCGCGTTTTGCCCACAAATATTCGGTCAATTCACTTTACAGTTTATGCTATGAAGCACTTTGAGACGTCGAGAAGACGTGAAAAACTGCTATATCAAATGCAAGGATTATTATTATTATATCATTGGATGATGAAGTGGAATGTCACTTCCTATTGTCTGTTATTAATATTAATTTCTCTACATATACGTACAAATACACAGCTACTGCACTTGACAGCAATGGCTTGTGAAGTACTTCTCGCTGATTTGAGGTTGTGTGCACTGTATTAAATGTAAAGATTATTCAGGATTTTTGTTATTTTGCACCGCTTTGATAAACAGTTAGGACGCCAGGTAAAACTGTTTGATCAGGGCACTTCAAAAGACTAATTCAATTGAAAGAGCTTGACCATTATATTTGGGGCAATGACCATGGAATATTTTAAAGCTTTGCTAGATTAATGGGAGAGTATGAGGAGTTTGGAGAACAATGTTTTCTACAGTATTGAGTGTTGGGTAATTCCTTACCCACACACACTCTCAGTGGCTTGTCAGTGTTATGCTGCAGAATAGGCTCGGAAATAACAAAGCTGGGGGAAGCTGAATCTGGTAGTGTCTAAGAAAGGGGCTGCAGAATGTTATTCAATAAAGATAAAAACTGGACAGTCAAAACATTTTTGTGATCATAAGATGAACAACAGCTGAAGTGTAGCTCTGATTTAAAGTTGGAATTGTAACTGAAACTGCTTCTATTTGTTTTGCAGGTACAACGTGATAGTGAATGCCTCGAATCAGATTAGTTCATTTACCTCAGACATCTATCCTGTGGAACTGCAACAGAGAGTTGAGCCCAATAGACTTCGACTGAACAACATGGGTCTTGTCTCTGTCCTACTGAATTCCAGTGTCACTTTGGAAGCACGGATCAATTACGGAACTAATCTTTCATATCTGTGGGATTTTGGAGATGGAACTGTGAGATCTGGACATAGAACAGAGTCTCATAGCTACAACAGGTGAGCCCATTCTGTCAGTGAGCTAAGACATTTGAAGCATGGGAGGAAACCTCTACCAACAATTTTCCAAAAAAAGCTGGTTTGGATGATTCTGGCATTCACTGGGAGCAGAAATTCATCCAATGCAACTAATGTTAAGTTTGCAAGCCAAAGCCTTAACAGGTAGCTGGAAAAGCAGCAGAAAGCTTGCCTTACAGTGTTTTCGATGGCAAGCTATGTGGTGTTAGTTGGTTAAATTCCAGCAGTTCCAGAGAATACGCTGGAATCTCAAAATCTGACCTGCTCCAAATACTCTTTGCAATTAGGTAAGCAGAGTGCATGCCTCAGGGACAACAGAATGCTCATTCCAAAAGCTCAGGGACAGATCTTGTAAGCGAAGTGCGAACAAAGTCTGACCGCTGGGACGTCAGGTCTGCAGAAGTTACTTGTTGCACACATTTTCTTTCGGTCGGGTGTCTGTCACGTGTGGAAACCCATCACCGTGCTTAAGAGTATGCAAACCAAACTGAGGATTCCATGCATCCCACCTACACATGGGAATTCATGAGATAAATTGTTGGAATGGAATGTCCAGTCTATCCCTGGATGGACACATTCTCTTTAGCTAATTCCGGAAAGTATTAGGCGCAGGTTGGCAGGACTCAAGGCTTGGGGACCCAGAGTGTGTGTTGGGGTACTGCTGGAGTCCAACCAGCTAAAACCACATAGTTTGTCATTGTCCAGCAAGCTTTCCCGCTGCTTGTCCAGCTGGAACCATCTTGGTCATTAGGGCCTTGTCTTGCAGGGTTTGTGGGAGCTGAGTGGGAAGAGTCCCTGCCCCCAGTGACTGGTTTGCTCTTCCAGGTCCTGCTATTGAGGTAGGCTGGCTGGGCTGTCATCAGCCTGGCTCAGGAACTGGACTACCGAGACCACCACAGAGGGCTGACTTGGTTCCTACATTCCGTTGCCAAACACGTCACCGTGGAGCATGCGTACACAGGAAGCACCAATGAACCTGCTGTGTGTACAAGCACACTCTGCCCAAGAAGCACCACTGAAGTCACTTCCTCAGCATTGCCTCCTGTGCACATGTGCTGCAAGTGTTGTTGGCAGTGCTTCCTGTGCACATGTGCAGCAGCACGAAGTGATGCCAACAGTAACCTGACAGTCTGGAAGTTACTCGTTTATTAAACACAGGAAGCCAGCTGGTCACCAACAGCAGCCAGATTTGGTTAGCACTGATCCATCGTAGACAAATGCTACACGAGGCAGCGTTATACTACAATGAAGTTCTTGTTCAGTGTAAGATAGCCTTGAAGTGTTTCTTTTCATGGCTGAAGAGCCCCACTGTATCTAGATTTTCCTTATTGCTCTTTTTCTAGTATTGGAAATTATCCTCATTTCTCTCTACAAGGTGTTCACAATGATCTGTTTTTTTCTAAAGTGCACCGACCAACAACTGAAACACGTGGAATAATTATGCTAATTGTATTTAGAAGTACTTAATTGGATTCAGTACAAGTGTTTAACTATATTTAGACGACTGGTCTAAATATCCATATGAGCGCCATCATCTTCTTGGCTGATAATGATCCGTTGCCATATTTGGTGAGACATCTTCAGTAACATCTTCAGTGATGATGAAATTACTGGTATAAGACATTGTTACACTCGACTTATCTGCAACAGAAAATAAAAATTGATTGTAAGAAAAAAACAGGTGGATAACAGGAATTTGTGAACACCCTGTACAGTGGCTGATTATGGGTCATACCTGTTAAATATATGCTATTCTATTTGATCCTCTGATCAGTCTCTTCATGATTATTTGGTGTTTTTATTTCAGGGAAGGAGAATTTACAACACGTGTGGATATCTTTAATAATGTCAGCTCTGCCACACTCTCTGGCCATTTATTTGTTATTTCTGAGATGTGTGAACCTCCTTCAGTGAAAAACTATGGCCCTTCCAAATTCCAGGTACTAATAGCATTCATTTGATGATTTGCAGACTATCTAGTACTCTGCAGGCCATGTCCTCTCCCTTACCATCTTATGTCCCCACCCTGACTCGGCTCCACTGGCTCCCCATTCCCCAGTGGATTGAGTTCCAAATCTTCATTTTAACATTTAAATCCTTCCATAGTCTTGCCTTGCTGTACCTTTGCAACCTCCTTCACATCCGCAACCCCCCTCCCTCTACATGCCCCACTATTGGAGGGGGAGCTTTCAGCCACTTGGCACCTGCTCTTTGGAATTCCATTCCATTCCTTTGACATGCTCTCTCCCTTCTCTCTTTCAAGGTGTATCTCTTTGACTGCACTTTCGGTCATCTTTCCCTTCCTTACCCCCCTCAGCTCCCACCCGTAGTTCTCGTGCCCAGCCACAATTGTCAAACATTTTGCAATGTCCTCCCCATGTGAAAGGAGCTATATATGTGTAGATTGTATTGTGCTGTATTACCTTGAGGGTGTACCCGATTTTTTACATGACTGTCTTCTTACAGCTAAATTTAATACGCACTAAAATATAAACTACAATCAGGCAAATCAGGGATTAGCCAGGAGGATGTCACAAAGTGCTTCACAAGATTTTACTGTGATTGTGGGGATGTATTTTGTAGGCAAACATAGCATCCAATTTGCATACAGTGTTATATTGCAAACAGTCATGGAGTGAAAGGCCAATTTTACCTGGGGAATTGTTGACCATGAGCAAGACTCTTTTCAAATAGTGCCATAGGATCTTTAACCACCCGAACAAGCTGACTGGACCCCGATTTAATATCTCATCCGAAAGACGGCACCTCCATCAATGCAGCACTCTCCTAGCACTGTATTGGGATATCAGCCTAGTCAGAGTTCAAAGTTCCTGACATGGGGCTTGAACTCACAACCTTCTGACTCAGAGGCGAGAGTGTTGCCAATTGAGCCAGGCTGGCCCCTGAATCCTAATGATTACATTTACAGTGTTTTCCACATTATGATTTAATAAGATTATGGGTAACATTTATAATGATACATATTTTACAAGTGTGGGATGGAAAATTATAATGTGTGATGTTTTATAATACAATTTGCCTTTCACATAGGGAATACATTTCAAAGCACCTAAAGCATTTTAACTCATGCCAATGGTATTAAACATAGAATTAATGAACATATAAATAAACATTAATGAACACTCTAATGGTATTAATGAACATATAATTGAAAGAAGTAACCAGATTATAATTAACACCAATTGGTTTTCAGCAGAGCTAGTGATATCCTTTCCCTAATAAGAGTGGAGTCCTGTAGCTCAGTGGTTAGAGCCCCCGTCTTTGTAAGCGAGAGACCTGAGTTCAATTCCAGGCAGAGCGAAACCTTGGGCAAGTTTCCTTACTCCACACGCCTAATAATAATCCCTCCAAAAACACAAAACAATAATAAATTGGTCATTTTCAATCTACGACTGTTTGTGGGACACTGCTGTGCGCAATTGGCTGCCGCGTTCGCCCACAAATATACAGTCAATTCACTTTACAGCGTGTTCTGTGAAGCGCTTTAGGACGTCCTCCCGACGTGAAATGCGCTATATCAAATGCAAGGATTATTATTATATTATTATTAATACCTTCTGAATGGTTCAGCCCATGAAGCTGGCCATGCAATACATTGCTACATTAATAAAATAAATCTCGACCCAGGTGAAAGTTCTCCCGAATATATGTCATTATTGTTAAGCGCCTTGGGAATCTTCCCAATGCGACGGGTGCTATGTAAATGTAAATTCGCATTGTGTGCCCTATTTTTCAACCTGTGGAATCAACTGATAATATCCATTATGTAAACAGTTTACTTTCTCTACAGATCAGAAGGTACCAATCCTTTAAGCTAGGAGTGACATTTGAGAATGAGATTGTTTGTAACATCTCAAGAGGTGTCCACTACCACTGGTCCTTCTTTGGCCCTGATGGTTCTCTAGTCGCACTTCCAAAGGTTGATTCCAGCAAACAGTCCATACTCATCCCAGGCTATTTGTTGGATTATGGAATATATCTTGGGATTGCCAGGGTAAGAAATATAGTTTGATATCTCGTAAATAAGTTTGTACAGCAATACCTCTCGGATAGTGCTTCCTGTTTAATGTAAAGATGACAATGGAACGATTGAAATTATGAACGAAGATCGGAGATTGAATATTGGACCTTCTCGTCTGCATGGCTCAGAACACAACCCACTTTTACTCATTGTGGTTTCAGGGAAACCAAGAGAAATAAGCGTAAGAATGGTTGAATTCATTTTGTAGAATTTATCTGTTTTTTCAACATGCAGTGCTATTTTATTCAATACAAGTTATGGCATTAAGGCACATGGAAACTTGGCAATGGCTCTTGTTGGCCTGCAGCTAGTACAACTCATCATAAAATTTATGATGCAGAATCTCCATGTACAATGAAACTGTTGATATTCTGATTTGACCAGTATCAGATAAGGAAGTCACTTATGTGTTCTCTGCGGTCAGATGCAGGAGTTGCTTAAATGAGCAATCACACCAGTACCCGGGGTTTCTCCTTGACTTATATCAAATATTTTGACATACAAAACGTTCTTTTTGAACTTAGAAGGTGAGGGATTCTTATCAAGTGCTAATTGTTAACACTTGTGGTCATTTTACATTTATAATAGAAAATCACATTCTAAAAGCATAATCTAGCTGGTGACAGACTCAAATGTTTTCTGATTTGTTAAGCAGTTCTACAGTTTTGAAAAACACCACCACAAACTATAAATCTTAATGAGTCAATCCACACAGGCAGAATTAATCTCCTTTTGAGGTATGAGGCAGAATTAACTCTTTTTGAGTTAATAGTCCTTGTAGGCTTGCCATTTTCAGGAATGTACAGAGGGCTAAAGATGTGGACATTGAATTAAGCAGAATTATTTGTCAGTTTGTGTTCAAATATCATATGTCATATACCCCATGAACTGCTGAAAGCAGAAGTCATAGAAATCTACAGTGCAGAAGGAGGCCATTTGTCACATCAAGTCTGCACTGGCTCTCAGAGCAAGCTGTTCATTCATCTCACTGCCCTGCCTTATCCTCACATTATGGATGGAAATGTAATATTTACAACTGGATTCATAAAGGATTCAGAAATATTGAATGGGAATATGATGTGCATTACACTAACTCACAGGAACATGGCTCTCATGTACCCAGAAGTAGATTGTATCAGAATAGAATTACCCTAGCACAATAACAGGAACAACAAATTATATTTATATAGTGCCTTTCACTTCAAGAGGACATTCCAAAGTCCTGGACAGTCAAGGGTGTGCACCCGAGCTTGGGGTTAGAATCAAGAGAGGTGAGGGGGATGGGGGTGGAGTATGGCGATCAAAGAGGAAGGTCTCGAGATGGACCTTGAAGGAGGTGAGGGAGTGGGCAAGGTTAAGGGATTGCAGGCTGGACTTCAAGAGGGTGGGGGCAGAAAGACTGAATGCCTGAACTTCCATAGTGGGCTAGGCAGTGTGTTGGACATGGAGAAGTCCAGAGCCTCTCAAGCGAAGGGAGCAGGAAGGTTGGTAAGGCATTAGTAGGTCACAGAGGTTGGGCGGAGCAAGACCGTGGAGGGCTTTAGAAGTAAGGACAAGGATCTTAAACTCTGAGGGATGGGCAGCCAGTGAAACCATATGAGGATAGGGGTGGTCGGCTCACAGAGCTTAGTGTGGGAGGGAACCCGAGTACAGAGTTCAGAATAATATGCAGCTTGTGGAGGGAAGAGCTGGGTAGTCTGGTGAACAGGGAGTTGCATAGTTTAGCCTGGACACAATGAGAGCATGAAATCACATTCTGTTGCTGACAGGATTGAATATTGGAATCCTGTGCAAATCCTCTTGTGAGTCCCATAATTTTGACCCCATCATTTATTCTATAGAACTGACCTAGACAATTATCTGTTTTTGCATTGCTTGTAATAATACTAGCGAGAAGGAAAACGTGAGTTATTTTAACTCATTGACTGGTCCTGTATTACTTCATGGGATTGTTTTCCATTACTTTCTTTCTACAGGTTCAAATTGTTGGCAGTGTTGTTTATAACAACTACACAGTAAGTGTGGAGGTCCTTGCTACTCCCCCCGTGAGTGTGATTTCAGGTGGCACCCACCTTTTCGTAGCTGATAAAAATGACTCGGTCATTGATCTGAAAGGATCAGAGTCATTTGATCCAGACTATCCAGACACTACAAGGATGAAGTGAGTATGAATAGGAATCTGGGCAATGGTTTAATGCAATGCTGCAATAGAGGGAGCAGGACATATTTTCTTGCTCCAATCTAGAGAGAAGAGACTGTGGGCAGGTGGATTTACAGGCTTACCCCACATAGGCTCAACCCCCACCTCACCAACGAACAGTGCAAGCCCCCTTTACATTGATCTTATTAGAAGGCCTTCATTATGTTGAAAACATGCAGGAATCAGTTTCAGCCCTGGAAAGTATTTAACACCACACACTAGAAGCAGTGAAATGAAAATTGTGATTTTTTTTAATATAACAGATTAATTGTGATAATTACCTGATTGATTTTGTTAAGAAATAGCACTGTTTTCAATATTATTAAAGACTTCAGCCCTGTAATATTTGCTTCCGTTAGCCAACAAGTGGGAACTTCATTTGGACAGGATCTATTTTCAGAGTGATACCTGGAGTATTTAGTTATTCGTGATCTGCTAATCCTGCTTGATTCAAGTTTCAAACAATACATTTTTAACCTTAATAACTCAGTCTGAGGGAGCCAGAGCATGTAGGGGAGGTGGGGGAGAAAAGATTTTTCAAAAAGGATTAGACAATGATGTGTTTATTAGATGTGTTGATTAAATCTTTTGGGTAGTTGACTGGGTAAGGTAGGTAGATGAATGGCCTATTGCTGCCTGAAAAATTCAGTCAACTGGAATGATGAATTAGGGTCCTGCCAGGATGTATAGAACTGAAGGAAAGAAAATAAGCAAAGAAAATAAACATGACGTAACAATATTTAAGTTATCCATAAATAACATGAATTGCTAGATTGATGAATGGCCTATTGCTGCCTCTAACTGTCACTGTGTATAAAGATGATCGAACCTTTGGCAAGTTTTGATCTAGTTTATTGCAGATTTAATAAGGCAAATTTATATTCCTTTTCTTCACCTCTGCACAGGTTTTACTGGCTTTGCGAAGCTGTCAGTGCATTATATATACCGTGTTTCAAACCGGACGTCTCAAACCCATTGAACATATCGTCCAGCATAGTCAATGTTCCGATGTCCGCACTGAAATCTGATATTGACCAGTTTGTATTCAAGTTGATGGTCAACAACAATGACAGATATTCTCCAGAAGCACAAATGTTTGTAACTATAAAAAAAGACAACACTTTGCGGTATGTGCCACGTATCAAACTGTTTGGCACAGATGATAATGCATGGAAGTGAATAATCCCACTATTAGGAGGCCTTCCTATTAAATGTTAAGTCTTATTACACTATTCACAATTGTTAGAATATAAATCCTGCTGAAGAATTTTGCATTGTAAAACACCCTGATTTCAAATGAGATTTCTTAATTACGAAATCCAGAAGTAAATTGCACCGACTTATGGGAACACCCTCCAGTGCAACCTGCTTAGGGAGAGGAATTTCTAAAAGTTGACATGACATCAACAGCAACTTGCATTTATATAGTACTCTTCAGGCAGAGTAACATATCAGAGAGCTTTACAGAGACAGTGCTGGACACTAAGCATTGTGACATGAGTGATGTGATTCACACTACAGAAAGGCATCTCCACTCAGATTCTTGCTACTGGTATGGAGGAATAAGATGTTAAGAGCTCAGATGTGATATTCACCATCATTGAATATCCTGCCAGCACTGTTGTTTCAGCTCATAAACGAAAAATAACCACTTGACAAGGTATTAGAGTCCTGCCAGGATATATAGAACTGAAGGAAAGAAAATTAGCAAAGAAAATAAGCAAGATTTAACAATATTTAAGTTATCCATAAATAAAATGAATTGCTTTGTAAATATACACATATATATTCTCCAAAGTACACAGTTTTTATTACTATGATGAAATGCATTTCTAGGGAGAGGGAAGATTGCCTGCACCAGTTTGAGTACCATACTTTATTGCAAGCCTTGGATATTAATGCATGCAATGTAATCTTGTGTTCAACAATTATATTTTTGCTCCTCTCCAGGCGGGTTAAACTCTTCTGCCCTAAATGCCTGAATAGTTCAGTCAACTGGAATGATGACTTTTCAATAAGAGCTGTGTGTGAGGATTGTCCAGAAACCCTGAGCCTCTCATACTCTTGGAAATTATACCTCGTGAATGCGACTGAAACAGAACATTTTGAAAGTGAGTATTGTGCAAATTTGTGGAAATGATATCTCCGCTGACTGTATTCTTTTCTGCAGCAGATTCCTCATATCCATTAGCTCAATGATAGTGTTCAAGATGCTCCTTGTAATCTTCAGTTCTCTTTACAATCCAGCTGCTCCCAACCTTGACAATCTCCACCCAAAATCCTCCACTCTTCCAACTCTGCTCTTCCAATTTTGCTCCACTGCTTATTCCTCACTTCCTCTGTCCCCTCATCAGAGACTGAGCTGTCAGCTACTTTCTGGAATTTCCGGAACTTTCCTTTCTGGAATTACTCGCCAAATTCTCAAAAATGTTTCTTTCTGACTGTGCCTTTAGTCAGTACATTCAAATTTTCCCGCTCTTCCTCCACGTTCGGTGATCCCCATCATCAGTGTGAAACACTTTGGAATATTCATCCTCTGCATGAAAAATGCAGAAAACATCCATGACTTAAAATGGTTTAATAATATTATAATCTTCATTCCCCAGCATAGTACGGGTTACAGATACAACAACAATAACAACTTGCATGTATATAGCGCCCTCCGCGCAGGGTAGCGTCTCAGAGCACTTAACAGTGGCGGAGCCTGACTCCGACCCGGAGGGAGTGGGAAGGTGGCCTTAAGCACAGTCGAAGAGGAAGGTTTTCAGGCGGGGCTTGAAAGAGGGGAAAGAGGAGGCAAGACAGAGGGATTGAGTGAGTGTTTCAGAGTTTTGGGGCTGAAAGCACCACCTCCGATGGTGGGGCGGAGGGTGCGAGGGCCGAGCAGGAGGCCGGTGCTAGTCGAGCGTAGGAGTGATGGATTGGGGAGTGAGGAAAAATGAAAATGACGGATTTGATGGAAAATTATGCAAAATGACAGATACTTGATAGAAACATTGTTTAATTGTAATGTGCGACACCCTTTTTAAAAAGGAAATAATAATAATTATAATAATCCTTGCACTTGATGGAGCGGCTTATCATGTCTTTGAGATGTCTCAAAGCGCTTCACAGAATATACTGTAAAGTGAATTCACTGTATATTATGTGGACGAAACGTGGCAACCAATTGCGCACAGGGAGGAAGGGAGGGAGAAAAGTGTCTTAGCCAACAACTTTCCTGCTAAAAATCAGTCATTCACTGTTTAAGAGTTCTGCACTGTTTTGTGTTTATGTGTGCTAGAAGTATTAAACTCCAATGAGGTAAATCCCACATTCCTAATTAATTGCCAGCGCTCCGATACTCCATCCTGCATGAAGATGCTATATAAATGCAAGTTGCTGTAACTAATAGGATAATATAAGCCAGAAGTGATTCAATCAGTTTGTTAAATGGAAGGCAAGATAGTAATCCCTGGATATGATAATGGGGCTTAGAACTGAAATTAAGCAAATCCAAAATGACTCACATTTTATTCAAATCATTATCTAAATCATAATTGTGCTGCAGATGATCAGGTGCGTTATTATGTTGTACTCTTACTTTATGTTAGCAACATGAGTGTACAAAAACCTAAAATATAGGAAGGGTGCTTTATTCCATTAGAAACATAGAAATCTACAGCACAGAAGGAGGCCATTCAGCCAATCAAGTCTGCACCAGGTCACAGAGCAAGCCCCTACTTTCCTCTTGAATGCTACAATGGACTCTGTCTCCATCCCCCTTTTATTGGGAAAGGACATTCCCCATCCCAATAAGTATGTGGGTGAAACAATTCCTCCCAAGTTCTTCTTTCGCTGTTCTTGTGGCGATCTTATAACTATGTCCCCCCGTGACTGACTCCCCTATCAAAGGAAATAACTTTTCCCTATTTACCTTAACAAACTCCCTCAGAACCACAGAATTGTGTCCATCAGGTCCCCCCTCAACCTCCTCTGCTCCAGACAGACCCAGCTTCTCCAATATCTCCTCATAACTTTAACCCTTTATCTCTGGAATCATTCTTGTAAACCTCCTCTTCAACCCACTAATGACTAACAGCTTTCCTGAAATTAAGTACCTAGGAATAGATATTTCAAATCTCCTATGGAACAGAGCCAGTCTATTAGTCCACCGATTGCTTGACTTAAAAAGGTTGTCAGTTCTGTGAACCTTGGTTTCCCTATTTATGGTTCTTATGCACACTTCCAAATTTACCAACATTTAAAAGAGCCCAAACTGCATTTTACTCCAGCGGTACCCTGGAGGCCAGAAACGATCCCAAACTGCTGTTTTTAATGTATTGATTTGAACATCTTCACTCTCACTTTCAAACCTCTTCACTCCTTGGCACTCTCCGTACCTCTCTGATCCCACAACCTTTGCTCAGCTGGCACAGGGCTGCTGCATGTCCTACGCTCCGTTGTTGTTGCTATTGTGAGTAAAAGCTTGCCAGCACTTACACAGAATTCAGATAAATCCTGTCCTGGCCAACAATCCCCCAAATAAAATTAGTCACTCACTTCATGGCTGTTCGTGGGACATTGCTGTGTGCATAATTAGCCCCCAAAATACACACAGTAACACACACTTTACAGTATATCCTGTGAAGCACTTTTGAGACCTCTCGACAATGTGATAAGATGCAATATCAAACACAATAATTATTAGCAGTAGTATTATTAAGCTCAACGTGCAAGGTTTAACAAGTTAATTCCTTGACTTTTGTGTGAGAAATACTCATCAGCTGTTACAAGTTTGTTTGTTTTTCAGTTCCCTTCTGTAAACTAGTGGTGGATAGTATGCAGTCAAGTTTATACAGTCCTGTTGTGACTCGGGCTCCATCTCTAGCCACCGTGTCTTCTTATAGAGCAACAGGAATGCCGAAGACTGCTGCCATCACACAACGAGCCCAGTCCCTGACCAGTGCCGACAGGACAATCCCCTGCTGTCCATCATCTGAAATCAACTCCAGCAATCTGAGCAGTACAGATACACCATACCATACCGTTCCCACAAGGAACATCTCCACAGAGAGCATAACAAAGAAAACTAGGACCAACGCCTCTACCACCACAATGCTGGATCTATTCCCATTTCCAATTCCTGAAGAAGAGTTTTCTGATGGAAGGCCTCACATTAGATCCCCACGTAATGCTCAGCCACAGAGGGAAAGGGCACTTTCAGGTAAGAATTTCTGACTGTAATTTTAGGTTGCAATTTTAGATTGTGGGGAAAATTCATTGCACGTTGATGAAGTCACTCGATAGTTTATTCTTCGTATGCACATTGCACTGATTCATTGCTAATTAACGGGACACAGCCTGTGATTGAAGGGGAGTAAATTCAGAACAAATCTGCGGAAACACTACTTCAGTGAGCGAGCAGTAAACGTATGGAATAGGCTCCCTAGGGAGATGGTGGAAGCAGAAAGTGTTGATTCTTTCAAGAACAAATTAGATAGATTTCTGTTAGAAAATAATATCTCGGGATACAGTATATAGTTTGGGACATGCCCTGTCAAGCGACTGATGGTGGAAGGCAAACTGGATGGACCCTGGTCTTCTTTTGCCTAGCCTAGCAAATTCTTATGTTCTTATGATGCTGTGTACAGTTTTCTCTTGTTAATGCATTTTCTTTCAGGTGGCACCAGTGGCCAGAATGCCACTCTGAACGCCACCAGGGACCAGAAAACCTCTTATACTTCTGAGAGACCACAGAGCTCATCACTGCCCAGGACTTCCTTTCCCATCTTAAATGGCTTCGGCAGCGGCTTAGGAAATAATGGCCCAGGGCTGGATGTGTTCGAAGGTGGAGGGGGTGAAAGGCCAGGTGAAGAAGAAAATATTAAAGATGATTCTTCCCTTCCCCCCCACTCACTCTGAAGAAATCTCCTTTCTGTTGCTGGCCCGATCCCAAACATCAGTGTTTGAGTGCAGCTAATAATAATATTAATAATAATAATTCTTGCATTTGATATAGCACCTTTTCACAACAACAACAAAATTACATTTGTATAGCTCCTTTCACGTCGGGAGGACGTCCCAAAATCACATCATTGAAACGTCTTAAAGCGCTTCACAGAATATATTGTGAAGTGAATTGACTGTATATTTTAGGGCAAATCCCACAGTCTCTCCCCGCACCCCTTCCCTTGCCTCCTTCAAGACCCATCTCAAGACCCTCCTCTTTGACCATGCTTTCAATCTGCTTCCCCCCCTGCCCTCCACCCTCCCCAATTCCCGGCCCTCAGCTCAGGTCCGAAACTCTGACTGTCCAGCACCTTGGGATGTCCTCCCGATGTGAAAGGCGCTATACAAATGTAATTTTGTTGTTGTTGTTGTTGCGGGGTACTGACTCAACTCAAAACATTGAAGATTAAATAAAATATATGTAACTAAAAACTAATCTGGCATCCTCTGTTTTTATTTTTGTGCTTTTTTGGGGGGTTCAGGAGCTGATAGCAGCAACATCAACATCAGTGGCACTTTCTTTGGAGAAGACTCTTCAACAACAAGAGATAATTTTACTGATTTTGCAGGTAACTCTTCCATAGTTTTGGAGCTGCTCAGAGATAAGTGGCATTGGAACTCAGTACTTGACTGATTTGAATGACGTTCTTTGTCTCGTATGCGCTGTATGGGCAGGGTTCCCTATCAGGCTGTTTGGTCCGTCCGTTCGGTGGATACCGGATTGCTTCAGGTCCCCCGCACTTCCTGCCCCACCATTGGTGGTCAGGCACTCAGCATCTCTCCTCCCACACTCTGGAACTCTAGGCTGGAATCCCTCTGCCTCACCCCCGCTCTTGCCTCCTTCACGTCCCGTCTGAAGACCTTCCTCTTTGACCGTGCCTTCAGCCAGCCTCCCACTCCCCTGCCCTCCTCCCCTTCTGACCCCAACTCCCAGCTCGGGTCCAAAACCCCTGATTATCCAGTGTCCTGGGACATCTTTCCGACATGAAGGGCGCTATACAAGTGTAATTTGTTGTTGTTGTTACTTCCTTATCCTCCCGAATCTCTCCGTCTCAGTGAGACAGTATATTGTAGAATGCATATTGTATAGTAGTGTAGTGTATTATATAAAATTATGGAGAAAAATAACAATTCTTGAACCCAGAAACAATTTTAATTGTTTTGCTTTGTAAGATTGTAATATTTACTCCAAGTAAGTCTCTTCATTTTATTTTATATCTTTGTACAGAATATGATATTCATTATAACGCTGTAGAAGGAACCTCTGGTTCTGGTGGGAGACCAGGATTTCAAGGTATGGTATGGTTAAATCATTAAATGTAACCGTGTCTGTCTCTCACTGCACTTTACCCCACTTCAAGACTTTAGTCCACAGTCGAGGCTGACACAGAGAGCAGCACTGTGTTATCAGCGACAATGTATTTCGGATCAGATGTTAAACTGAGGTCCAATCTGCCTACTTAGGTGAAATTTTACGATCCTATGGCATTATTCGAAAAGAAAAGGGAGTTTCTCCTGGCTACCATTTCTCCAAATTTAAAAAGTTGTTCATTCATTCATGGCTGTTTGTGGGACATTGCTGTGTGAAAATTGGCTGCTGGATTTGCCTACAAATATATATACACTACACTTTACAGAAAAAAATATGTGAAGCTCTTTGAAACATTTCAGATCATCCCAAATTCTCTCATCTCCATCTTCACCCGAAGTCTGTACAACCATTACCCCAGTCCTCACCAGCCTCCCTGTCTCCTAATGGATTGAATTGAAAGTCCTCACAATTGCCTATAAATCATTTCACCTCCCACTCTCTTTGATCTTCTCCCCAACTTCTCTGCTCATCCCATCTTCCATTTTAGCAGTTTTGTAGTGATGTGATTCTTCTGATTTGAGTGAGGGGAGCATAGGACTTGGCTGTGATGCTTAGTGACTGTGTTTGCATGTAAAGAATGCTCACTTGAGCAAGATATTGCAGGGATCCTGACCCAATGAAACTGTACCAGTTTAGGCACCAACGGGTCAAATGGCCTCTCTCTGTGCTGTAAAATTTCTATGGTCAGAGGTATGAAGGCAGCAAAAAAAAAAAAACTTTTAACTGGTACTCCAGTTATTCATGGGAACTCCACTGAAACATGATCTCCTTTTGGAGCACGTTCCTGTGGTCACATGAAGATATACTGCAAATGAAATCCCATTCCGTGCTTGGTGTTTTTTTGTGTTACAGGAGGTGGTGATGGTGGATCTTCTGGTGGCACTGGTGTGTTGGAAGGATCCAGTCTAGGATTAGGAACACAAGATGGTGACAGTGTTCTTCCAGACATTCAGCCTCAACCTGCATTAAGACCCAGTCCCATGATCGAGTGGTCAAAAGTGGCCATTGATGATGTGAAACTTCAGAGCTATACTACAACAGGTAAATAAATGTGCAGAGCGAGAAGAGAAAAGGAACAGGCTTAATCTTCAGAATAAGGGTGTTCTAAATTGAAAAGCAATAATTTTTGACTTATTAATACTTTGATACCCTCTATGGCTGGAGCTGGTCTTGAAATACTACCGAGAAGCAATTCTTTTCAGAACAATGAAGTGAATGACAGCATCTGCTTACACGCAAGTACCATGCCAAACACACCTTAATAATCACTAGAACTTATACGTGAGGTAATAATGCATTATCGGAGGTGCGGTGCTTCAGCTGAGATGGTTCTGCTTGCCCATTTAGGTGGACATTGAAGAACCCATAAATGAGGGAACGGTGTTTTACCCGGTGTCCTGGCCAACAATCCTCCAGTTTAAATAGAGCAGTTACCATAAGCATGTTTGTCTGACGCATTTGCTATCGCATTTGCCCCAAATTATTGTCACTACATATTACAGAAAAACCTCAGAGAAGCACTTTGAGAAGTTTTGACTTGATAAGGCGCTCTTTCAAATCAAGGATTATCGTCTGCTTTTTTTCCACAGGTATAAAATCGCAGACTTTAACATTTAAACCATTCAGTCTACAAAGTAAGAATGTTTACATGCTGGAAGTCACTGTAGGTGAGTAACAATGATTTTCTAAGCATCCAGAATTTGATGGTCCCCTGATGCGCACACAGTGAGTGTGTTATTTGCTGTTATTTTCTTCATGTCACTGTTTTTCTAGCAGGAGAAGAGAAACAATCAGGTAAAGCACAGCTTTTCTTCTCCACCACTGAGACTCCTCAAGGAATAACATGTGAAGTGCGGCCCAGTATAGGCCTGGAAATTGAAACACAGTTCAGCATATTCTGTACTTCAGGGAGAAAGGTGGGTTTGTGATATTAAAATGCGACTACAAAATTGTTGAATGCATGATTATAACAACAATAACAACTTGCATTTATATCGTGTCCTTTATGGACAATGATGTCTCACAGAGCTTTTGCATCTTGGGCAAGATTTCCTCTATTTCTGTACATTTTAAAACATGCAGAATTTGACAAATTCTTCAATGCAGCCTTAAATCTGGAGGCAGTTTTCTTTTAAGAAGTACAGAAAAACAGCTTCAAAGTTAAAAATTCATTCAAAAATTTGCCAAATTCTGGATACAATACAAAATTACATTTGTATAGTGCCTTTCACATTGGGAGGATGTTCCAAGGCGCTGGACGGTCAGGGATTTTGAGCCAAGCTGAAGGTCGGGATTGGGGAGGGTGGAGGGCAGGGAGGGGAGGAGGGTGACCAAAGGCTCGGTAGAAGAGAAGGATTTTGGACGCGCTTTGAAGGAGGCAAGGGAGAGAGCGAGGTGAAGGGAATGTGGGATGGAGTTCCATAGAGTGGGCCACAGAGGCTGAAAGCTCGACCGCTGATTATGGCCATAGCCAGGCAGGGGATGTGGAACAGCCAGAACCTGCTGAGTGGAGGGAGGGGATAGGTTGATATTGAGTCAGTGGGTTGCAGAGGTAAGGAGGGGCCAGGCCGTGGAGGGCCTTGAAGGTGAGGATGAAGATTTTGAAGTATATCCTCTGGGGGGGTGAAAAGCCAGTGGAGCCAGATGAGGGTGGGGGTAATGGGGTCACAGAGCCTGGTGCGGGAGAGGACACAAGCTACAGAGTTCTGGATAATCTGCAGCTTGTGGAGGCAACAGTTCGGAAGGCCGACAAGGAGGGAGTTGGCGTAGTCGAGCCTAGATGTGAATGCATGGATGCGTGATTTGGTGGCCTGAGGGATGAGGCAGTGGCGGAGCTGGGCGATGTTGCGGAGGTTGGGAAAGGCAGAGAAGGTCATGGCACGGATGTGGGGTAGAAAGGACAGTTGAGGGTCAAACAAGACACCAAGGTTCCAGACTGGCTCAATGAGGTGGGGTGTGCACCCTTGGATGGTGATGCTGTTAGTGCCTGAGGTGTGGAGGCGCCTCAGTCTTGTTGATATTCAACTGTAGAAAGTCAGCTCTTATCCAGGACTTGATGTCTGACAGGCAGTCTGTGAGGACTAGAGTCGAAGGTGGAGGGAGAAAGCTGGAGTTGGGTTTCATTCGCATACATGTGGAAATTGACTCCATGTCTGCGGATGATGTTACCAAAAGGGAGCGTACAGATATTGAAGAGGAGGGGACTAAGGACAGAGCCCTGAGGAATACCACACGAGATGGTGCGGGGAATGGAGAAGCCGTTTGTGGAGAACAAGTGGAGATGGTGTGGGAGGTAGGATCTGAACCAGTCAAGGACAGAACCATGAAGGTTGAGGTGAGAGGAGAGGCGATGCAAGAGGATAGAGTGGTCAATGGTATCATAGGCAGCAAAGAGGATGAGGAGGCAGAGGGAGCCCTGGTCACAGATGGACAAAATGTCATTTTTCACTTTGATCAAAGCTGTTTCTGTGCTGCTGGTGATTGGAGGGGTTCATGAAGGGAGTGGCGGGAGAGGAAGGAGTGAAGAAGGGAAGCAACGACTCATTCCAGGACCTTGGAAAGGAAAGGGAGGTTGGAGATGGGGTGTTAATTTGAAAGCAGGAATGGGCCCAGAGAGGGTTTTTTAAGGATAGGAGTGATGACGGCTGTTTTTAAAAGGGTGGGGCGGTGCCAGTGGACAGGGAGAGGTTTATGATGTCTGTGATTAGACGGGCAAGGAGGTGGAGCTGGGAGGTAAGGAGAAGGGTATGGATGGGGCTGAGGGAACAGATGGTCGGAAGTCCAGCATCTTCGCAGTTGGAGTTGGAGGAGAGGGTGGTGGGAGGAGCTGGTTGGTGATGAAGATGAGGAGCTGGTTGGAGATGGAGATGAGGAGGCTGTGGTTGTCCTTGGCCTCCAAGATTGCGAAGGACAATTTAGCAGAGGCAAGGGCGGAGCGATAAGTTTTGATGAGGTTCAGTCAGATCTGCCGATGGACCGTTAACCATCGGCAGATCTGAGCCGGAGCTGTTCGGGGGCATGCATCTGTGCCTTGAGGGAATGGAGGTGGCTGGCGTACCAGGGTGAGTTGCGTGAGTAAGAGGCAGGTTTGGAGGTGAGAGGGGCAAGGACATCGAGAGTGGCAGAGAGGGAGTTGTGGAGGATAGTGACCAAGATGGATAGGTCATTGCTGGAGGAAGCCCAGAGGGAGAGGAGTTCAGATGACTCCCAAGGAATCGGAGAGGGTTTGACCTGTGAGGAGAGGTTGAATAAACTAGGCGTATATTCTTTAGAATATAGAAGAATTAGATGTGTTCTTATAGATTCCTATAAGACTCTTAATGGTCTTGACAGGGTAGATGCCATGAGACTGCTTCCCCTGGTTGGAGAATGTAAAACTAGGGGTCATTGTCTCAAGATAAAAAGTCAGCCCTTTAGAAATGAGTTGAGAAAACATTTCTTCACTCAGAGGGTAGTGAATTTATGGAATTTTCTACCCCAGAAGGCTGTGGATGCTCAGGCATTGGACACATTCAAGACTGAGATCGATAGATTTTTAAAAACTAAAGGGATTAAGGGATATGGGCATAGGTAATGGTTAGAAAATCAGTCATGATCTTATTAAATGGCAGGGCATGCTTGAGGGGCAGAATGGTCTACTCCTGCTCCTAGTTCTTATGTTCTTATGAAATCCATTTCAATGATAAGCAGCATTTTTTAAAATTTAAATAACATATGTGGGTAAATGCTTTGAACCATTTTTAACTTTAATTAATTTAAATAAAGTGAAAATTGTAGAAACAAATATGAGCCATCGGCATTCTACGAACACAAAGGTGGTGAATAGATGATTACTTAGCATTTGGGGGCCAGTTTGAATGGAATATAAGTCAAGATAACTGAGAAGAAAATACTTTTCTTGGAAATCATGAGGGGAAGGAATACCTTCAAATCAATTTGAATCACAGATAGACTGGACTTAAATTAATGATTAATTTGAAAAGTGAAAAATAATCTAGAAACTAAACCAACTTGTTATTAATATATCTAGACAGGAAGGTTTGAGAAAAAGGATTAGTGGGCCATAAAGTACACTGCTGGTGGAAACCCCCTCACTCACCCCATTCCACCTAGCTCACAATATACACTTACACATCTCTCCTTGTGATGGACACTTGGTGAAATGTTATATTGTAGACTAACACTGCAGCCAATAAAACTTTAGACTAATAAAATGTAAGTATTTATGGAATCAAAGCTGATCCCAGATCCTAGTGTGCAGACCTCCCCAGACTGTCTAGAAACATTAAGTAGACACTTGTTTTCTTTCTCCATTGTACTCCAGAGGAATGTGATGGACATTTCCCTCTGCACTAGAAAGGATCAGATACTCCACTGCCAGAGATCTGACTCAGATCTCTCCTGGACTGACCAGCCTTACAACAATGAAAAGAAAATGAACATATGTATGAACTGGAAACAAATTCAATTGAATGCAGTCCTCCTACCTTAGGTCACCAGGGAATATTGACATTATCTATATTTTCAATTTGACTCTGTTGTTGTGGTCCAGAGAGCAACCAGACATCATGACAGAAAGTAGCTGACTGTGGGATGCACACATTGGTATTAAGAAAACATTCAAAACAGTGGTATTATTCAGAGCTACCTCATGATGATTGGAATAAATTGATTTTGAATCCCAAACACTAGCACATTGTTTCTCAATTTCAATCTAGAGCATTGAGATCGTAGGGTGGGGATTAATATCCTCTTCCAAACACTACATTTAGTGGAATAAAGCCCAGCAAAAATTGGATAAAGCCTCTTCAGTCACAATTCTGTGAACCTGAACAAGATACAGTAAATTGACCTGTTTATTTCTTCCATGGCATTTGCTTTGCCTAACTTTTAATTACTGTAGTAACAAGGAGCAATGTACCTTAGCAATTGCCTTCTGCATTTTTTAACCAAAAAGATTATGACTGAGGTTGCAGTGGTGAAAATTATTTGACAATCTCTGCCTAATTAAAGGATATTGAGGGTCTGAAGCCAGAAACTGTTAGGCTGGAATGTGTTTTTTCTCTCATTGAAGGACCTATTTTTCGAGTATAGTTACAGCGTTGGCAACTCAACAGAAATCCTTCTGCATGAAGGAATGGATCACGAGTACTACTTCAATCTGCCAGCTGGAGACAAGGACGATGGGTATAAACGTAAGTCGCAAACATCGTTACATTAAAAATCATGTTATTCAGATCTACAGCTTCTGAACTTACAATACAAATTGACATTTATAGAGCATCTTTCATATCATGAGTTTACAGTATATACTGTGAAGTGCTTTCGGACGTCCCGAAGACGGGATAAAGCGCTATATCAAATGCAAGTATTATTATTATTCCAAAATGTTTAACAGTTCTGGCTTGGCACCCGAGCTAGGGGTGGGAGCCCAGATGGTGGGGAAAGCAGTAACTTGACTTCCTTTAGGGAGTCTGATACTCTTAATGCCACTGAGGGAAGCTGCACTGACAAATCACACCCAAGTTATGGTCTGAAATGATGGATTTAAGATAAAAACAGTCCACTCAACAAATAACTTTTTTTGACTTGCAAAGAAGTCAATAAATTAATTTTCTAGCTCGCCGATCAGGTGATTAAAATGAATTGTGATATAAAGTCTTATGCTACAGCTTGCGGCAAGTGTTTTATGGGCTTGAAGGCACTCGGAGTTCTGTGTTCTGTAAGTAGGAACCTGAAACCTTGACAACAGCCACTCAACATCTGTTGTGCAGTACAGTAAACTTTTATAGGTTTATTCTCAATGGTTTCCCACTTTATCATTGCCCTCCAACCCCAACACCATGCAGTGCTGTTGGTCCTCAGCCAACTCTCAACTTCTTTGTTGACTGCCACTGGTGGTCAAGATTGCCTATATTGGAAGAAAATATTCTGTCAGGACAAGTTACTTGCACCCTTTCTCTTTCCTTCACTGCCCGGAGTCTGGAATGTACCATTCCTATAAAATACATTCCATCAAGTAACTGAGCTGAGAACTGGTTAAGACTGTAGTAGAGGAAGCTCTGGCTTGGCACCCTGACTATGTGCCTCTCTTCATTTGTCTCAATGAACCACTCCCATCACTTTTACCACAGTATTTTATATATGTAATTAGGTGACTGGCAAAAAACCCACCTCAATTTAATTTTACTTTTTTTTAACTGATTCTTTCTGAAACCCATCTGAACAGGGAGAAAAATGTGATTGTGATAATTATCACAAGAATAGCCCTTGCATTTGAGGTACTGCCTTATCCCATCATCAAAACGGTTCACAGGATTTATTGTAAAGTACATTGACTGTGTATTTGTAAGTCAACCCAGCAGCCAATTTGTACATATCAATGTCTCACAAACAGCCAGGAAATGAATAACCAATTTTATTTGGGAGATTGTTGGCCAGGACTTCGGAAGAAACTACGTGTTTTTTTGAATAGTGCAATCTTTAACATTTACCTGAACATGCAGATGGGACCTATGTTTAATGTCTCTTCTGAATGAAGGCACCTCTCACAAAATAGTCCTCTCTCAGCACTACATCAGAGGGTTAACCTAGCCTATGAGCTGAAATTTCCATCAAAGGAATTGAACCCACAACCTTGTTAGTCAGACTGGTACAGACGGAAGAGTACACTGGGATATAAGAAATATCCTTGTCTTAGGCTTTTGCCACAGCTGCTTTTCACATGTTGCTCCTATACATGACTGGTCATGGATTATTTATCTTTCATTATTCCCTCCTACTTTCCAGACAAGTACCTGACTGCATATTGGTCAATCATGATGGCACATAACTGTTATCAACTTGCTGTGTGTGGAATCACCAACGTAAATCCATTTCCCACTATTTCATTGCACATCTTGTATCCCAGTGCATTCTTTCCTCTAAACTACACTCCTCATGATGCCTTTCTTTTAAATCTACTTGCTAACAATGCTTCTTTATTTGTTTCTTTATCTTTGTAGTCACCATCAACACTGTGATCACCAATTTATTTGGATCGAAAACTAAACCTTGCTCAGTGATTCCCACTGTGCTGCCCAGCATTAACAAAAGTGAAGAACTGTAAGTGATTTAATTTTTCTGAAATATAATCAATATGTCCAGTTTCAAGAATGTCTTAATTTGTCAACTATAATCAATAACGTCAAGTTTTAATTCCTTTTATACCAGTCTCCTGCTTCTGCAAAAGCTGAAAGACCTCTTTTTCTCTGCCCATTCATTTCTTCCCTCCTGAAAAGAATAACAACGTTCACTGATATAGCATCTTTCATGTTGGAGGACGTTTCAAACATTTACAGTGATGGAGTGGGAGATGGAGTAGGAGGGGGGTGGCATAAGGTCAGTCAAAGAGAGAGGTTTTTAGATGGGGTCTCAAAGCAGAAAGGGAAGGAGCAAGATGGAAGGATTCAGGAAGAAGGCTCCCGAGAGCCAGAGAAAAGCAGCTGAATGAACGTCTGACAGTGATGGAGTGGTGGTGGGGGTCATAAAGCAAGCCTTTAGTAGGATAAAGTTTCACACTGGTTACCCTCTAGTAATACACCCAAATGTTCATATGTTAGCTTTGAACAGTGATTGTTAATAGGCTATTTGACATGGGGGTGGTGGGGGGGAGAGGCATTGTAATCAAGCCCAGACCAGCCGCATCCAGCTTCCAAATAAACACACACCTCCAGTGGGGGGTGGTAGGAGGGGGCAGTGCTGGGTCATGATTAGGGTGTCAAACCCTTGCTGCTCTTCTTAAGATGGGGCACTGAGGCAATCTCTAATGACCTTTGCTGAGATTAGCCATCCCAGCACATTTTAGAGATCAGCTAAAAGAGGCCAGGATTGAAGTGATCATTTTTTTTCTTGAAGGATTATTATCAGGCATGTGGAGTAAGGAAACTTGCCCAAGCTTTCACCCTGCCAGGAATCGAACTCAGGTCTCTCGCTTGCAAGGCGAGTGCTCTAACTACTGAGGTACAGGACTCCACGGCTTGATTCTGTGATGGATGAACCGTAGGGCGGGTATTCAGGAGGGATGAGATCAGATGGATTTAAGGGTCTTCTTCATCCAAACTAATTTTGTGATCTTCTGAATAAACATGCCAGATTATTGGGGACCTCCAGACAAAATTTTTAAAATAAAAACTATTATTCATTATTTTGCCAAAGAATTATGAAAGAGCATTTAATATTGTCAGTTATCATGAGTGGTAATGATTTTTCCCACTTCTCGCCTGCTAACCCTGTAAGTTAAAGCCCTAACTGGTTTGGTGGTCCAAACTGGACAAGCAGTGGGAAGTTTGCCAGTACTTGCAAATAGTAAGCTTGCTTTTTAACTGGCTAAGTTCCAGCAGTACCCCAGATAGACACTTTAGGATCCCCAAACCTTGTCTATTGCCAACCTACACTTAATACTTTCCAGGATTAGTTAGGTGAACAAGGTGTGTTCCTCTGGAGAGCGAGTACGTCCTCCATTCCAGACAAACAGAAATTTCTTTGCATATGTGAAAGTCTCAGCAGTTTAGCTTGGATACTATTAAGTCTGGTGATGTGTTTCCACATGTGTCAGACAGCTGGTTGAGAATGATCGAGTCCCCCCACACCCCCCCCCCACACACATCATTAATAAAATAAGGCTTATTACGCATGATCATAAGAAAAATAGAAAAAGTAAATGCTGAAAGTAGAAGTAATTTTCCTCCTTACATTCAGATTTATTCAAGGCCTCAAGAATCTTTCTGCTCTCACGCTACTGGGTAACCAAAGAGAAACCAAAAATTACCTCCTTCTGTTGACCAGGATTCTCAATCGTCTTCATAAGGAAGGGGATAACAGACAGGATTTTCAGACACAGACTAGGAATGAATTAATAGTTGCTCTTTGCAGCCTCAATGTAACTAACCAGGTATGCCTTGTCAGCTTAATTTTATAAGTGTATGTAATTCTTTATTATTATTATTAAAATTGCAAAGTATGATATGATAATTATTATTGGAAAAATTGTTCCTTGTTGAAAATTATGATCACAATCCATCAGCAATTATTAATAATAATCCTTGCATTTGTTATAGCACCATATCATGTCATTGAAACATCTCAAAAGGCTTTACAAGATTTTACTGTAAAATGTAGTGGCTGTGCATTTGTAGGCAAACACAGGGCAGCCAATTTGTACACAACAATGTGCCACAAGCAGCCATGAATTGAATGACTGATTTTTAGCAGGAAAGTTGTTGGCTAAGACACCAGGAGAAACTTTTCTCCCTCCCTTCCTTCCTCCCTGTGTGCAATTGGTTGCCGCATTTCGTCCACAAAATATACAGCCAATTCACTTTACAGTATATCCTGTGAAGCACTTTGAGACGTCTTGAAGACAGGATAAGGCGCTATATCAACTGCAAGGGTTATTAGGATAAGATAATTGCTTTCCCCCCAACCTTTACTGAATATTGCAAAGTGTGGTATGAAAACTGTTGGTGTCCCCCCCTCCCATTCCTGATATCAGACCCAAAGCTTCCAGCAGCACCCATTGGAATTGCTGCCCAACGACTGTAGCATTTAAGTCTTGGAGTCTTGGTTCACAAAATACTGGTTCAATTTAGACTTCTTTCATTGATGCAAGTGTCAGCCTGTTCAGTTGGTAGCACTCTTGCCTCTGAATCAGAAGGTTGTGGGATTAAGCCTCACATCAGACTTTGAGTTCACAGTCTAGGCTGACGCATTAATGCCTTCAATGTCGGTGGAGTGCTGCATTGTCAGAGGTGTCATGCTTTGCAATAGACTGCTCCAGTCTACCTTTTCAGATGGATATTGAAGATTCAATAGCACTGCTCAAAAATAGAAGGGTCTTCTCTTCCCTAACCAACAATTTCATATGTAAAATTGATCATTTGCTTCATGACTGTTTGCACTCTATCAGAAAATCAACACAGTGAATTGGTGTCATGGTGAAATCACTGAAATCACTACATACCAATTTAGTGAATCAATACAGTGAATCCATGTCACTGAATTATCACTGAAATCACTACACACCAATTTAGTTTCTAGGTTAAAGTAAAATTGATGTTTAGCTTTTAGAATTGTGATTTGTATTACTGAACTAAATATGGAAACAAAATAAATGATGAGGAATTGTGTATTTCACTCGTGGAATAAAACCCCAGGCCTGAAATTTCATTAAGTTTTATCCTTAGGATCATTTTGCCTTAAAAATGAAGAATTGTGAAAAATTCTTAATTCAATCTGAATTTGTAATTCAGTTCCTTTGAATGATGGGAAACTAGCTTCAATGTTTAATACTGAATTTAAGAATGTTCCATAATTCTGTGAGATCTTGGATTTTGAGACAGGAGGGTTCAGCATGAAACTTGGATTGTTGGTTTTATCAAGAACAACAACTTGCATTTATATAGCGCCCTTCATGCAGGGTAGTGTCCTGGAGCACTTCTAATCCTAAAATGAAATTTACATTTTTGGTTTACACCAATAATGTTGGCATTAAATTAAGGAATACCATAAATCCGATGCCATAGACTCTCTAGGAAACTGTGTAGGACTGTTATGTTACCGATAATGACAAAGTGGAGGGAAGTGTTCCCATTCCATGAATTTATCCAGATATTTTTGCAAATTATTTGCTCCGGTATAGATCAGAAGTTATGACAGAATTTAATTAATTAAAAAATTTACCATCTAAAACAAAATTAAAGTTATTTATTTCAATCCAATTTTTTGGGAAAGAACAAGATTGTATTTATTCTTTCAAGAATCTTGGTTGTTAAAGAACAACAATTGAGGTTTGGCTTCTGTGCAGGTATATTGTATGCACTTGATGTTCTTGATGTCTTCCAGGGTGAAATGATTGAAACCGTGTCTACATTGCATGACCTTGTAAATGTAACCAGCCAGGTAAAGGAGCTTTCATTCTATATTTGATATTCCATTCTATATACCATTTTAAGTGTCAGCCTGATAGTACTCTTGCCTCTGAGTCAGAAGGTTATGGGGTCAATAACAACTTGAATTTATACACATAATTTGATACAGAGGCAAAACATCTACCAACTGAGCCAAGATGACGCCTCAAATTGCCATTCTAGATCAAGAGAAAACCCCACATCAAGACGACTAGCTTGTTGTCTGGCTTATTGATATTCCATGCAGTGCTGGAGAAGTGCTTAATTGTTGGAGATGCTGACCTTTGGATGAGACATTAAATCAAGGTCCTGTCTGACTGTTCAGGTGGATGTTAAAGATCCCATGATACCTGAACAGGAATGTTGGTTCAACTTCTCATCTGAAGGTACCTCCAACAATGAAATGCTCCTCTGAAATGCACTAAAATGTTTCAATAGGTAAATTCATAACTGGGTGAGTTACTGAGCCAAATAAAATATGGGCTGCTGTCTTTTGACTTCTGTTAGAAATACATATATATATGATAAAACAAATTGGTCAACACTGACTGAGAGTGCTGACACATAAAGAATGAGCACAGTACCAGAGAGTTGCCAACACCTGCAGAACAGGGGGGACAAATGGGAAGGGAAACAAACATGACTGCATATTGCACTTTAATAACACCAAAAATCTTGCTTAAATAAAGGTAACCTCAGAAAGTGCGTTTATTGTAACAAGATCTGTCAAAGAGATGGCCAAGCTTTTCAAAGTTGCGGGAGAATTCACGATGTATGAGGACTTAGTGAAGAAACTTATCTTTGTGGTGGCACATGTCATGGGAGTCGTGGACAACAATACGATGAATTCAATGGATTTGTTATCTGAAGGATTGAAAGTGACAAACAAACTATTATTGGTAAGCCATTAGCAACTGGGGCTGAAGTCCACATAATACAAATGTGAGAATGAGTCTACCTGCATAAATGTTATCTCTCATTTCCTTGTTATTTGCATGCACTGTGCTCTACCAGTAAATAATTCTTCCATTGCAAATTTGGTTTATAAGTATGTAAACATTTCTGAAAAGCATCCTACTTTTTGTGTCTTTTTAATAGTTAGTTTTTACTGGCACCGATTAGTTGGGCCCAATGGCCCATTTCCATGCTGCATCATTCTGTGTGACTCTGTATCACTCTATGATGCACTGGGCATTGTAATCCTCATGTGAATACAGGGTGCATTCATCAATCCCTTTGCAATCGACCATTTCCCGAATAGTATACGTACTTCCATTGGAATAACAGCTTGCGCTTATAAAAATAGGAGAATGTCTTGAAGCACTTGAACAATATGAGTAACAACATTTTATGCTAGATCAATGTTACTGTTGATAATTTAATATTTTTATTTTTAGACTTGCATGGTTTATATATGTTTACCTATTGCAGGCTCTGTTTTCAAGCATTAATTACTTTTTTGCAGTTGAAGTCATGGCAAAGTGTAATAACTTTCTGGTAATATTCCCTGTCTTTCAGAGATACGTCTTGATCACCAATCAATCACAGTTTTATGTTAACACCAATTTTATGGAGCTACAAATCACTCAACATTACGGCTCCCAGAGTGCAGGGCAGAGCACAGGATCCACTGGGGTTTACCTTCCTGATGATTTGGGTAGACAGATTTCTGAAAAAACTGGTCAAAATAACAGTTGTTTCATAACTCACCTGATCAGCTTCAAACACAATCCATATTTCTGGGGAACATCACCAGTGCAGGTTGGTGTGTGTCTAACAATAACCTCATATTCTGTTTAGTAATCTTATTTTCACCACAGAGTAATTGGGTTCAAAAAATGCTTCATGACAGATTCAATAATACTCACATTAAATCTGTTTTGAAACTGACATTTAGTGTCAATAGTTCTTGACTGATTTGGGATACGAACACTTTCTAGACTTTTTCATTTTGATTTGAAATCCCTTTCTAAAATTGTTACAATACAGTAAGATGACCAAAAGAGGAAGGGCTCGAGAAGACGTTGAATGAAGCAAGGAAAGGGGCAAGTTGAAGGGACTCTGGGATGGAGTTCTGGACAGTGGGATTCCTTCCACATTATCTTGGATCTCTGTTTAGCGGTTGGTGGAATCAAGAGTTTATGATAGAAATCTGAGAGATCCGATAGAGGTCTTTACAATTATGAGGAATTTTGATAGTCATCTCAAATGGGACTGAAAAAATTGCTCTTTCAGCTCAGACACAATGGGCCAAATGGCCTATTCCTGTGCTGTAAATTTCTTTGGTTTTGTATTTCAAAGAATACTTTTTATTCACTCGAGAAGCCTGGTTTGAGTGCACTTTACCAGATACTGGTTGAATTAATCCAGTATCCAATGCTATTTTAGCTCCACAAAAACATTGTTCTTTATGATAGGGACCACGTAAATCCTTGGTCCCAACCATTGTGCCACTTCAGGTTGAAATCACCTCCTATACAATGGTTGTGCCAGAGTTTTGTGTGCTACCACTGTTGGTTTGGTTGCTGATCACCAGTTTTCAGTGTAACTTCATGGGTCGCCAGTTTAAATCAATTAGTATCACATGAAGTGTTGCTCAAATGTTGCCTCCGGGGTCAGAAACACAAGTCTTGGCCCTCTCACAGGAATCAAGACTTCTTGCCTTCTTGCCTTTTCCGGAATTTGGTTTGTGAATAGCTCAAAATGTAAGAGATGTGTACTATAACTGTATTTCAGATTAAATCCAACTGTACAAATGAATATCACCAGAACTTTGGAATCTGCACTGTGCTTAGTTGACATCATCATTGTGTGAAGCTGCATGTTTCTATCCTGTTTTGTGCGATTCCTCCACATAGGTTAATGGGGATGTTGCTGACTTGACGATGTATAACTGCACTACCAGAAGAAAAGTGGATGTAAGGGGGCTTCAAACACCAGTTATAATAGAATTTGAAAGGAATGACGACAGAGTAAGTGCTATTCAGTATACAGAACAACACAAATAATTGTAGCAGGTAGTTAAACTTTGACAATTTATGCATTTAAGTCTCAGTGAAGTAGTAGTCTAAGCAGATGATAATAAAATAGAAACTGGTTGGAGTTGAAAAACCAGTGTTGACAAATCCAAACCCTCTGCAGTAATAATGAATTTTATCATACACAAATTATTCATCCTAGCTGGACAAGCAGTGGGAAAGCTTGCCAGACAATGCAAGCTATGTGATTTTAGCTGGTGAAACTCCACCAATGACACTCTGGGGTCCCCAAGTCTTGGCTCTTGCCAGCCTGCGGCTAATACTTTCTGAAATTAGGTAAGCAGGATGCATTTCTGTAAGGAGATTGTGCACATTCCATGAGAATTTCTATGTGTAGTTGGGATGCATGGAACTCTCGGCTTGGTTATTCCTGCATGCTTGTGTTGGCTGACAAAAAAAATCAAATCCAGATACCTATTAAAAAAAATCTGATGTTTGATTTGCAGAAGGGACAGCTTTCTGTGTACTCGCTGCTTCGTACCCAAATGAATGTTCACATGTTCCTGGTGACACCGGAAAACCAACAGCAAGCCTTGCAGATAGAAATGAACCTCACAGAAGCTCATGAGCAAGCCTTTCCTATCATGCTCTTGATGAGGTACGACGCATTTCACATTGATTATAGTTTTACAAACCAGATTGACCTGTTTGCCTATGTGCAGAGCTTATCAATTTATTCTTGAATGTTTCAATAGGTTTAATAAAGAGCCTACTCCAAGCCAATGCAACCTGAAACAAATATACCACTGGAATGGAAACACAATCCATGTCTTTATTCCTGCAGGATCACTAATGGGTTTGTAGTGTCCTTTTCATTTCAATTGTTCCTTCATTCTTATTACATTTTACTACATACTCAAACTTCTATGCATTCCTTGAATTTAAATGAAGCTAAAAAGGTTTAACAAAGAACCTGTATTTTCATAGCACCTAATTACCTGGAAACATCTCAATGTGATAAGGGGCTATGAAAGTCACATAGCATAGTGGTTTGCACACTTGGCCCGCAAGCGACAAAACCAGGGTTTGATTCCCAGGCAGGGCGAAACCTTAGGCAAGTTTCCTCACTCCACACGTCTTTGTTTACCTAGCAGTAAGTAGGAGCCCATTTGTGAGTTGATTGGCAGATCACTTTCGTGGGGTCCCTCCCAAAAAAATGTGGTTACTCACTCCACGACTGTTTGTGGGACAATGCTGTGTGCAATTGGTTGCCGCATTTCACCCACAAAATACACACTTTACAATATATTCTGTGAAGTGCTTTGAGTCATCTCAATGACATGATAAGGCACTATATCAAATACAAGGATTATTATTATCTCAATGCACTTCACAGTCTGGTGACTAGTGTCAAGTCTGGTGACTTTTTTTGTAGGCAAATGCAGCAACCACTTGCACAAGCGAAGTTCCACAAACAGCTATGAGGTGAGCGACCAAATAATCTGGATTATTGGCCTAATATCTGTATGTAGCATTTTCTCCAAAAAGGGTGTTTCTCCTGATGTCATGGCCAACAATCCCCCAGATAAAATCATTCATTCCCTTCGTGGATATCTGTGTGACATTGGTGTACGGAAATTAGCTAATGTGTTTGCCTACAAAATTCACTGGCATAACACATGCCAGTGAATCCGGTGATATGCTGTGAGATGGCTTCCTGACCTGAAAGGTGTTATATCAAATGCAAGGATTATTATTATTATATTTTTCTGGTGCAAATGGTAGACACGTTTTTTCTACAAAATCGATCGAGAGGCTTGACAATAATTACCTGAAAAGTTTTAAAGAGACATTTCAACATGACAAGGTACAATATAAATGCACTTTCTGTACATTAATGTGCTCTTCTGACTACCTATTTATATATCTAAATAGTCAACAACATTATTATCTATTGTGCGTTTCTGCTGTAGTGGTTTCAGATTTATTGACTACTTATCCAAATGTCAGTGGTTTGTGATCCTATTGAATGAAACCTCCTGTAGAAGTGAACATTGGAACTGTAGAGTGCTGTATTATGGAGTGTCAGTGTAGAAATCCAGTTTTAGCCATCAAAGAGTCAATGAAGCACTTGGTGCCCTGAAATAAATAAATAAATAAATGCCAAGTGATTAAGCAGTGAAGAACAAAGATTCTCTGTTACTGTTCATGTGAGTTGATCTGAGTCTTCATTGTTTTCTTCAGACACAGGGAACTATTATCTTGGTCTTTTGGATGCCGACTATGACAGAAAACCCCAAAACCATTACCTTGCCAAGAATGTGAGCTATACTTTAAGCCTCCTGTGGACTCAGTGTCTGTATTGGGATGATATCAGAGAGTGGAAGTCTAATGGATGTTCACCCCAGAAGAAATCAGATTCACAAAAAATAAACTGCAGGTAAAAGCAATTTAAGCAAAGTGTAATGTACAAACGGACGTTGCATGAATATTCTATGTTGCAGAGAAAGTTATTTTTTTGTTGGGTAGAACAGAATTCGTAAATGCTCCTCAAACTCACCTAAATTGGGTATCAATTCTGGCTCAGTTCATTGCACACTCTTCTCTAGGTTAGAAGGTTGTGGTTTGAATTCCCAAGCCAGACATCTTGAGCTTGTAGTCTAGTTTGACATTCTATTGCAGTGCTCGGAGAGCACTGCATTGTTTGACATGCCATCCTTTGGATCACTTGTCTACAAATTATAGTCAGTACTTACACTATATCCTGTAAAGCTCTTTGAGACTTGCTCCCAATGTGAAAAGTGCTATGTCAAACATAAGGATTAATTATTACCGTTTGTTAAACCAAGGTTCCTGTCTGACTGTTCGGGTGGATGTTAAAGACCATTCAAAAAAGAGGCATGTTTCTCCTGGTGTCAACAATCCCACAGATAAAATTAATCATTCACTTCATGGGGATTTGTGGGAATTTTTTTTCAGATCTTAAAATGAATAATGACTAGCTTTGTTACTGTAATATGTTGATTTCATATTGTTAATGCAATTTAATCTTCATCACTCATGGGTTGCAAATTGGCTGCCACCATCGCCCACAAAACACACAGGCCTGCTGACCGCAGTTTACTGTATACCCTGTGAAGCCCTTTGGGACATCCTCCTGATATGAAACATGTTATACTTAATGTAAAGATTATTATCATTATTATTTTAAAAATTATTATTATTATTGGGGTTGTAACGTTATTGACTTTATTTGTTTTGTATCAGTTGCGACCACTTAACAACATTCACAGTTGCACATGAGCAAGTTGAGATGAAGGATTTCACATTCACAGATGTCTTGGCATTTATCAGGTGGGTGTTGCTCAGTGCATGAGAAGCTTTGCGTGCAACTTGATTTCTTTTCATGGATTCATGCAACATTTACTGGAAGTTACAATTTGAAGACACCTATTCTGAATCACACTGTACAGAAGTATCTAATTTAAATTATTGATTTTGCACTTATTGTAGGTAATATTTAACACGGACCAAAGTCCAAGTGTCAAATCTTTGCTTTTACTACAACTGAACACTAATCATGTCAGTGCTCTGACGCTATTGGTCAGAACACTGACATAGTCTATTTTTTTTGAACATCTAATGATCATTTTGTTTGAACCCATCATCATGCTTAAGAGTATCCAAATCAGACTGAGAGTTCCACAGGTTGGTGAGGATCAAAGTTTGGGATCCCGGAGTGTCTATTGGGGCACTGCTGGAGTTTAACCAACTAAAACCGCATAGGTTGTCATTAATAGCTCTGTTTCTCAAGCAACTTGCTGCTTTTTGGGATTCTTGGAGACAACATCCAGCAACTGTTGTTCCAAGCTGCCTTCAGTGTGCTGGGAGGACCAATACAAGACAGCTTGTGATGTGCCAGCACCCTTGATGTTCTAGAGGTCGAAGTCCAATGCCAAATACCAGGCTTGTTCAAAATCAACACCTTAATCCATGTTTTCCTCTGACAAGCTTTGGCAAATGGACATCCCATTGTGAAGCTGACTCCAGGGTGTTCAGCAACAGGTCCGTTTAGGCCGGAGCCCTTGCTCCCTTAAGCCATGTTCCCTTTTTACCACAAATCAACCTCACCGCTTGGTCCTGGTTTTTCCAAATAGGTCAGCTGGGTGTCTGACACATGCGGAAACCCATCACTATGCTTAAGAGTATCCAAAACAAACTGGGAGTTGCATGTATCCCACCTACACATGGAAATTCTCAAGAAAACACGTCTGCTGTATGTCCAGGATCTTCTAGTATGTTTTACTGAGGTTTGCAATGTGCCCAACTAGAAGGTTGTTGTGTTTTTGTTTTCACAGTGCCTTTGAAAACTATGCTCCTTGCATCATTGTTTTATTTACCGTCATCCTCTATCTCCTACTGGTTATTGTGTGCAAACGCATGGATTTGAACATTGAGACAAAACCTGGAATCATAGTCCTGCAGGACAATGCTCCCACTAACCAGCACCTCTATGAGATCACCACAGAGACAGGCTTTAGACCTAGGGCTGGAACTACTGCTAAGGTATTTTTTATGGTGAAGGGACTTTGTGGGAGTTGGGGTATGTGAAATAGTGAGATAGCAATTGAATGCTACGCTGGCCAGATGGACAGTTTTTCAACCACATTCTGCACATTCTTATATTACTTTTATGTTGATGTTAACCAATTTTGGCAGCTTGGTTCAACTGGTAGCACTCTCGCCTCTGAGTCAGAAGGTTATGGGTTTAAGCTCCATGTCTTGACTTTGTAGTCACGTAGTTTACAATGATAATATAGTTCTGGGGGGGTGGGGGGCTGTTGCATTGTTGGAGATGCTGTTCTTTGAATGAGACATTAAACTGAGGTCTGTCTGTGTGTTCACATGGCACAACTCAAGAAGGGAGTTTCTCCCTGTGTCCTGGCCAACAATTCCCCAGATAAAACTGGTTCATGGCTTCATGGCTGTTTGTGAGGTACTATTGTGACTAAATTGGCTGCTGCATTTGCCTACAAGATACATGTCACAGTACATACTGTGAAGCATTTTGAAACATCCTGCTAGTGTGAAAGGAGCTATTTAAAATATTGGGATTATTTCTATTTATTTTCCACAGAATTTAGTTACCTTTCTAATGTAGCTTATTATTTTTAATCCCATTCCTCGCGGTTTCAAACCATTGATTTTCCAAATTGCTTATAATACAGTGCCTATAACATTAAGAATGTCTCAAAGCTAATTCTCAAAATGTTTGCGAAGTGCAATGACAACGCATTTGATACCATATGATTTGATGAGAGAGGAGGGGCTGAGTGGAACTCACAGGATGTGTGTGGTTTTCCAGGTAGATCTAGCACATCTCCTAGTGGCTAGTAATAGAATGCCATTGCCACCTTGACAGGGTTGTGATCAGTGGCAGAGCAAGACCCAAAAGAGGGGAAGTGAGAAAATATGAAACCTTGAAATAAATTTGTTTTACTAATATTTCAATGAAACATTTAATCAGATAAGCGAACATCTTAAATATTTAATAAACAAATAATCCTTGCATTTGATAGAAGCCCCTAATCACATCATCGAGACATTTCAAAGTGCTTTACAGAAATTACTGTGAAGTGTAGTGACTGTGAACTTTGTTGGTAAATACACAGCCAATTTGTATTTGGGAGATTGTTGGCCAGGATAAACTCCCTTCTCTTTTTGAATCATGCTGGGAACTGTCCACTTAAATAAGCAGACAATAAGAACAACAATAAATTCCACCTGTATAGCAGCTTTCACATCAGGGGAATATCCCACAGTGCTGGGTAGTTGAGGGTTTCCACCCAAGTTGGGGCTGGATTCGAGAGGGTTAAGAGCTATTTCTCAAACAAAACAGAATTTTCCATCAAACTGATGCCCATGAAATTAATAAACAACTTGTATTCATATAGAACCTTCCACACGGGATAGCATCGCAAAGTGGTTTATAAAGACAAAAGACTTTGAGGAGGATGGGAAGGAGGGGAGTTTGAGGACATTGAACAAAAGCACTTAGAAGAGTTTTTAAATGGAGAAGCAGAAGGCAAAATAATTTTGGGAGAGAGTGGCAGAGGGCAGGGGAATAATGAAAGCACAGCCACTGATGATGAGACAGAAGGAACGAGGAATGAGCAGTAGCCTAGAATTGGAGGAGAAGAAGGTAAAGCAGGAGAATGGTGTTGGAGGAGAATGCAGTGTTATAGAGAATGTTACCATTCAGGTGACTGTTGTTAGTGATAACTATATTATTGCCATAATTAACTTTCCCTTTCTCAGGTACACATCAACTTACACGGAGAAAATGGTGTTTCTGAAACAAGAGAATTATACCACTCTGAGAAACAATTATTTGAGAGGAATTCTAGACACAAATTTATTATGAGGTATTTCCAGTTGATAATTTAATATCAAATTGACAATTTTTTTTTAAATTTGTAATTTTGTTTGTATTTTATAAGTTTATATTTTGAAAAATATCTTGCGGTAGATGTATCTACCATTTATCTACTACTGACCTATCTCCAAAATGGAGAGAGCATTAAAATCATGCTCCCTTTGACTGGAAAGTACTCCCATCAAGTTGTATCTTAAAAGCAAATATTTGAATTCTGTATATCATATCAGATAAAGGAGGGGTTTGATAATGTTCTTGCAAGGGGCTACAGTTTCTAGAAGATATCTTTCCCAAGCTATCTACAGGACAAAGGGATCATGGCAAGGAGCGTGAGAAAGTACTTGTATCAACCTTGCATTGTCACTCCAGCAGTGTGGTAACAAGAGTCTAATATTAACATGGGGTGTAGACCTGTTTGTATTCACTCTTACCTATTTCCGTGGCTTCACTTCACTTCTTCCAGCAGCTTCTCTTCCCACCTCCGCCCAGTAAGGTGTTTCGCAGAGCTTTATCCTCCATCTTCTCCTTTTCACCATCTATATGCTCCTCTTTGGTAGCATCACACATGACATCCAACGCTATGTCTCAGTCTTTACCTTTGATTCCAGGACTACTGCTGTTCTGCTGTTTTGACTGATTGTTCCTCAGACATCAAGTCTTGGATGAGCTGTAATATTTATCGATTGAATGTCATGGAAGACCAAGACTCTATGCTTGACTCCCATCAGCACTTCCTCATCTCAGGCGCTGACTACATCAACCTAAATGGGTGTCACTCCACCAGAGCTGGTGTGGAACTTCATTGTCTTGTTTGATTCCCAACTGTCCTTCAAACCTGACACCTGTGGGCTCTCACTTGCTCAGCTTTTCCTCACCACTGCAACATCATTCGTCTCCAACACTACCTCATCAGAATCCAAGACTCTCATCCACACCTTCAACACATCCAGGCAGGATTATTTCAATTCCCCATACTCCTCAGCTCGTCCCTATACAAGCTGCAAACCATCCAGAACTCTGTAGCTCTTAACCTTTCCTACAACAGGCTCCGTGAGCCCATCATTTCCCTCCTGGGTTGGCTCCAATGTTGCCATCCTCAGGGGATTGAATTCAAGATTGTCGTCCTTACATTCAGGTCGCTCCATGACCTCACTCCACCCTACTTCTGAAACCCTCTAACTGCCACCTCTACTCCCTCTACTAACTACTCGGTTCAGCACACAGGCCTTGCTGCATGTCCTCCACCTGACCAGGGCATTCTGCCCTGCTCTCTGGAACTCCATCTCAGAGTCCCTCCAATTTGTCCCCTTCCTCCCACCCTGCCTTCAAAATCCACCCTAAAATCTATCTATACACTTTACAGTGAATCCTGTGAAGCATTTACAGATGTCCTTCTGACGTAAACGGTGCTATATCAAATGCAGAATTTATTATTATGATTACAAAGAGTGACTTAATACTGAAAATACATTTGAATTGAATCAATCTGGGTTTTCTTTTCATAGTGTTCCAGAGAGTCTTGGTCCAATATGGAAGGTCTACCTTTGGCACGATAATGGGGGTCATTCACCCAGCTGGTACCTGAGCTCTGTGGTGGTAAAGGACCTGATGACAGGCACAAGCTGGTTCTTCCCTGCAGAATGCTGGCTTGCACTGGATAAAGGTGATGGAAAGATACAACGAGAGCTCATCCCTCTAAACCACGGTCCTGGGTTTAAGAAGGTAATGCATCACTCACAATGATCTTACTATTGGAAATATTTAAAAGAATGAATTTCCTCTAATCTAGAGTTAAAATAATTGTGGTATTCCTAAACAATATTGCTTTCCCTATTAAAGTATCAATGATAACCTGTGTTTTCAAATACTACCAGCGTATGATGCCTTACCAGCAGGGAAATCAAAAAATCGCCCTTCTGAGTTGAGTATATTCCAGTGATATTGGTTGACTCAATCTGAGTTATAATAATAATCCTGGCATTTGATATAGTGCCTTTCATATCTTGTAGACATCTCAAAGCACTTCACAAAATATATTGTAAAGTGAATTGACTGTATATTTTGTGGGCAAACCTCCTCCTGGAGTGAAAGGCGCTAATATAAATGAAAATGAATATTTAAATAAATATAAATGAAAATTGAATTGTATTGTATATTTGGAACACAAAACATTTCCATACAAATAGACATTTTATTTGCACCAGCTTCTGTATAGCAAACTAACTGAATACCTGGAAGATTTTCACCTCTGGGGATCAGTGTACAGTCGTCCGTCCTACAGCTCGTGTACTCATACCCAGCGCCTCACTGTCTGCCTGTGCCTCCTGCTCAGCTACATGTGCCTCAATGCTGTGCTGACAAGCCTAAAGGACGAGGAGGTCAGAAACATTGTTCATTGTTAAAACTTTCAGTTTATCTCTCAAAGAGGGGCACTATTATGCTATGAGTTAACACTTCACATTTATGTTGGAATTTTTCTTTTTGTTTCCAGTATACAGCTGAGCTGGGTCTTATCGATGTCTCAACAGTTTCCCTTGTTACCGGTTTGATCACTAACATTGCAGTTCTGCCATTTGTAGTGCTGGTATCATTGTTGTTCAGGTTCAGCAAGGTGAGCTCATGCATTGTGGCATCCTTTTTAATTTCTGTGGTTCAGACAAATTCCAATCAATATATGATAAATGACTTACCATCCATGTGTCTTCACATTAGATTAAAGTTCAGAGGCAAAATCCTTCAGAAGAACAATGTGGAACTATGAGAGAGATCAATGTATATTCTGTTGAAGGTGAGATATATTCAGTATTTATAGTACTCAGTGGTTGAACCGAGATTCAAGATAGAAAAAGAGCATCTTTGAAAGATCAGAGCCATTGAAAATCTAATGCTTGCGAGACAGATTTTCTGTTGTGTTCATTGCAATTGACCTTAAGAGTGACCTACACAGAGGCTTTCTGGAGAATGATGTAAGACACTGGAGAAGGGACATTGCACTGCTATTCCCTCAATGCTTCATTACTTAGTGTGAAATTAAGCAGGAAAGTCTCAGATTTGATGTCAGTCTGTGACAATTTTGCTGATCACAGCCAGAACCAGAGCAAGGCCTTGCTTCAAATAACGTCAGAACTTTGGTAAAGGGTGAAGAAAAATCAGACAAAGTTCCCACTGCTGACAGCTAGGCTTTCTACTCCTGATCACTAACCACTTTTTGTGTCAGAAAGTGTGAGGATTTCAAATGAGATCAGTTTCAGAATTAGCTTCAGGTGTAATCCCCCCAGTCAAATAGTCTGTCAACACTCCACTCTTTCAACAACAACAAATTGCATTTCTGTAGCGCCCTTTACACTTGCATTTTTTTAATATCTTGTCTAAGTTGATACATGAAGAATGGCTATTTGGGGCAAGGTACAAACAAGCTGTCCTATTTTTGTGGAACTGTATGACAGCCTGAATCTGAACTTCAAGTTGGGAAGAGGAGAAAATAAAAGAGGAAACAAATTTATAAGAGAATAAAAATATAATGTGGAATTTTTCATTTGCATTTCAAATTGTTCTCTGTTCCTTTACCAATATCTTAGCTCATCATACTGCTTTATTGGCATCGGACAGTGCATTTGAATCCTACCTTTCTTGGCAAAACCTTCAGCAATGGGCCCAAGAGGCGTGGAGGAAAAAATACGAGGTGAGTCTTGTGTTACAGGTCTGTCTGAATCTGAAGATTGGGATGAGAAGGCTTTGCCTGGCTCCTGGTGTGTTCCTTCAACCTTTCCCCCTTTCAATACCAATAAAATGAATGACATGTCTAAACCTCTCCTCCTGTTTTTTTGTTGTGCGAGTAGTTAAGTGAGGTCTCCCTGGACTGAAATGATTCCAAGGAGACATTGTAGCCAGGAAATCAAAAGCAATGTATGTTTGATCAGCATGTTCCTCATCAATACAATCTTTAAGTTTGGGCTTGACCTCAATATTGCAATCTAAATTTGAATGGAGCGGAGCTGTCCTAGCTAGCTAGACTCATATTATGAAAGTTATCAGGACTTTCCCCTTCTCGTGTGGGAAGAAGTACCAAGACCCAAACTTTTGAAAGATTTTGGGTGGATAAATAGCAAAAGTATATTTCTGTTGAGCTGATGAAGTAAACTCAGGATTGACATTCGACTGTAGGAGTTGAGAGAAGGTGAGAAGACATGTTTTTCCAGCCAGTGTTGATTGGAACATGAAATTCTTTCACGCAATTGTTTATTGAGGGTATATTTTCTTAATGGGGAGAAATTAAGAACTGAGGATGAGCAAAGAGATTTTGGGTGTCCATATCCACAAATCACTAAAAACTAGTTACCAGGTGCAAAAAGTAATCAAAAGGCGAATGGAATGTTGGCCTTTTTCTCAAGGGGCCTGGAATACAAGGGGAAGAAATGATGCTTCAGCTGTATAGAGAGGTAGTCAGATCCCCACCTGGAGTACTGCATTCAGTTTTGGGCACCACTCCTCAGGAAAGATATATTGGTCCTGATTTGAGGATATGGACACCCAAATCTCTTTGCTCCTCCACAGTTCTTAATTTCTCCTGTGCTGCGGGTGAGCGCAGGTTCACCAGAATGTTTCCAAGCCTAAAAGGGTTAAGTTACGAGGAAAGGCTGCGTAAACTTGGATTGTTTGCCCTTGAGTTTAGAACGTTGAGGGGTGATTTGATTGAGGTATTTAAGATGATAAAGGGATTTGATAGGGAAGATACAGAGAAGCTATTTCCTCTGGTGGAGGAATCCAAAACAAGGGGCATAGTCTTAAAATTAGTACCAGGTCATTTCAGAGTGAAATCGGGAAGCATTTTTTCACTCAAAGGGTGGTAGAAATCTGGAATTCTCTGCCCCAAAAGGCCGTGGATCCTGGATCCATCCCCACCTTCAAGAGTGAGGTTGATAGATTTTTGGTAGGTCAGGGTATTAAGGGATTATAGGAAGAAAGCGGGAAATTGGAATTGAAAGGATTAGTTGAGGTACAGATCAACCATGATCTAATTAAATGGTGGAACAGACTTGAAGGACTGAATGGTCTACTCCTGTTTCTATGTTCCTATGTTCCTAAAATCATAACAGGATTAAAAAATGATAGGTATTTGAAGAGAAGCATTTTTTGTGAAAAGGTTACAGGGAAAGAGCACAGATTTGGGATTACAATACAGTATGTAGGTGTAGTGGAGGAGCATTAACTCAATTGTCAAATTGCCTCCTTCTGTACAGAAATATCTATGATCCAAATACAATAACTCTAATCCTGATGTTCTTAGTAAATATGAACAATCTAGCCCAATCCCAATAGGTTGCCCCGAGGCTCTGGAACTCTGTCCCCCAGTGCCTTCGCCGCCTCCTCCCTTTCCTCCTTCAAGGCCGGTCTCAAGACCTTTCTCTTTGACCGTGCCTTCAGCTCCCCTCTCAACTCTCTACCCCTTCCTCACTCCCTCCCTTCCCTCCCCTCACCCTGACCATGTCCCCCCTGCTCGGGTCCTGACCCAACTGCACAGCGCCTTGGGACGTCCTCCCGACATGAAAGGCGCTCTATAAATGGAATCTTATTGTTGTTATTGTTGTTGTTTGTACATTTTGTCATCAGTTTAAAAGCAACATTTCAGTTTTGAAACTGATAATAAATGACTACCCCAAATAACCGTGTGTTTGCCTTTGCTCAGCGTGGTTTACTGGAGTCACGAGTTCTCAGTATTCACTCGGAGCACTGCACTGAAACCAGCATCAAAGGGGTTCGCCCATCATCGCCAGCCAGCTCCAGTGGATTTGAGGATTGCAGCTTCCCAGAAAACACCAAGGCAGGACTGAAGGATCCCAAACACAGCCCCAGTGACCTGCACTCAGATTACTCATCAGGTAGCAAAGAGCAACAGAATAAAAATCAACTCACAAACCAACATTTTGCTATTGGCAGGCCCGCAGGGGTTACCCACCCATGGTCATTGGTACAGCTCCTTGTTCTGTCACTTCTTCTGGAATCCTTTTCAAACATTCAATTCCGACTTAGAGTGTTTTCATCTTTTTTTGTTTCCCGCCACCTCAACTTGTTTTTTTTAAAAACATATTTGTTTAGTTTTTTCCTTCTCATGAGATTGTCTTTTCACCTGCTCTCAGACCTGTGCCAGTAATGATCTTGGATCATTACGTTTCTAAGGGTGGCCGGAGCTCCCTTTCCTTCCATGCCTGGAACTTGCCTCTACAAGGGTGTGCTACAAGTAGCGACCATCCACTTTTAAGTGCTTCCTCCCAAACTGAACGATAACAGCAACCTGCATTTCTGGAGTGCGCTTCATGCAGGATAGCATCTCGGAGTGTCTTGAACCTCGGTGAATGGTGCTGTATAATTCACAGTGACACCACTTTATAGTATATCCTGTGAAGCGCTTTGAGAAATCTTGATGACATGGCATATCAAATGCAAGGATTATTATTATTACAGTGAAACTCGGATAACTCATCACCGAAAGGGAAATAGCTCAAATTACAACTTGACAAGTTATCAGAGACATCAGAGTTGGCAAGTTATCCAAAGTATCATTGCTATTAGTCATACTGTATATGGGCCACTCTGTAGCAGTGCTTTATTTAATAATTAGCTTGGCCACTGATACATAAACATTTTACTGTGCAATATACATATATACTGTATCAGACATTGAAGACACTGATTTGAATACCCAATACACAGCATAAGATATTTAACTGAATGTAAAATTTATATTGTTATCCTCACCAAACCTTTGTTGGGATACTCAAATTTGCACGGAAAAGAAGCTTCTAAATTTCTTTACTTTTTTAAATTCAAAATGCTTGCATAAGTCTTTTAAGACATTTATCTCGTACATGAATGCAAGAAACTGAACAACAGAGGTGCATATAGGATACTGTTAGGATAACTGGTATACTAACTGCATGGATACAAACTGCAACTGAGCTGATAACACAATACACTGCGAAAAGACCATCTAATCATTAAGTGTAGTCCTGGGCACTTTATTTTTTGCAACTGCGGAATTGCTTTGTCCATTGACAAGTTATCAGAGGTATTTTACATGGAAACACTGTCTTAAAAGTGCGAAAACCTGATGAATTATGAGATATGCAGGGTGACTAGTTATCAGAGGATCATAATTAACATTTCTTACGTACATAGCTGGGATATTGAGTGAGTGACAAATAATGTGGAATTGATCATTTATCTCAGGGGTGAGTTATCAAGAGTTTCACTGTATATAATTATTATTATTATAAGTGTGAATTGTTTGAGGGGCAAAATGGTTTCTCCCTAGGCTGTAATTTCTGTGGGGTGAAAACTGTTCTATGTAATAGTTTTGATATGTCTGAAAACTTTGATTCAAACCAATTCAGAAAGTCTTTGCTGACAAAAACAAAAATGACAACATTCAAACTCTTCAGCCATCTTCTGAGCAGACCATTATGTTAAATATGGAAGAGTGGGGACAAGGATGGGCTATCGTCACCATCAAAATACTTCTGAATTAAAAACAGTTTTCGCTAATTTAGATCACAGTTTTCAACAACGTGATAATTATCTCATCATATTTGGGAGTTTCACTCAAATCCACATTATCCCAAATAATTTTCTTTCCATGCATTTAAATGAACCGCCAGGAAAACAGACACAGTGAGTATTTTTCTGTTTGATTTTCAACTTCATTTGTTCTTCTTTGATTGATGTTTCCAGAGCCCAGCAGTTTGATTGAACAGCCAGTGGCTATTGGTGCCAGGCATTTTCTTCCATCGTGGTGCTATAATTTGGCGTGGATTGTCTGTTTTCTAATTGCTCTGGTGTGTGTGGTAACAACTAGTTTGGTTGGATTGAGGTAAGAAGCACTGAAGTCTGCGGACTAAACATTTCAGGTTGTCACATTTACAATCTGAGTTTTTAGATTGAAGGCAATGTTGTAGCAATTCGTCTTGTTATTTACAGATTTGGACCAACCAAATGTATCTTGTGGTTACATTCGTTGCTCTTCTCCCTGTTGTATTGCTTCTTTGTCATCCAGCCGACGACAGTAAGTTGCATGAAACTCACGCAAGACACTAAAGTGCACAGAAATGTGATATTGAACACTGCGTCTCCTTTAATAACTATGGTTACCTCCCCCTTTCCCTCGGTCGGTGTCCAACGCCACTTTATGCGCAATTGGCTGCCGTGTTTCACCCACAAATATACAGTCAATTCACTTTACGGTATATTCTGTGAAGTGCTTTGAGACGTTTAGAATACTTGAAAAGCACTATGTCAAATGCAAGGATTATTATTATTATTGTGAAGTGCTCTGAGACACTGTCCTGTGCGAAGGGTGCTATAGAAAAGCAAGTTGTTGTTGGCTGTTAGTGCCTAGTATAAATGCCATTGTGGCAGTGGTTTACCAGAGACAAATTTCAGGCTGCTCACATCAGATCATGTGAGACACCAGACCAAATCATCAAGACCCTCATCCACACTGTCTTCTTGTCCAAGCTTGATTACGCTAATGCCCTGTTTGCTGTTCTCCCCCGTTCTTCCCTATACCAGTCTATAGACTATCCAGAATTCTGTAGCCCATGTTGTCTCCAGGCTCCATGAGTCTATCAACCCCATCTTTGCTTGTCTTTCCATCCTCCAGCAGATTGAATTCACGATCCTCGTTCTCACCTTCAAATCTCTCCATGGTCTCGCCCCACCCTACCTCCACCGCCTCCAACAAACCTACTGACCAGATGGCTCCCTTTGCTCAGCAAGCACTGGGTTGCTTCAAGTCCCCTGCTTTAGCTACCCACTATCAACACCATCACCAACAACAAATTACATTCATATTGCGCCTTTCACGTCAGCACCTTGGGATGTCCTCCCGACGTGAAAGGCACTATACAGATGTAATTTTGCTGTTGTTGTTTCACATCGGGAGAATGTCCCAAGGTGCTGAACCATCAGGTGGCAGGATTTAAACCATTCTACCCACACTCTCTGTCCTTCTGATTCACTCTCTCCCTCACTTCATTCAAAGTACATTTCAAAACAAATTCTTTTTATATGCTTCAGATCAATGTCCCCATCCCCTTCCAGCACTGTTAAGAGCTTTGAGACATCCCCCAGATGTAAATTATATTATGTTGTATTGTGTCATCTGTCATCTTCCAGAATAAAATGTCATTGTAAAATGTGCCTGACCTTGTTTCATCCCAAATTTTTCCACGTGTTGGGCAGGAATCCCACTTTTTGATGATGCCTCAATCTCCATAGAATTTAAGACCGATAGAAATATACAGCAAATTAGGCCCATTTTGGTGAATTTGTCAGCCCATTTTGGTGGGTTTGTTGTTTGCTCTACCAAGACGCCAAATATCTTATTCCCACCGATCTTTCCTTAAACCCTTTAATACTCAATATAGTCGCCATCCTTTTAGGCCTTGAGGGAGCATCAAGAAATGTCCTGCCAAACACCCGCACCAGTCCATGCCATATCAATACCTTATTTTCAGAAGAAAAATGCAAATAAAGAAAAATTTATTCGGTTGGCTGACCTTAAAGGTTGGCGACCACTGGCTTAAGGCAATGCCATTATTGCATTGCAGTCAATGTCATTGTATTTGTTGCATTGCTATTTTCAATCAGCATTTTCATCTTTGTATTTCAGTGCATGCATTTTCAGAGATGAAACACCAAACTGCCATTTTCTGCAGTGTGTGCCCAATAAAGGGCCAAAATTGTGGCATTTCTAAACATATTGTATTACTTAATCACCAGGGATGAGTAAATAATTTATCAATGGGAATATTGCCCTTAATAATACGTTTTAGACTGAACACCCCCTGACTTTGGGAAAATGATTCCTCCCTCAGGTTTTCCACAGTCAAATTGCCCACTTTCTTTTTAAAAAAAGCAAAAGTATTTTTGATTCTCAGCCGCTAGTGCAGCTTTTAAACTTTTACCTTTAAAATAATTTTTAGTCCACATCTGGCAAAGAACAACAATAACTTGCATTTATATAGCGCCCTTCACGCCGGATAGCATCTTGGAGCGCTTACAATCCACGCTTCTGCAGCTCAATTAATTGTTCCTTGATCCCTTAACACAAAGTACATTTTCTGCAGAAATGTATCTCGTGAGCTCAGGAACATTTTATGTCCTCTAAAAAATTTATGTGTTGTCTTGTTATCTCAGCCTGGCTCTTCATGGCTCTTTGTGAGACATTGGCATGCATAAATTGACCTACAAAGATAGCCACTGCACTTTACAGTGAATCTGTGAAGTGCTTTGAGACATCCTCCTGAAGTGAAAAACACTGTATCAAACGCAAATAATATTACAATTATTATTATCCCTCTCCAGATCTTATGTATAGCTACAATAATTGCACTGAAAAACAAGGACTGCAGTGACTTTTACACCAGTTCCATCGATCCAAGGTCTACAATAGAGTCCTACAAGCAATGGAGTTCTGAAGCAAGGTTTCTAACGGACAAATGCCTAATAGACGCCTATTACAATCCATACATTGCTCCCATGGATATTGACTGGGTAAAGTATGTTTGTTACTCAGGACTGGTGCTCATTTCATGCAACTCAAGTTTCATTGGGGCAAATTTCTGGTATTTCTTAATGCATTTCATGACAAATAATTTGTTTATAACTTCACATGGAATCTTAACTCAGCAAACTTGCTCAGGTAAAACACTTGATATAGAAATACAATCACATTCCTCATCTATATTAGGAAATTGACCATATAAGGTCAATTTTCTGTTTTTTTAAAAATCGACAATGCATTCCTCTTTCGAATGGTGGTGCTAGTAACAAATTTGAGATTTCTTAAATTTCTCATAGTTTTTGGTGTTAATTATGATAAGAAATGCATTGAGTAATGCTGCAAATTTTGCCCTTTGTTTCTGTCTTGGAACAATGTACTCACTTAAACTTCTTCGTCACAACCATCATCATTTTAGTTTAAATAATAAAATGAAATGATTCATTTCAATTCGATTCACCACAAGGAACTTTTTTGGGGGACGGGGAGGATCAGTAATTCAGAGTCAAAAATAAATTGAGAGATAATTTACAATCCAAGTTAAATTTATTCAGCGCCTTTCATGCTGGGAGGACATCTCAAGGCAATTCACAGCACTGTCATAACAATCGCAACTCAGAGCTTGAGGTTGGTTGATCTCAAAGGGTCACTGAAAGGTTGATAGATGGGAATTGGGTCAATGTATTGAGGGTCTTTAATAATGAATCCCTGGAATTCCTTTGTGAAAGTAGATTGCGTTAGGAGTTCCAGTGAGTTTACATAACAATTTCCTTCTGGTGATCTTTTCTGGTCATTAAAAGGTGTCACTATTTGTAGAATTCAGATTCCTTATTAGGGAATCCTGTAAAGCGAAAACACAACTTAGACCCCATTTACAAAGTAGGATAGACAGAGCCACAATGTATACGTGGCTCACTATATTTTAGTACATGGTGATGTGATACAAGTTCACACACACACACACACACACACACAAACAAACACAGACACACACACAAACTCCTCAACCTTCCTGGGCTCTCACTTAGACTCACCAAACCTGTGCGCAATCTAGGCGTCAGGTTCGATCCCCAGCTTTTCCTTCTACCACACATCCATTCCCTGACCAGGACCTCTTTTTTCCACCTCTGCTACATTGCCCGCCTCCGTCCTTACCTCACACCCACATCAGCCAAAACGCTCGTCCAAGCATTGTCACTTTCCGGCTGGACTTTTCAAATGCCCTCCTCGCTGGTCTCCCCAGTTCTACCTTATATAAAATTTAATTAATTCAGAACTCCTCCGTTCGGATACTCACCCGCATAAACTCTGGATCCCCATCACACCAGACCTTGCCAGGCTGCACTGGCTCCAATTTCCAAACAGATCGACTTCAAGATCCTCTCTCATTTTCAAATCCCTTCACGCCCTCGCATCTCCCTACCTTTCTCATCTGCTCACCCTCTACTATAATAATAATAATCCTTGCATTTGATATAGTGCTTTTCACGTCTTCTCGACGTCTCAAAGCGCTTCACAGAATATACTGTAAAGTGAATTGACCGTATATCTGTGGGCGAAACGCGGCAGCCAATTGCACACAGCAGTGTCCCACAAACAGTCATGGATTGAAAATGACCGATTTATTATTGTTTTTATTTTTGGAGGGATTACTATTAGGCATGTGGAGTAAGGAAACTCCCCCACCCGATGCCTCCACTCGGCCGGCTCCGACCTCCTGTTCATCCCTCACCCCCTCCGCTTCACCATCGGCGACTGTGCTTTCAGCCATATGCTCTGGAACTTTTTGGAAGGATTATTATAATTATTATCATTTCCTTTTTAAAAAGGCTGTCGTGCATTACAATTAAACAATCTATCAAGTATCTGTCATTTTCCATCATTTTCCGTCAAATCCGTCATTTTCACTTTTCCTCACTCCCCAATCCACCACATAGTGCCTCGGCTCGACTAGCACCGGCCTCCTGCTCGGCCCTCGCACCCTCCGCCCCATCATCTGAGGTCGTGCTTTTAGCCACTACGCCCAAAACTCTGGAACACTTTCTCTCAATCTCTCCACCTTGCCCCCTCTCTCTCCTCTTTCAAGTCCCGCTTGAAAACTTTCCTCTTTGACCGTGCTTACGGCCACCTCCCTACTCCGTCCGGGTTGGAGTCAGGCTCCGACGCTGTTAAGCACTCCAGGACGATATCCGGTGTGAAGGGCACCATATAATTGGAAGTTGTTGTTAGGTCTGACAATTACTGGTCACTAAACAAGGTATAGATTATTTGAATAAAGATTGGAAATCAGTCTGGGGCTAGAAATTCCACTTCAGTCGAGGCTTGGACTTTGTTCTTAGCATTTTCCATGCAAATGTTAGACAATTCTTAATTCATTTTTAATTGTGAAGTTGGTTTTAAGTTAGCTCTTTTAAGATTTCAACATTAAGGCTGAAGTTTACAATTGTCACTTATGCACTAAGAAATAAAGTCTAAGTCAGGACCCAGGTGAACGTTCTCCCCCCACTGAGAGGACTGCATTGGAGGTCGGATGCTCTATAACTGACTGTGTGGATGTCTATTCAGATTGTTGCTGCTCGGCAGAGAGCTCGCTATCTGCGTCTGGCTCGTCCTCCTACATCTGCACAGCTCAAGGAAGCTAAAGATCGTATGAGAAAAGAAACCCTCATTCAACAAACATTGCGGTATTACACCATTTATTCCTTTACAATTTCTATTAATGTTCTGTAATAGATTTGTACCATTCAGGAATCACATGTTGGTTATTTTTTCTGGCCTTAATTTCTATTTTGGATTCACCGGGTTTATTTCTGTATTTTTCTTTTCCAGAGAATTTGTCCTCTACCTTCTAATGCTTGTTCTGCTTCTATTAATAATATTTGGAAAACTCTCCAATGATGAATACTACCTCAACCAGGCCATCCGGGCAGAGTTTACTGGGTATGAAACTTTAGATTGTTTCTGCACTCATTTCATGAGCACTGGAGAAGGAATCTCTTTTAAAATAGTATTGTGACATCCACTTAAGTGGTTGGGGAGACATCCTTTCTTTAACATCTCAGCTGAAATACAGCACCTCCAATAATCCTCCAATTCTCCCAATATTGCACTGGAATGTCAGCTGGACTTTGCATTAGTCCCTTCAGATCCACAGATAAGAGTGCTACCAACCAGGTGAATATCCAACAAAATAAACTGAGTTAAGCTGGTATTCCACCATCTGTCACATCTGTTACTGCAATCCATGGCTCGCCAGTACAATGGAACTGAACACCAACTTCAGACTCTGCCATTGTGATCAATTCAGGGACGGGGGTCATATCCATGGGCACCAGTCAATTAACTAATACATTGGCACGGAAGAATTTATAATGATGTGAGAATTAACAGCTGATAATTATCACCAACATAAATAAACACGTGATAGCTCACAATTTTCACCACTAATTGTGAAGATCACCGTGCCAGTCTGTTTCATGCTTTCAACAAAGTTGTGTCCAATCTTACAGCAATGGCAAAATCTCCTTCATGAATGTGAAAACAGCTGACGATTGGTGGGTTTGGAGCTTCAGTACTCTGTTACGTGGCCTGTACTGGGACAAGCGGTACAGCGATACAGCAGCAAAAAGACAGGTACCTGGGACCCACCTTGAGTCACAAGCTCTGCCAGGGTTAAGCGCTGGGAGACGCAACCCCACATGAAGGGAGCAATATAAATACAATTTGTTGTTATTCCCAGTTAACTTTAGTTTTTCTGAATGAACGATTCTTTATGGATGGAGGGGTTGTGGGGGCTGTTGTTGGACTCACAGAGAGGTTGTTGGATTCACACATCCAATTGAGTACTCATTCCATCTCCAGTCTGGGTTGCATTGTGTTTTGAGGGGACATATTGCAAGTACTGTAGTTAAAAATCATGTGACTTTACCATAGAACATTTTAAGTTATCGTTTTGACTACTGTTGTGAATATTTCTGAGATGTTAAGTATCACTTACTTCACCCTTGCATCTTTACTTGAGCATGATAATTATGAATAAGTTGATAATAATTACAAGTATATTGGTTCAGAGTAATCCATGTGTCCATGTGTACCTGGATTAGTTTGAAGATGCTGTTGTGAATGGCAGGGTTTGGCCCAGGCAGCCTCAGAGTATTATTCCAACCCTGAGTGGATTGTCTGACACTTGCCAGGTCAACCCTGCCCCTTGCCTGGTCAATCCTGCCCCTTGCCTGGTCAATCCTGCCCCTTGCCTGGTCAATCCTGCCCCTTGCCTGGTCAATCCTGCCCCTTGCCTGGTCAATCCCGCCCCTTGCCTGGTCAGCCCCACCCCTTTACTGGACAGTCCTGGCCTTGGACAGGTTGGCTCTACCCCTGGCTGCTCAGTCTCTCCCACTTGTCTGGTCGGTCCCACGCCCTGATGTCATGGTCCAAATATGCTGCAGTGTGAAAGATCTGGACTGTGAACATTTGCAATACAATGACTGAGGATAACTGTAAGTTTTAACTACAATTTGTAGGCTAGTGCTGTGTGTGGAAAATGTTACCTGATTGGTACACCATCACTCAAGAAAATCCAAGTTACAAGCAACTTGTCCTGTGAGGTGAGTGTTTGCTCCCTTATCAGTTATTGTTAGGTTACAGTTATAGCATACAATTAATAACTGACCTCTATTGTACATGAACATGTGAACACTTTAACTTTTTTTTTACACTGGACTTATACTGTGAAGAAGCTCTTGTTTAACACGAAGAGTAAGTTTGTGTAAAATTCGCTCTGATTTACAAAGTGTATGTAGGATGGTAACAGCTTATTATCATAACTCTTGGATGCCATTTTCATCAAATCTATGTTCAACTTTCCAACCAGGACAATACTTGCAGATCTTAGTATTTTGCCTTAATTTGAATTTCCTTGCATGTTTTTCTACCTCGTGGCATACAAACCCCAGAGAACATCACTTGAACTAACCTCATAGAATCTTTGAAATGAACACATAGGAGGATGCCACCCGACCAATCTAGCCTACGATGGTGCTAGCTTTTCCCCTGAAGCTAACTACTGCAATCTGAATTCCCTTCTCTCTCCACGAACCTGTTTACAATCTCCCTTTTCAAATGGATTGCAAATGTTGGTATGTTTTAAAAAAGTTTTTACAAAACCCATCCATCTATTCAAAATGTCACCAAAATGTTTTATGTTCTTATGTTCTAAAAGGTACTTGTAACAATTAAACTAAAAAAGAGATGTCTTTATTTGTGGAATCATTATTCTGTTCCACAAAATAGCAACAGTTTCCTTCATCATCACATTCTCTAGCCCTTCCCTGATACCTAACCGAATCCTGTACATTGCAATGTTCTGTGATGCCCCATTGAACTTGCTTTGCTCCAGTGCATACAATCACTTACTTTAGTCACTATTCACTTCCCCACTAAATCTATCTCCAGACTCTCAACAGCTCTGGGATAAATCATAACCTGTGAATCTTTAACAACTCTTCAACAGCCACCAATTTTTTTTCTTTATCTGCAACAACGTGACCATTGCCACCTTGCCTCTATCTACACTCTTTATGAGTCTACTTTTCTTTAATCCAGGCCTAAGGCAAGATATATTATAGGTTAGTTGCAGTGTGTAGCACCTCTTAGACTCTTCCATTGTACACCAAAGTTCTCAATACTATTCCCAATCCACGAGTGCAGCATTTCCATTTCCTATTGCTGACTTTGGTCTCTTCAGTTTAAGTTGTTTAAGTCTCCCAGTGCTCGGAGTTGTGTTGTAACTGACCAAAACTCATTTCACTCAGGACCCTTAACAGCTGTCATCCCATCATTGCAATATGGAGTCAAAGATAAGTTAAACTCAAAGGTAAAGGATCAATGTTCTAATCCACTGCCTAGCAGCCCCAATATGTTGCAACGTATCACAAAAGAAGGAAAATTAAAAGCATTTAGCAAAGGTTTTGTTTCTGAGGTGTCAGTACCCCTTGTCGTAAGGTAAAATTACTCATGTATTTGGAAAAGAGTTATTTTAAGGAAAGGTTGACTACTTTCTAACCTAAAAAAGATTGGTTGAATTCTTAAGATCTCCCATTGTCAAAGAACCTGGATTGACCTGGGAGAGGTGGCATGGATTTGTAAAGAGCAGGTCATATCTTGGGTAGTTCGTGGTCTGACACAAACATCCTCCTGATGTGAAAGGTGCTATACAAACCGTTGTTGTTGACACATGTGAACTCCCATTGCCATGCTTAAAAGCATTGATGCAGTGATGGGAGGATGGTAGGGTGGGTGTTCTGGAGGGATGGGATTGGATGGACTGGACGGCCTTTTTCTTCCAGACCAATTTTGTAACCATGTGAAAAGTATCCAAATCAGATTAAGAATTCCACAAATTCATGGAAATTTTCCTTTGTCTGGAATGAAATGCTCACTGTCCCCTCCTTACTCAATCACAGGAAGTATTAGACACACACAGGTTGGGGAAAATCAGAGATTTTAGATACAAATTTTCAAACTGATTTTGAATATTAAGTCCATGGTATTAATTGTAAATCTGATTTTAGATTCCAGATGTCCTGCCAGGCTTTATCCATGACTGTGGACCTGTGTACAGTGCCATAGTACAAAATCCAGATCGCAACAATACCTCAGAGCAAGCAGATACCGAACAGTCCCGACAATGTAGTCCACTGAACTGCTACAGTGGAAAGCAATCTATTATTAACCTTGGAAGAACATGGTAAGACATAAGAACTTCATTTCAATCTATTGTGCTTTTAACGTCTGCTCTGCTCATTGAACTCCTCAGCTCTTCCCTACATAAGTTGCAGACTCTCCAAAAATCTGCAGCCATGTCCTCTCCTACACCAGGCTCTGCAAATTTCTCATTGCTATCTCTCCTGGCTCCGTTGGCTCCACATACCCCAATGCATTGAGCTCAAGATGCTCATTGTTACCTTTAAATCCCATGCACGGTCTTGTCCCATCCCACCTCTGCGACCAACAACACAACAACAACAACTTGTATTTACATGGCTCCCCTCATACAGGATAGCATTCCAGAGTGCTTGACAGAGGTGGATCATGACACTGAGCTGGGGGGAGGAGGGAGGTGATTGTAGGCACTGTTGAAGAGGAAGGTCCTCAGGTGTGATCTGAAGATTGGGAAGGAAGGGTCAAGGCAGAGGGATAGAGGAAGAATGTTCCACAGTTCAGGGCATAATGGCTGAAAACACATTCACCAGTGGTGGAACGGAAGGCACGAGAGGTGCAGGAGGCCAGAGCTAGTTGAGCGTAGACAGTGGGTAGTGGGTTGGAGAGTAAGCAGGTCAGAGAGGTAGGGAGGTGCTGGGGCATGAATGGATTTGAAAATAAGTGTGAGTATTGTGAAATCAATTCGTTCGGTGTTAGGGAGTCAGTGGAGTCTGACTAGAACTGGTATGATGGGGGTACAGAATTTAATACAGGTGAGTATATGGGCAGCGGAGTTTTTTTCAACTAGATTTTGTGGATGGTGGAACTGGGGAGATTGGCATTTGAATAGTTGAGTTGGAGGTGGTGAACGCATGAATGAGTGTTTCGGCTGTATCTGCAGTAAGATACGGTTGGAGGCAGACAATGTGGCGAAGGTGGAGGAAGGCGCTCCTTGCCAGGGTAAGAAGGACAGCTGTGGGTTGAACCCAGACAACCTCCTCAAATAAAAACAGAAGTCGCTGGGAACACTCAGCAGGTCAGGCAGCATCTACGGAGAAAGGAAAGTGAGTCAATATTTTTGGGTCCACGACCCTTTGTTAGAACTGGGGCATGTTGGGAAGGAGAGGTTTTTAAGGGCTAACAGAGTGGGGGAGAGGCAGGGCAAGGAAGACAAAGGAGAAAATGGGGTAGAGGAAAGGGAATGATGGGTTAAAGGGGTGTTAATGATGCAAACCAAAGGAGGGGAAAATTGTGTCTGGGACCCAGCTGATGTGGTAATGGTCACGGAAAAGGGGGAGGGGGAAGGTGAGCTGTTATGGTCTGAAATTGTTGAAATCAATATTGAGGCCAGAGGGCTGTAAGGTCTTGAGCAGATGAATGAGGTTCTGTTGCTCAAGCTTGCGCTGTGGCTCATTGGAATAGCATAGGAGACCGTGGATGGAGAGGTCAGAGTGCGAGTGGGAGGGAGAGTTGAAGTGGCAAGAAACTGGAAACTCAGGTTGTGCTTGTGGACGGAACGGAGGTGTTCAGCAAATCAGTCAAAGAGGAGACCACATCGTGAGCAGCGAATGCAGTAAACTACATTGATGGTAGTACATGGAAATCGCTGTCTCACTTGAAATCTGTGTTTGGGGCCCTGGACAGTGGTATGGGAGGAGGTGAAAGGGCAAGTATTGCATCTCCTGCGCTGACATGGGAAGGTGCCGGGGGGAGGAGAACAACTGTTGGTGGTGATGGAGGAATGAACCAGGGAGTCACGGAGGGAACGGTTCCTTCGGAATTTTAAGAGGGGAGGGGAGGAAAAGATATGTTTAGTGGTTGGATCACGCTGGAGTTGCCGGAAATGGCGGAGAATTATTTGTTGGATATTGAGACTGGTGGGGTGAAAGGTGAGGACTAGGGGGACCGTATCACGGTTCTGGGAAGAGGGGGAAGGGGTGAGGGTAGAGGTGCGGGAAATAGGGTGGACATGGTCATGGACCCTGCCTACCTCAGTGGATGGGAATCCTCGGTCAAGGAAAAAGGAAGACATTTCAGCTGCTCTGGTGTAAAAGGTGGCATCATCAGAGGAGATGCAGCGGAGGTGGAGGAAATGGGAAAAGGGAATGGAGTCTTTAGAGGAGTTGCGGTGGCAGGAAGTGTAGTCCACGTAACTATGAGAGTGTTGGGCTTGTAAAAGATATCTGTTGATAATCTATACCCTGAGACTGAAATGGTGAAGTCTAGGAAGGGAAGAGATGAATCGGAGATAGACCATGTGAATGTTATGGAGGGGTGGAAGGTGGAAGCGAAATTGGTGAATTTTTCCAGCTCACTGCAAGAGCAGGAAGCAGCCCCAACACAGTCGTCAATGTATCTGAGGAACAGGTCAGGAAGCAGACCTGAGTAGGCCCGAAGCAAAGTGTGTTCCAGGTGGTCAACAAACAGGCAGGCATAACTGGGACACATGCAGGTTCCCATTGCGACAACTTTTACTTGGAGCAAGTGGTTGTAGTTGAAGGTGAAATTGTTCAATGTCAGAACAACCTTCTCAAATCCTGCTGACCTGGCTACTCCCTTTGCTCAGTGACATTGGCCTACTTCGTGTATCCTGCCCCGTGACGGGCCTTCAACCTTTCTGGCCCCACTGGAGTCCATCCAACTTGCTCCCCCTCTTGGCTTGTTCAAGGTCCAACTCAAGACCTACTTCTTTGATGGATCATGATTTTAGTCATCTTTCCCCTCCCCATCCCCCTCAGCTCCTACTGCCAATTTGGATGGCAAGCCAGTATTGTAAGCACCTTGGGATGCCCTCCTGACATGGAGGGTGCTATATAAATGTAAATTTGTAATGTATTATACAGAATTAAATGAAAGCAAAATATAGAGATGAAAAAAGGTTGGCGGTAACTTTAAATCTCGCCATAGAATAGCCTGTCAGGAACCTAGGTGTCTTGTTTGACCCTCAACTGTCTTTTCTTCCCCACATCCAAGCCATGACCCGCTCTGCCTTCCCTCACCTCCGTAACATCCCCCGACTCTGCCACTTCCTCACCCCTCAGGCCGCTGAAACTCTTGTTCATGCCTTCATCACCTCCAGGCTCGACTATGCAAATGCCCTGCTTGTCGGCCTTCCCAACTCCTCCCTCCACAGGCTGCAGATAATCCAGAACTCTGCAGCCCGTGTCCTCTCCCGCACCAAACTCCGTGACCCCATCTCCCACATTCTTGTCCGACTCCATTGGCTCCCGATCCTTCAGAAGATCCAGTTCAAGATCCCGGTCCTCACCTACAAAGCCCTCCACGGGTTCGCCCCACCCTACCTCTGTAACCTCCTAACCCCCTAACAACCCTCCCACTCCCTCCGCTCAGCTGGCTCTGGCCTCCTCCACATCCCCCGACCCACCCGCCCCACCATTGGTGGGAAAGCCTTCAGCCACTCTGCCCCCAACCTCTGGAATTCCATCACCCAGTCACTCCGCCTCACCCCACCTTTGCCTCCTTCAAGTCCCAGCTCAAGACACTCCTCTTCGAACATGCCATCGGACACCGCCCTTCCCCTCCCTTCTCCCCCCCGATCCCAGCTCGGGTCTGAAATGCTGTACTCTGTCCAGTGCCTTGGAACATCCTCCCGACGTGAAAGACGCTATACAAATGTAATCTTGTTGTTGTAGAAATGCTGGGATCGATCCAAGAAAGTCAGCATGGATTTGTAATGGGTTGTGGTACAATTCAATGGCTTTCTGAATTATTACTACTGCACTGCTGAATTGACCCCAGTGTGTGCAGTGTGCAGTCCATTATTCAGACTGTGATTTTTTCTTCCCAACTATCTTACTTCACGGCCTCGCCCCAACCTACCACTGCGAGCTCCTGAAACTTGTCTACCCCATTGCTCCCTTCACTCAGCGAGTACGAGCTTGTTTCACTTCCCCTTCTTTATCAGCTTCACCATCGGTGGGTGAGCTTTCAGCCATTCTGCCCTGCTCTCTGGACCTCCATTTCGAGTCCTTACAACTCGCCCCCTCCCCCACTTTTAAAGCCCACTTCAACACTTACCTCTTTGACCATGCTTTTTGGTTATTTCTCTCTTCTTCCCCACCCCCAAACCTTTTCAGCTCCCCACCTTCCTGGCTTGTATGCTCTGCCAGCTCTATAATGCACTTTGAAAAATTCTGATGTGAAAGGCGCTTTATAAATGTAAATTATTGTATTGTACCTTTAGGCATGAGGCTTATGCAACATTAATCCACCTGAAAGAGAATGAGTGGATAGACAGGAACACCAGAGTAGCAGTGGTTGAGTTTACCCTGTACAATCCTCCCACCAACCTCTTCACTGCCGTCTCACTATTGGCGGAGATGCCACAGTCGGGCGGTGTTCTTCCATCTATAAGTATAGAGTCGGTCAGCGTTTACCACATCAACTCCACCCTGGATTATTTCATCATGGTTTTTGAGGTGAGATTTCAAGGTTTACAATGATGGTCCAAAATAATAAAAATAAAAATCATTCACGTGGTAAGTTGAAGACGAGGTTAAATAGTAAGTCTAATATAAATGAAGAGTTTCCAATTCCATTCATACAGCTGTACCTCTTTAGGTTCTTTTTTTAAAACAAGGAGCACTGTTGGTGCCAGTATTAGCATTTGGCCTGCCTTTGTCAGGTATAAAGTACATCAGAGATGTGGCTAATTTGCGAGATGTTACAAATTGATTTGTAAGTTGCAGATCTTCCAAGTGCTTGGATGTGTCTGACTGAGTCCAGCCCACCAGAACTTCACTTAGAACATGGGAACATGAGTAGTCCCTTAAGCCCTCATCATTCTATTAGATTGTGACTGACCTCAACTCCAAATATCCGTCTTTGCTCCTTACCAATGAAAAATCTATTCACCTCTGTCTTGAAATGTGATTGGATCCAGCATCCAAAGCCTTTTGGGAGAGGGAGTTACAGATTTCCAGATTTGGTCACGGATCTCAGTTCCATCTTCTAAAAAGTCAAAGGGCGCGCCTGGCACCTGGCAGGACGTCAAAGTTCAATCGGAGTCTCAGCAAAATTCCAGCAAAGCAGCCTCCTACACATCTGGACAGCCGCAGGATTCAAAAGATACTAATCAAGTTTGAAATCTCAAAAATAGTCTTCAAAGACCTGTCACAAGTTGAGTCAAACAAAATTTGCAATAATGTACAGTTGCGGAATACGTTTTGTGCAGGCTAAATAATCTCAATTCACAAGTGCTTTTTTGGTTGATTTTGAACATTTTTAAATTGGAGTATCTTCAATGCAATATTTGACATTCAGAATTCTTTCCTTATGCTTTGCAGCTGCTGTTTCTGGCCATTATTCTGCTTCACTTCTACTTGCAGACATGCAGGATCAGTCAGAAAGGACTTTTGAGATACTGTCAGGAATCGTGGAATTGGCTGGAGGTCAGAAATCTGTTGTAGGAAATTGGTTTGCTTTAATTTTTTTTTGTCAAGTTTATTTGCCCACAAAATACACGATCACTTTTACAATAAATCGTGTGGGATGACCTCCTGACATGATATATCAATCATAAAAATTAATACTATTTCTACTTTAGTTGTGAACTGATCAAGAAATCTTGATAGTAAATGAAATAGGGAATGATTTCAGAGTCTTCATAAAAAAAATGTCTGTCAATTTTTGTTTGTGCTAGGAGGAGAAAAGAGCTGTCACAGGATTTCTTCCGACATGATCTCTCTTGTTGAATTTTATCTTTGCAAACAAATAAATAAACCATTTTTTTGGAGACCACCATTGAGAAGGGTGTTAGCAGAGAAGTATGTGTGGGGGGTTGGTGGGGGGAATTCAGATAACTCCTGCACACCTGGGCAACAAGATGTGTTAAAAATGACAGGGTTGCTAAACTGAGCGAAGTATTTATTGCAATATTGCAAAACTGACCCCATCACAAATTATTAGAACTTCCATGAAAAATTCTAATAATTCAAAGAAATCTGTGCACATCCTTGACAGTCCAGGACTTTGGGACATCCTCCTGATGTGAAAATTGCTGTATACATGTAATTTGTTGTTATTGTTTGAAAATGTCACTGTTCTTTGTCCAGGTCAGTCTCATCGTGATCAGCTTGTTTTACTATATATATTACGTGTATTATTTTGTGCTGGCTGTGGATATTATTGACCGCTTACACAGTGGATACTTCAAAGCATTTGTGGACATGAGTTTTATCTCTGCATGGAATCAGGTGAGGAATAGAAAGTGGGAAAGGAAAGAATGTAAAAGCGATGCGGAGTCAGCTATGCTAAATGACCCAAGAATAATTTTTTCTCTGAAGTTGTCTTTCTTCCCCTTTCTGTCCTTCCCTATTAGAAGGACCTCAATCCCCTTAGCATGGCTAAGATCAGAGATTGAACTTTCATTTCCATGGTATAGGGGTTTGGGCCTTTTTCACCATATGCTTTCCTGCAACTGTGTTTAACATATTAGTCTGCTCCATGAGCTACTTTTAGCTTTTCTCCTTTATGCGGTGATATCTTTATACCTCCCTTGGGTGTCTGCATGTGTAAGTTTCAGCACCTTTCTAAGGCCTTTATGAAAATTATTTTATTAATGACCAACTTGAATAGGCTGCTCCTGGTCATTTCAGTCAATGTGTCAGAACGCACAGGATTTCTCTGAACTAAAGCTATCTTATTTTATCCTTAGAGGAAACGCTTTCTCCATGGTTTGATGTTGTTCCTGTTGTTATTAAAAAGCATCAGCTTGCTGCGCATCAACAGGTTGATGGCACCCTGCGTGTCAATGCTAAGAATGTCCTATTCCAGTTTAATGATGCCAATGGTAAGGAACACCTTTTGTTGGATGGAATGGTGCCATGTGGATGGAAGAGCAGCTCTACAGCTCACTACATTTGAAGGTCCATTGATCTCACACTGGGATTTCAGCCAGCTTTACTTCCTGGAACAATCTGCTCTAAACGCAAAGCTCAAATCCGTGACCAGAATGAGAATTCTAAATGTATATGGAAATGTTCACTCTCTTGGGGAAATCTGAGCAAGAGTGGTATTAGGCCTCAGCTCTCACAATGAGAGTGCAGTGCTCCACCACTGTAACTCATATCATGGCTCAGAGTGATATACAGTAAACTCCTGATAACTCATCACTCCAAGGGAAAAAGATTTAGAGACGAGTTATCCAGAGTGGCAAGTTAGGCATATGGGTAAATTCATAAACAAACGTGGTGGGGATATTGACAACATGAAAACTTAAGTGGTAGTGACAAATTAAGACAGGGTCAAGTTATGCGGTGTTTACTGTACTTCCATTGGATGGAACCCCCATTTAAATTTCATTTGGATTCCTTATTAAGGAATCTCACAAAGAAATGCCACACATTGGATCCCCATAGGCCCTGAGAGCTGTAAAATGTGAACGTGTGTAACAAGGCTAGTAGCAAAGACTAATACTGTAAAAAAAATCAGTCGTGTCTTTCAAGAGAATAATGCAACTTGAAAGTCAAAGGATGTTTTAAACTGGTAAAGCACAGTTCAAACATAAACAGCATGTTTACCTGGAAAGTCTTACAGCTTTGCTTAATTGTTTTTTGACATCATATATTTGCAATTCCTCCTTTTTTTGGCTCAAATCTGTTGTTTTTCTGTCCTTACTTTGGCCCTCTCCATACTCCACCCTGTTCCTTGAACAAGAGGTCCAGATGCCTGACCTTTAACCAATTCTCAGACAATGCTGCTGTCTTTTTCCTGGCCACTGTTTGGAAGTGCACAGAGTCATTGGGGATTGCACGTCCTCCATTGTTTTGCTGTAATGTGACTGTATTTACATTGTTTCTACTTAATAGCTGCTGACCTGTTTGTGAGCTGTGGGATCTTCCACTGTAATACTTTGAACAAAGCGACAGGAATATTGGAAGCTGTTACTGTTACAGCATCCCGCCTCAGGAATTACACAGTATTACAGGCATATGTTTGTCAAATGCTACCATGATGTTCACTGCATGGGATTCATTTCCTGAATTACTATTGTAAGGTTTTAGTTCGGTCCAACCCAACTGAAATCCCTTTACATGTAGAGTCAGACCAGCAATGGAAACTCTCTTACTGCAGGATTCTGTTTCCTGGGAAGCTAACCGAGAACTTAGACTGTACATTTAAAAATATTACATCAGATGAAAATAATGAAATAATCTGTTCTGTGCTTGTTTCTGATTACAGTTGTGTGGGATTATATTCATTGTGGCCTACTCTTGCCTGGGGAATCTGCTTTTCCTGTCGGAATCCTATTCATTCAGTACCTTTGTAAGAGCCTTTCAAACTGTGCTGATGTACTTCATGGGATTGAGTGAGATGCGAACACTTTCAACTCTATACAAGTTAAACCAACTCTGTATTGCTATCTACTATGGGACATTTTTTGTTATCATGACCATACTATGGGCTGGATTGGTAAGTATTATAACCCCTTTCTTACAGTTCTAAGTGATAAGAGAAATTATGCATTTTAGAAATATGAACCTTCACATTGTAATTTAATACCTCCTTGAAACTCCATTAAAGAAACATTAGAATGAAGAGCAGCTCTACAGCTCACTCCATTTGAAGGTCTATTGTTCCCATACTGGGTTTTCAACCAGCTTTAATTCCTAGAACAATCTGCTCTAAACACAAAGCTCAATGCCTTGCCTGCTACCCTTCAGAGACAGTTTGTGCTTCAGCAGATGTGGTTTCTGTTGGAACACAATCAGTTGCAATCCAGTTTTCATGCTGATCATTTTAGTTATTATACAAAGCTTTTGAGAATATCTGATTCTCAATATCAGCCTAACTTTGACCCCTGCAGGAACTTCACTCCACAAATTGATTGCAATTGTGGCTTGGCCATGATGTGCTTCTGGTTAATAGATGTAGTTCCTATTTGTGTGACTTGGGTTATTTACCAAGAAATACTTTAAGAAATATAACAAATTAGATACCTATTAATGTAATTTTAAAAAAATGCACCATGCACACTTTTAATGCAATTTGGTCACAGTGTGCCTCTATTTACTGGTGAGCAGGACACAAAACAGAGACCTAACAAATAAAATATATAAGATCATTTGGGAATGTTAGTCTGACAGAAGAGTAGGTACTACTTGTTATTTTTTCTGTATGTTTTCCCATCCTCTCCTGAAGGTGCTGATTTGGGCTTGGGTGTGATTCTTTGGATGATAACTCACTCCAATTCTTCATGTTTGAGCCTGTGTAATGATGATTGTGGATAGATTATTTAACCACAACAGATGATGGACTTATTTCTAATCCTGTTCCCACTCTGCATGCACACTTTCAAACAAGAGTCACAGGTTCTTGATCCCTTGATTCCCTGTCAGCCAATTATGCTCTTACCATTCCTCACCTCCATCCTGGTACAAGCTTCATCCTGAGCAATATTTCAGGCCTTTGAGAGAAGAAGGCAGCAGAGACTGAATTTAAAGAACTGGAAAATAATGGCTGATAATGTGGTATTGCCTACCTTTGGGAGAAATTCTACTTTCAATGCATTCTCATTTGGCATTGAATTCAATCTTAACTTGGAAGTCAGTTTGCTGCAGTTCTTAAAAGAACATACAGAAATTCTCTTTCAAAATTAAGACTTTTTTAAGGATTTGAATTTGAAAATTGAAATGCTAAGAAAATAGAGTAAATCTAGACCTTGGTTTCATAAAGAGTGCCTTAGAGTCATAAGTAACGATTCCTGTAACAACCCAGAATTATATCATACTGATGCACGGACTTCCATTCCAAATAGATTTGAAAAGAGTGTCCCAGCCAACAATCTTCCAAATAAAATGTTTCACTCCATGGCTGTTTGTCCCACATTGTAGCGACCTTTTTTGCCCACAAAACACAGTCACTGCACTTTACAATGTTTCCTGTGAAGCGATTTGGGACATCCTCCTGATGTGAAAGGCAGAGATTTAGGGAATTTAATATTCCTCTTCATTTATTCAAACTCTGTTTGCAGCTGAGTTAAACTGAGAGTGAGTACAGATGTTTATGTTGTATATTGGTTATATAATTTACAAGTGATCAACTGCATATTATGACTTGGTAAACCTTACCATAAAGCTGTTAATTGATGGGGGTGGAATATGGTATGTGATCATAACTGGCGATTATATCACAAGGACATAAAAAAGGATTATTCAATAATTATTAATTTAATTATAAAACCTGTGCATTTGCCCACAAAATATACAGTCAATTCATTTTACAGTATATTCTGTAAAGCGCTTTGAGACGTCTCGAAGATGTGATAAGGCACTATATCAAATGCAAGGATTATTACTATTTATTATTATTCATACACCAACTGTATACAAATTGGTTTATCTTGTGGGAGTGTGGAAAAAAACATTTTTTAGTCCATGATCTATCAAAGAAGAGGAAATCCAAATTCAGTCCGATTTAAAGATTCCTCAATTACATCACTTACCACATTCTCCCCCCATACTTTCTCAGAATTATACTGTCACATATTAGTAACATCAAATCTACTGGAAGACCCTATTGAATGAAGAGCAACTGAAGTAAATAAAGCTCCTAAAATTGTTTCCGTAATAACTGTGTCCTTTTCAAAATATTGAATCTGACCATTAGTGAATAGTAAACCTATCTTAAATATTTATTTTTGTTTTTAGTTTGTAGGGATTCTTACATCAATGGCAGAAGAGGCAAAGAAGTCTTCTCGAAGTAAACAACTGGTGACGTTCACAGAAGTTGCTGTTTACATTCGGGACAGGATAATGACCCTCATGGGGGGAAACAAAAATCAAAAAACGAACGTTAATTCAACTCAAGGAAATGTAATACCCTGAACACATACATTCTTAAAATATAGAATAATCTTTGTATTTGATAAGCGTCTTATCACATCATCAGAATAACCTAACGCATTTCACAGGATTTACTGTAAAATAGTGAGTATATATGTGTATAATGCAACAGCCACGTTGGGTACAGCAGTGTCTGACAAACATGAAGTGAATGCTCAATTTTATTTGGAGGATTATTGGCCAGGACATTGGGAGAAACTCCCTTCTTTTTTTGAATAGTGCCATGGATCTTTAACATCCACCTGAATATGCAGATAGAACATTAATTTAATTAATCCCATTAATCCCACAATACAGCACATCCACAGCACTGCGTTGGAGTGTCAGCCTAAATCATCTGAGTTTGAAGTCCCAACTTGGGGCTTGAACCCACAACTTGCTGACTCAGAGGCGAGAGTACTATCAACTGAGCCCGGATAATAATAATAATAATAATGATAATAATAACAATAAAGGATAAAACCATTCATGCCTGGTATAATCATAGTGAACCTCCTCTGTACCCTCTCTATGGTCCTCAGCATCCTTTCTAAAGTGGGGCACACAGAACGTCCTGCAACTGCTGCCTAACCAATGATTTGTACAGTTTAGCATCTCCCAACATTGCAGTGTCAAACTAAAATACAAACTCAAATTCCCGATGAGTGATTGAACCTACAGCCTGACTCAAAGACAAGATTGTTGCCAAGTGAGCCAGGTTGACACCGATTTATAATTGATGCTTAAAAAAGGTTTTTAATTGAAAAAACGATCCAACTTCTGCCCCTCTCAATTTAATCATGTGGCTGCCTGGCTCAGTTGATAGCACTGCTTCTTAGTCAGAAGGTTGTGGGTTCAAGCCCCATGTTGGAACTTTGAACTCCGCCTAAGATGATACTGCAGTGAATGCTGGAGGAGTGTTGCATTGTTTAGATCATGTCATCTTTCAGCAAGAGACATTAAACCAAGGTCTCTTCTGCCTGTTCAGGTGGATGTTAAAAACCGCATGGGACTATTTGAATAGAGAAGGGAGTTTCTCCTGGAATCTTGGCCAACAATTCCCCCAAATAAAATTGGTCGTTCACTTCATGACTGTTTGTGGGTGCACGTTGCCTGCCACATTGCCTACAGAATACACCCTTTACAGTATATTCGTGTGAAGTGCTTTGAGATATCTTGATGTGAAAGACACTTTATCATATGTAAGGATTCTTATTATTTCACTGTGTGCATTAAAACTGGATACGATTACATCAGCTTAAAACCAAGATCTAAAGAAGCACCTGATATTCATAGAGCTTTATCAGTAAAAATGTTGTGTCACCATGTTGTGAAGTCTTTGGCCGAGTAAATTTGCTGGAAGACATTCTGTTGTGTTAGGGGTGAGAATATCTCTGACATGAATTGCAATGTAATTTTTAGGTTTTTATTTTAAACTTATGCAAATAAAAGCATTTCAGCAGGCATATCTAGCCATAATGGTGAATGCTTTTTGTTTCCCACTTGTGAATTGTTTTATTCTGTTTTAGAATAAAGGATTTTGCTGTTTGAGCCAGATTCAAGAGAGATATTTATTCAGGGCATGCATTGAATGTTCTATTCAGTGCTCCCTACCTCTCAAAGCAAAATAATGCAACCACTTGTAAGCGCTGAAAGAAGATAGAAATAATGGAATCTAAAAACATTTCAAAGAGAATTGGATAAATACTCAAGGAAAATTCTATAAAAGGTTATGGGGAAAGAACAGGAGAATGGCATCAGACTATAAACTACATGGAAACCCATCACCATTCTTAAGGTATCCAAACCAAGCTGAGATACTCTTAAGCATGGTAATGTGTCTCTGAATGTGTCAAACACCCAGCTGACCCCCCAAAATTATATAGCTTAATGCAATTCCCCTGCTCTCTAACTCCAGCAAGAAATCTAGCACCAGTATAGACACAATAAACTTTCTATAATTTTATAGACCGAGGTGTTACAGAACTTCATTGAAGAATATTGCTTTCTAATGGAATAGAATATTGACTTCATTCAGGACTGTTTATGCACATTGAGCTTCAATGCAGAAGTCAAAGCTAACAAAAAGATACTGTTGCATGCATGCACATGAGGGTGAAAGGAATACAATTTTTTTTCTTGCATATTGCAACTGATTTGGAAACTTGAAATAAGTTTATTTATTCAGGAATTGATTACAGCTTGCAATGTAACTTTAGAATCGAGGAGACGCTGAGAGAAAAATGCAAAAGAGTGATAAAAAGTTAGACAGCTTGAAACTCAGAGAGAGAAAGTCAAAGAGACATAGATCGAGACAGAAGATTAGCATAAAGAAAGTCAGAGAGTTTGATAGAGAGAGGATTGACAGTGTGATACTGCAGCAATAGTACAATTTCAGATGGAAAAAGTTTTTGGTTAGCATTGCAGGCAATTTTACTTTGCGTGATAAATAAACCCATTATCCAAAATGGAGCTGGATCCAGTTAGTGCAGATATTGGGTTCTGTACCATACGCAACAAAATTCAATTGATTGAGCTGAGAAGTGGAAATGTAGAAATACAGCCTAGCTATGGTTTTAATTCAACTTGCTGTTGGCAAAATAATGTTATAAGGAGACAATGAAATAGTGCTCTGTGATTGTGTTGCTGTTGAACATGTCTGATTTCACCTCATCTGACTGAGCACATGCTGGAGTGTTGTACTTGGCGAGCATCTTTCAGTAACTGTTTTTTGTGATAAGTCACATTTCCTAAAGACAGAGCATTTCTTTCCAAAATAGCATTGTAATTCAACAATGTGTCTCACTGCTGTGCCAGATTTTTTCTTTTTTTCCTGGCTGGCAATCGGTTAAAGAACAATGAATAAAGGCCACTTCCTCTTGCTGGATAACCAGTTTATACAATCCTTTTGGCTAGAGCTTTGTATTGTGTTATTAACTCTCTGTTTTATGATGCTTAAAGGGGGCTTGATAGTTAAGAACAGTGTGGTTTAGTTTTTTTTTGGGGGGTGGGGTCTACATCAATTTTCAACCTCCAATATTGTTCACTCAATTTCTCTCCTACAAGTGACTAAATTGTCCTTCTTCTGGGATAATGATTCAAGGGCACCTGTTGCTGTTTGGTGCCTCAAACATGTGAAGTGGCTATTTTATGTCTTCTGGAATACCTCCCCCATCATTCTGTCTCAACTCTCTTTTTCTTCAAATCCTGCTTCATATCCTACCTCTTTGAATGTGATGCCACCTCCCCCTTCTCTCTTGCTCGGCATCCGATATGTTACCCTATATGAAGCCATGTCCTGGTTCTCGAAATGGAAGAGACAGAGAGAGGAAAATCAGAGGGGATTCATTAATATCTCATTCCTATTTACCTCCTAGTGGCTTACAATGGGTTTGGTGGCAGCCTGGGAGCAGTTGTTGTGTGTCCCAGGAAGATCAGGAAAATGGTGCTAAAATCCAACGAATATAAAGCTTAAAATTCTCTCTATGTTGACAGAACTTTTACTTGGATGAATTTGAAGACTTGATGGATGAGTTGCTGTTCCGGCTCAATGCCATGTCCAACAGTCTCCATCACGCTCTCCCACCAAAACAACCCCATTATCTGGAGGATGGCAGCCCCTCTGCACTGGCTCCTGGATTGTACAGCAACCAGGCATCTGAGGTTTGGACTTCTACAATTCAAACAAATTGATATTCCATAATTTTGTGTATGCCTGAATCAAAGGCAGACTGGAACTAAATGAAAAGCCCGATCAACTCTATTTAAAAGGAAATCATTTTGGAGAATAGAATAATATCTACCAGAAACAAACATAGCAATGCGGTGTGTTGATGTTCTGAGGAGATATATATCCAAGAATAGTTGAACATTGGCAATTCACTGCCAATTAAGATCAATTAAGATCTTTAATTTTGGACGCACCATTGGCTCAGAGAAGGCAAGGCAAGTGTAAGCGGGGGAGAAAGGCAGGCAGAGTCTACACCATATTTTTGTGAACTAGTGAATCAATCTGAGCAACACTGGTAGAAACTGGCAGCAGGTTACCTGCTTATCCTCTTCACCATTGAATCAAATGATCCAAAAGTTGTCATGGTACTTTTTTAAAGAAATAAATAAAACAATGTTGTGGCATAAGATGCCTTGCACAAAAGAGTATTTTATGAGCAACTTAACATAGGAGGCATTGCTATTAAAGTGTATTGTGTAACTTCAGCTAAAAAGTTGCTCCATTGCACTATAATGATATACCAAAGATGTTTCAAATTCATTTTTATTTTACTCATTTTACCCAAAACGTACACAGTCAATGTCAATGAAGCGCTTTGAGAATTCTCAACTACGTGATAAGGCGCTGTATCAAATGCAAGGATTATTATTATTATCATGGGTTGTGAAATTATTGTTCTTTATTACAGAATCCTATATTGGATAAAAACCCCGTTCACAGAAAGTTGCACAAACTTGAAGAAGAACTGTTCAGAAACAATCAGGAAGCGTATGAACTTTTGAAGCCAGGGAGGGAATGCTGGTCTAACTCAGACATTACAGATATCAAAACTTTACGGTAAAAGATTTTTGCTATAGAGCCTGTGTAACCCTTTGGAGTTCTGGTAGATCTATGGAAATATCTATTCTAGGTATCAAAAAGCCTTGCACATTTCCAACTTGTACACTGGGAAGCGGCAGAAAACATAAATTTTGTACTTAAGAAGTTACTCAAGAAAGTTACTCAGGTGGCACAAATTGTATTACAATCTTACAGGAACAATACTACTTATAATCCAATAAATTGATACAATCATGTAATTTAAAGTGATAATAATCCACAATAAATGTCACTGGTCCTCAAACCTATTCCCCTTTTCTCTACTATTCTCTATTCTAAATTCATGGTAATTTCCTGGGTGTTTGAGGGACATTGCTGTGTGCAAATTGGCTGCTGAGTTTTCCTATAAATACAGTCACCTCATCTCACAGAAAAATTCTATGAAGTCCTTTGAGACATTTCAACATGAAAAAGCACTATATCAAGTGTGGGGCATCTTTTAGTTTTATATTTTACTATATTCTGCTTGTTGTAGCCAATTAACCATTTATATCTTTAGATTCAGTTTCCTACCTTCATTATTCTATCTTCCACCCTCCAAGTAGGAAGCTGGAAGCAACATCTCTTAAAGTAGTTTTTGTTGGCTATTGTTGGCTAATGTACATGCCTGAAGATTGGCAGAATGTCCTTAGAAGCAACCCAGCCAACTTTCAACCTGGAAAAAGAGAATGGCTGATAGTGGGAGACAACCTGCACACCCCCAGGCCTGAAGATCATATCCAATATAAATGCATGTTGGTAGATCCCTATGAGTTAAAGCTGTTCACTAAAAAGTAACTGGTGTTTTCAACATTACGGTGTCACAGAATGTCTGTTCCATTTCTTCAGCTATCTTGAAATTAGTTTTGATGAAAAAATGGATATCAGAGTTTTTAATCAAAACATAAGGAGTTATTTTGCTCCTTGCACTCTATGTAGTGAATTCATTGACAAGGGCTAAGCAGTTTTTTTATCCTCCCTTTTTTCTCTCAAGCTTTATTTTTTCCTTCCCATTTTAGGTCCAAAGTTGAGTTGGAGACCTTACGTCAACTTCAGCTCTGCCAAGAAAATAATTTGCATGGAAAGTCTGAGAGCCCTCAGAGTGGTCGTGATTCCAGGCACTCTCCAAAAAAAGTCAAGACTGATTCTTCCACTGTACAGAAAGACCGTTTGGTGCCCAATTGGAAAAGCCTCACAGTTGACTCTTGTGATACTTTGGACTTGCTGGAAACCTCCTGCAATGCCATTTTAGAGTTGTGTAGTAGCCACAATAATTCACAACAGTCAGTAGATGCATTGAGCACCGAGCACTACAATCTTGCAAAATTAGGAGACACTTTACCTCATGTATTATGTGGAATCAAATGTCCAGAGAAACAGGCAGCCCAGTCACGAATGATTGAGAGCAAAGTGGCCAGTCAGCAGCGTTGCTCATCGGCCAGTACCTCTGGCAAAAACCGTAAACAGCTTAAACGCTCCCACACTATATTTATTCAGATGCTCAACGACCCCAGTGAGCTGTCGGGTGGCAAAGTTGAGATTTACGAACAATTGGCTGTTCCAAATACTTTGCTTGATCCCTTGTCCCATTGCCTTGGAAACCTAACTGTACAATCGAGTTCCAGCCAACCCTCTTCTGACAAAATACCATCAGAGAAAATGCGAGAGAATCAGGTGGAGAGTGAAGTGAAACCTGTAAAGAGAGCAGCAGAACCAGGTGAAAGTTCAGCTCTGTATTCAGAAGGGAAAACTGAACAGAATGAAAACATGAACATTTCAGATCTTCCAGGATCTGTCAAACATTGCTAGTAACTAAACAGGTCTTGAAATATGACAAGACTCTTCATCCATATTGCAATTGTTATCTCTTTGATAACTGAAATTTGTATTTTCAAACAAATACAATGTACACTTTTTAGATGTGGAAAATGTTTTACAGCAAGTTTGACTCATTGATATTGTATTAAAATTAGAGAAATATATAGATCATTTCTGAATTCATATCAACTATTTCTGTGATTTTTAAAATGCATATATATATATCTATACAGATATATATATTAGGATATATATTCATTATATTGCATTTTGTTAGCTAATAAGTACCAAACATGTAGCTGAATTCAATTATAGAATCCCACTAAGGTTTTCTTTATTTATCAGCTATGCTCATGTTTGTTTCAGTGTTTTTGAAGCCAGAGATTTAACAAGTATCACAATATTGAAAGTTACAATACTATTAGTATTAATAAAATTGTTTTGTTTCCAACTAAGATAGTAAAATGTGGTTACAATTATTATAACAGTCTTAAATAACTGATGTTTTAAAGATACATGTTTACATTGTTAATAGTGGTTATGTTTTTACATAAAGAATAATAATGTGTATACTTTGCTTTTAAAAAGCTACATGTAAAGTTAACTCATTCTGAGGCCAATGGATACCCAGTACAGAAACATGGCCACAGTAATAATTTAGATGAATTAGAAGTCCACATTTGATTCTTGTGTAAGGCTCTTCAGACTAATGCGCTGCAAGATATAGTTTATCAACAATGAATGTTTTTGTGACTTTTGCACATATAGAGATAACTGGCTTCACTGTGTTGTGATCCAGATTGTTTGAATGATTGTTAAAATAAATAAAAAGGTTTATGTACAACAAATTGTGAATTGCTTGATACTTTTATATGCTTGTTTCTGTGAAATGTCAGAGCATGAAGACGAGGCTTGTTCATTTAAATGTGTAAAACAAATAGTCAGTGATGTATATAATACATTACTTGGATATGAGCATCTCCAACCATTGTGATACTCAGTGGGAATTAATGTGATACCTATACGTGTTTTGTACATTTATAACACTAGGCTGCATTGTATCTTGCAAAACAAAAATTGGAATTTCATTTATTTCTTGACCATGACAAAAGACATACATGCCTCCAAGATGCACAGTGGCTACACTTTACAGTAAAATCCTGTGAAGAGCTTTGAGATGTCTTTGCGAGGACTATTATATGACAAATCCTTCACATACAATACACAAACAATCTATAAATATGAATGGGCAAGAAGTAAAGCCATGGCTTTGGTGCTGGAAACGTTCAAGTACAGGTAGTCTGTGTTTCACAATCAAATGAAATGAGACATACATTATGTTAAGGATCTAATTAGGTGCCATAAAATCCTTAACAAAATGTATGCCCCTATTTATCTTTATCATTGAATTGTCATTTGTTGTTTATTAGCTTATGACTTGACCACTTTAGATGGTGGTGATATCAGCAAAGTCAAAAAATCACTTTGGATAATATCTATAGAACTATTGACGAATACAGAAATATAGAGGAAATAGATGAAGATTATGATTTTACCTGAAAATGTAGGCAAATACAGTATCAATGGGAACACTGTTTATTTTTGAGTGCTTTTGTGCCCATTTGTTTACCTCACTAAATGACACTGATGTTTTGAAGGAATCATACACTTTGAAAATATCCTCCACCTACAATATTATGAGCAGTACATGTACATAGTAAGGTTTTCTTTGCTGCATAGAGAAATAGATAGAAATCAGCCTGACTCAGTTGGTAGCACTCTTGCCTCCGAGTCAAAATTTGAACTCACATCATATAAGCTGACACTCCAATGGGGGCTATTGCATTGTTAGAGGTCCTGTCCTTCAAATGAGACATTAAATCGAGGTCCCATCTGCTTATTCAGGTGGACGTTCATTTCCCCCCTGCTCGAGTCCTGACCCAACTGTCCAGCGCCTTGGGACGTTCTCCCGACGTGAAAGGCGCTCTATAAATGGAATCTTGTTGTTGTTGTTGACGTTAGAGATCCCATGGCACTATTTGAAAAGATAAGGGAGTTTCTTCTGGCCAACAATTCCCCCAGTAAAATTGGTTATTCACTTCATGGTTGTTTGTGGGACATTGCTGTATGCAAATTGCCCACACACAAAAAAACTATCCTCATTCCACCTTATAGTGTATCTGGTGAAGTGCTCAGAGATGCCTTCCTGAGAATAGATGTCCTCCAGGAGTTGGAGCTGGAGGAGGGGGCACTACCCATGTACTATATCCCATAACGTGGAGTCCTGTAGCTCAGTGGTTAGAGCACTCGCCTCGCAAGCAAGAGGCTTGGGTTCGATTCCCGGCAGGGTGAAACCTTGGGCAAGTTTCCTTACTCCGCACGCCTGATAGTAATCGCTCAAGAAAAAAACCAATAATAAATTGTTCATGTCAATCCATGCCTGTTTGTGGGACACTGCTGTGTGCAATTGGCTGCTGCATTTCACCCACAAATATACAGTCAATTCACTTCACAGTCTATTCTGTGAAGCGCTTTGAGACGTCTGGAAGATGTGAAAAGCGCTATATCAATTGCAAGGATTATTATTATAATGTTATTTCCTAAAAGAAAACTATCTCATCTGAGTTTGAAAGAATCAACCCGTCTCCCTAGGGAGTCTGTTCCACAGGTTCACTGTTTGTTCACTGAAATAGTGTTTGGTAGATTCGTTCTGAATTTCCCCCCTTCAATCGCAGGCCGTGTCCTCTGGTGTTACAATTCTGGACAAGTTGAAGCAGCCTGTCATGATCTGTATTATCTCGCCCCTTTAGAATCTTGTGCCTAATATCTCAACCCCTGCCTCCCAACCTTTAGATTAACTTTCAGTAAACAATGCGTTGAAACCGGCCATTCTAAAATTGGCAAAATAATTCAAAAACGATTGAACGATGATAATAACCATCGGGCTTGTGATTTCAGGGTCCAGGCGATGCGCTGAGCTGCCGGTGAAGCAACATCAATGAATAAAATAAAATAACTTCCCGAAACTTGTAGATTGGATGACAGGATGGAATTCAGTTTAGCAGCAGTGTGTGTGTGTGTGTGTGTGTGTGTCTGTGTGTGTGTTCACATAACACAACTCAAATCATAACCCTGACTGTGGCATCTTCTCCTCAACATCCCCTCCATCCTCCTATACCTCTCTCCCCCCTCCTCTCTCCCCTCCCCTCCCTGTGGTTTCCTGTTTGCCTGCACTCTGCTCTATTGTGTGGCTGTGGCTGGAGACAGGGAAACACAAAGAGCAGTGGGATGAGTGGCCACAGCAGCAGCCTGGCCAGGCTGAGCCCTGCCCAGCCTCACACACACACTCACACACACTGCTTGTGTGTCACTGAGTGTCCTGTGCAGTGAGTGTCTGTCTGCTCCCCACTCTGTGTGTGTGTGTGTGTTGTGTGTGTGTCAGTCTGGGGGGGTGGTGTGGGGTGTGATGGAGCAGTCCCAGACTGGCTCCTGGGGCAGGCACCTCACTTGCCCCTGTTGTTTGCTGCTTTTCTGCAGTTTGGACGAGCTGCACCTCCACAGTCGGCTCTTCCACCCCCTCCACCTGCCCCACAGCCACAGCTACAGCCACAGCCAGCAAGATCTGCTCCCACAGCATCCAGGAGACCCCCAGCTGGCCACACTGCTGGTGAGTTTAGCTCCTTGTTGTGCCAGGTCTGGTCTTTTTTTTTGCCTTTTAGTCAAACCATTAATAATAACAACAACTTGCATTTATATAGCGCCCTTCACGCAGGGTAGCGTCCCAGTTTAAAACTAATCCTTGCATTTGATATAGCGCCTTATCGGGTCGTTGAGACTTCTGTGACTGTGTTTTCGGTCCCAACTTTCCTCCACACGTTTGGCTCCCCCCGCCATTCAGGTTTCCATCTAGCACTGACAAGCGTTTTGAGATGTCATCTCGATGCAATAGGCGATGTATAAATGTAATTTGTATTGTCTCAAAGCTCTTCACAGAATTTGACTGTAAAGTGTAGTGACAGCCTGCTTTGTAGGTGAAAGTGGCAGCCAATTTGAGCACAACAAGTTTCACAAACCAGTGTTTCACAAACAGCCATGAAGTGAATGACCAATTTTATTTGTCTTACAATTACTTGGTTCACCTTGTTTATTCTTCCAAAAACTTGTGTCAAAGTTGCATAGAAAAGTCTTTTTTCGGGGGTGGTGGTGATGGCGTGACAGTCAAAAACAAATAATGCACACAGGTGTGTTGTGCCTCTGTATAAATGTTTATTTTGCAGTGATAATCTTGCAGTCAGCCAATCCTAAAAGCCCCTGATACCAGTCCCCCGATGTGGTAACACACTTCTGCAGGTGAGGCAAAGTGGTAAGAACTTGGCTGATATACATATTGATGGTTTGTGGACGTTTCACTGGATGCTAATCTTGGTTAAATACTAACAAGAAAGTTTAGAAAAATTAATAGACATTCTATGTGATTTTTATAATTTATGTTTTCTCCTGAACAAAATAACTTCTGTATTTGGGTTCTACCGTCCCATGTCACCATCCCATAGCATATTCTCAAATGCTCCGAGATGTTATCCTTTGTGAAAGTCACAATATAAATATAAAGTTTTTGTTGATTAAATAATATTTGGAAGCATCTGCCGTTTTATACATTACCGAACCCCTTGAGGATGTTACTTTCAAGGAATGGTTTCTTTTTCAGTATTGATGTAATCAATTTTTTTATTGCAGAGAGCAAGTTTATTTTTTAGTAGCGGTTATTTTATGCTTCAGCAATAACCTCAGTTTTCATTAATGCACATATTTAGCCTAGTTTAGGAACAAGAATCAATCCTCACATAAAAAGATTACACATCCCACCAATCTGAAATGAAAACAGAAATGTTGGAAAAGTTCTGGAGGCGGAGGAAAGAAATGTGGCTGCTAAAATGGATTTTGTTTTTTTTTGGTCAGTTGATTGTTTGACACATGACCCATCACCATACTTAGGAGTTTCCAAACCAGGCTGAATGTTTCACCTATATGTGCCACCTGCGTATGGAAGTTTCGCTGTTGCTATTTGACCTGAATTACCACTGGCTAAATTGTCATTCAGGTTATTGTTGAACAATGCATATTGTGAATGTTTTCCATGTTGCTTACATGCAGGTCTTTCAAACTTTGTATTCTGTTTTGTTTCTAAGAGGCTTGTCTGAAGTGAGTTTTGGTTGCTTCAAAAAACATTCTGAG